CTCCAGAAGATGAGTGCATTTCGTTTCTTCCACGGGCATGGAGACTAGATAGGAGCATTTCCTGCAGAGATAGCCTGTACTGTTGATAGTGCACATTTGGATTATTCGGTTGATGGGATGGGCAACAAAAGGAAAGTAGTATCTTGATATAGAGAAGTTGAGAAGTGCATGGGAGAGAAGAAGTTGCTTTGCTTACTGTATAAAGTCCTCATCTTGAAGTGTTTCACCGAAGAACCGTTAAGTTACCGAACTCTCTGTGCTCTGCATCACAGACTGCGGGTACGTCATTTCACAAACCCTCAAGCCAAGATATACAACATCACTGAGACGTGAAAGATAAGAGCCGAATAAATAATTTAAGTTAACAGACACATATTTATCTTAGCTCCCAGAACCAAACCTCCAAAGCTTACGCTTAACACCCCTCTGACCCTCTTTCTTCTTCTTAACACAATCCTTGCAATTCTTCTGATCCGAATAAATAGTCGACGGCACTATCTTCTGCTTTAAGCAAGCTCTGCCTGATTTCTTGGCAGAGTTACACTTCTCCGTTACGGTTTCATGATCGATGATATGGTCGCAGACTCGGCAGCGGTATTTGGTGAAGACTAGGTTGCACATGTTGAATGGTATGTGTGGAAGAAATATGATAGGGGAGTAGGGGGCTTGAGTTACGGATTTATATATGCACAACGACGTTTGAGGGTTTGAGTGTCACTGTGGCTTTTTCATCCTCTCGTCGGTGTCCAAATGTGTCACGGTGAGGGAAACAGGTTGAGTCAACATGTCAGACTTGTGCAATGTTTCACAGGCATGGCTATCAATCAAAGTCGACAACTAGTATTGAGACTAGGACTATGAAAATGCTTCAATACCCAATCTATTCAAAGTCCTGGGTCGTTTTCCGATGCAGCCATGATTTCTCAAAAGCCTTAGGCCGCTTTCAACATGCAACTTTCATTCCCCATTCGCCTCAGTCTTGCATTCCTTGTTCTCCTTAGCCTTAGCCTTGCACTTGGGGCACTTGGAGGCATCGATCAAGGTAGTTGTCTGCATAGTCTGCTTCTTGCACGGCTTTTCAACATTGTTCGCCTCACTGCAAGGAGCTGTTCTTGGTACGGCGTTGAGATGGCTGCATCTCTTGCAGACAAGCCGGGTGGTGTGAATGAAGCACATGGTTGAGTACAGAGTTTGTCTTGAGCAATGATGGAGTTTCTGTTGAGTGTGGAGTGAAGAGATAGATTGTGAGATGGATTGAAGAACTTGGAGATGGGACGGAGGTGGGTGCAGTGGTATTTATACTTGTAGTTCTGCTGGGAGTGTTTGTATCTTACTCATTCAAACATGGCACTTAATCAAAATAATCATTGAGCCTTAACAGATAAATTAAATCGGCGTTTGTATAATCGGTTTGGACCGCAAAGACTCACAGGACTTTAGCATCCCCTAACCGAAGCGCTGAACAATCATTAAACTGATCAGAGAATATCAGAAGCTTTGACTACGCCGTGGAAAGCAACAAACCCCTTTCCTAAACTAACTGACCGGTCCCTAATACCAAACGTAGCTATCTCTTCTTGTGTTTTGCAGCTCTGCAAACTTTGCACCCCAACTCACTCTCCCGTTGCTCACCGCCGTCTTCATTACGCTTAAGGCACCGTTCCCTCCTTCTCGCCTTATTGCACTTTGTGGTCTGCATGTCTGTTCTAATATGGTTGCCGCATTTCTGGCACATTATTTTGATGTGGTAGACGATGCACATTGTGAAGAATACCACGAGTTGATCGTTTAGCGAAATAATTGTCGGTCTGGATTGTCTGAACGGGGTGTCGTTGACCAGTGTTTGGGCACGTTTGTTTAATCTGGATAAAAGAGATGAGGGGCGAGGTTATATAGTCGTTTACCAGCTGCTAAACACTGGAATCACTGGGTGGGTAAGTCGGATGACATGAGGTGTTGTCGGTAATCACCACTGGTTCTTCGCGTGAGTAATGGCCAACATCAAACCTCTATCACTTTTCCACAGAAATGTTCAATCGCGATATTTGAATGCCACAACCAACACTTCAGCGACTGATATTTGGGTAGAATCAGTGAGAAGCCAGATTTAGATAAGCCACTGAACTGGCTAACACGTTCGATAATATGGTAAGGCTTAGAAATTTGATATTCACTTACTTGCATTTGAAAGAGTCGCAGCAGCTGTCTGCTCATACGTATTTGCATGACCACAAACACTGTGGCTGCTGCCAAAGAGTGTTTGATCCATATATGTGTTTACTCCTTTGGGAACAATTAGAGTGAAGCGAACGTTGAAAAATTAAGTATTGATTTTCATTTTCCTTTTGAATATCACTAAAACGAATTTTAGTGATAATTTGTTTAAAAGCCTTTCATTATTCCACGTGCTTGTCCCTGTATATGGTTCTAAGAAATGACTTATCTTAGTAGCCTCTTGACAAGAGAGGCTAAGCTACTAGGTAGCCTATCTAATAGTATAAGTGCTATCAAAGCACAGGGCCCAACCGGCGACGCCTTCAGACACAGGACAGAAAACCCCTCTCACTTCTTCGAACACTACTTCCCATCCTTCGAGCACTTAGGACAGTTGCTCGCGGAGACAGTCTTCCTAACATATATGTTTTCCTGCTTGCATTTGGTGGTGCCGTACTTTTGACACTTGTCTCGCTTGAGGTTCGTGTCAACGGTCTTGCCGCAGCTCGAGCAGACCTGAGTGGTGTTGATCATACGACACATGGTGAACAGAATAGTAATGGAATGTTGTTACTAAATTGTGGGTAGTAAGGCTAGGTTGTCAGTAGGGGCTAGATTGTGAGTTGGGAGGGAAGTTGGAGATTGAAAGGTGGGTTGGTTTGGTTTGGGAAAGGAGAGATGTGAGGCTGTATTTATAGTCGACTGCACGGGATGAACAGACCCTGAGTGATGGTGAGGGTGTTCATGAAGAACGAGTGACACATTTCTGAACATGGAGACAGTAATTGTGTGATGGCTTTGTTGTGCTGAACAGGACTGATTCACCTTGTGCGAACGTTTTGAACAGATGGATACAAAGAGAACAATAGCATACATATACTGAATCATTGGGTACAAGCTATTCTGTGCCATGGTGGGATGAAAAGCGCCCGAGTTTGTTGTTTCGGTGATAGAGACTGGCAAATATCTTGGCCAAGGTCCAATGTGACTGAGAGGCTGGCTAGAAAAATACAGAAAATTGGTCAGGGACCATAATACCTTTCCCAACAGCCAAGATGTCCTTGCAGCTAATCACCCATCTTTCTCCCTGCAGCAGAACCTTTAATTTTCACCCCAAGCAAGTCTTCATTTCATGATTCGGTTCTGAGTTCTTATATCTTATTGGGTATAGAAAATGTAAAAGTCTGCATAGAGTTAACAAATGCCCATAATAACTTTAGCGAATCACTCACATCAATCCCCCAACCATGTCTCTCAACGCCGACCGTACATAAGTCTCAGATGTCGCATAATAGTAGATGTACTGCCCTGCGGAGGCTGCGTCATGAAGGGCACCTGACTATCAGCCGGAAACGAGGAGCACAGGGTGCAAAGGGCGGGTTCGCACTTGACGCTCAAGTTTACGTCGGTCTTTCCGCAGCGCTTGAACTGCAGAAAGAGCTCGCACTCTTTACAATCCATTTCTTCGTAGATCTCGTTGTTGCAGCGCATGCAGTAAAAGACTCGGGTTATGGCTAGGCACATGGTGGCGGTTGGTAATGTGGTTGGCGTGGTGGTTGTTGATCTTTGGGGATTGGGAAGAGAGAAATCGAGAGCGGAGAGACCGCTCAGCTGAAATTCTGCCCAAGGAGATTCTGGATGTCTTTTTTGAGTTTTCGTTGTTTAAAGTGAAAGAATGCAGTGCAGCGTTTGACACTGCCGCCTGATCAAACAAGCAATAATGGATGGACCAGCCACTGTCATCCAGCAAAAGATTTATAAGCAGTCACAGATAAATACAGTGCAAGAGAATTGTGTGAAATTAAGTTTCTAAACGAGAATCGAATTGTAGCTACATTACGCCAAAAGAAGATATTCCTGACAGTAATGTTCCTAGAGTGCTGGCCTGCTATCGCCTTGTGATAACAACTTCAATCGGAGGATACGGCTGATCGCGTGCTAAACACTCGTCGCAGGTCTCTTCTTGATTCCATAATGTCACTGGATATTCATTCCCGCACGATGCGAAGTGCCCGCTTCTCGTTTCGCTGGCCCTGTTGCATAGTAGACCGTGTTTCTCAAAGTTCCACCGGTTGCCGCAGACGGGACACATGTAATGAATAGTTAGATCGTGGCACATTTTGAGATGTTGATTGATTTGGTTTTCGTTGTTCTTTGTTCAATGAAATGTTGCTGAGTGTTTAAGATCGGATTGAAGATGTTATGCGGCTTGATAGGAGATGGTGGCATTTTATAGATATATGGGAACGGATACGAATCAGAGGATGAGAGAGTTTTTAGGACAATTTTCTGAAGTCACTCAATGATCAAGCTAGAATGAAAACAAGAGCCGTCACCTGTGATTCACTGCATATTTTTAGTCCAGATGATGGGATCTCGTTCTCAGAGCAAACTCTCTCCTATACTATTCACTGCTACAAAGCTGAAACTCTTCATACTTTGTGTTCAACAATAACAACCAAGCAAAGTTCTACATATCATATGCTTCAACACCTAACGATACCACGGCCCATAACCCATCGGGTTACCCGCCCCAGGATTATGTGGGTGCAACCGGGGGAGAAAAAAGTGCTCAGGACCCGGACGCTCTGGCTCCTCAGGATTTGCGCAGTTCCTACATATCTCCTGATAATTCCATATCATTTCTGAATACGTGCTTCCACACGAGCCGAAAAATCCTGTTGAAGAGCGGTAAGCTCGCTGACATCTCAGACCGTGTTTGTCAAAGTCGATTCTGTTGCTGCACACTGAGCACATGTAGTTGACTGTTACGTGGTAGCACATTGTGAGGGGAATGAGTCTTATTTGATTGTGAGTTTGGATATAGATACACAGAGTACAAGTTTGGAAATTTCCAGTCAATGGTTGGAGGAGGAACGTAAGACAGGGGAGATTTATAGCCATAGGTTATGGTTGGCGACAGTGAATAATGAATATGAATATGAAGTGTACCAGGGTTGGAAGTCATCAAAAACTGCAGTAAGAAGACTTTGTTGAGGAGGATATTCGTCAGTGATTGTGAAGTCGTCATGCTGTTGTCGCCAAACCCATTCCCCATCCACTCAAGCAAACAATGAATCCTCATCTACTGCACACAGTCCGACTATTCCTCAGGCCAACTGTCTCTTCGTTTCACTGTCAAGTGTAACTTTGTTCCACTTCCTATCATCAGGCGGACACTGCTGACAATATTCCGATACACTCGCAACAACTCCATCATCCGTGTATCCACACGCTCCCATAGACTTTGACTCTGTTTGTTGAGCAATCTGACAAATCTCCCATTCATATCCCTTCTTGAAGCATGCGCTGCAGTACATGCAGTAAAAGTGCGTAAAGTATTCCGTGCACATGATGAATGCTTGTCAAGGTACTGTGTACGTTTGGTGCTTTGTGATACAGAAACTCAGTGATTAAAGGCAAAAGGGTCAAAAATGAGGAACGCTGCGCTTTCTTGTGTGTAGTAGTTTACGAGGCTTTTTGAATCAGAGGCTTGTAAGCAAACGAGGCTCGGGTTAAAATACCAAGACGCTGAAAAGCCTCACTAGGCACTCATGCAGCAGGGGTATGATTCAGCTACACAAAACAGGCAAATCATGTTTTATCAGCGACTTGGTCACACTGAAGTACCAAAAAGAGGCCTCTCCAATTACAAGAGTGCACGTGTAGATGTGACTTTGATAGTTGGTGATCTCTGGCCCCCAATCATGAAAACAGGGACTTTGAAAGGGTCGCTTGATATCGCGGCCAGCATCACACGAATCAATGTATCTCATGGTTTATTTACCGCCCGTTAATATGATGAGAAGATACTGTCACATGCCATTGTTGTTTTGTCGCACTGGGAAGAGTACAGGAGCAGTTACCAATAATCAGAAGAGGACGACATGCTGCGCAACACTATTGTGCTCTCGTATGTCTGCACTGGATGACTTGATATTTCCTCATGTGGAAAGAAGCTGCCAAGAATGCGGCCGGCTGATGTTCGCTGCACACAGAAACTCCGAACAGCGGGCAGTAATACCGGTTGTCCGGTGACCATTCAGTTTACCCAAAAGTTGAACAACGAAGTTGAGAAAATTTGATGTTACAGTGTTAGTTATGCAAACGTCAAAAGTGCCCACGGAGAGACTACTATGTCCGCTGAGCGTTTGGGTATAAAGAGAGCTCCATACAGTAAGAAAATATCTATACCAATGCTTAGCGACTGTTGCAAACCAAAGACAACCTAGCCTATACTCGGTATTATAGAACATTGAGTTCCATACTAACCCGAAAAATATGCTTCTATCCCGAACAGCGGTGTCTTTGTTATCTTGCCCTTTGAGACGTTCGGGAGCTGGGTGGAAGATCATTACAGCATTCGGATATAAATACCTGGTTTATACAGCAGCAGCAACAGAAGCAAGAAGCTGAAAGGCTGTAGCTGCTCTCAAAAAGGAGCCAACAAACCGATACTACCGGCACCCGATACCATTTCTATACATTATATTCGCAAAAGGGCCACCGTCGCTTTATTGAACACAATCGCAACAACAAGATCAACATCCCAGCATCTTAACACCATATACAATTCTCTAGCACTTTTTGGCCCGATCCAGAATCCAAACCATGTGTCGAGAGAATCACTTTCACTCGAAGTGCGAGATTTGCAATGATGACCTGGGAACCGTAATGACTCTTGATATTTGTGAAGTTGGCCAATTCTTTCAAGACTACGAACTTTGCCTGAACGGCGTTCAGAGTCTGTTAGAATTCATCGAGGTAAAGTGTTTGAAGTGTAAGGAGGCGGAGGAGGCAATGGATATTGACGGATTAGCAGACATGTTGTTCACACATATCTAGTCCTGCTGTCTATCACAGGAGGGATGCGTCGGCGAATATCTTCATTTAGCCGTGAGTGGAAAGTCCACCGTACCCCTTTCAGTGCGAGATCAATTTCTCAATCACCGCTACCGCAACCTGAGGTGCGTCGATAAAAGAGGGCTACATTCCTGGCCTACACCCCTGACACAATCACATCATATTTCACTTTGATTAGGAAAGTCAAAAGAACTCTATACTTCACCATGTGCATATACACAACACTCAAGAAAGATTGCATTATGTGCCGGACGCCGCTTGTCACAGCAGATGTGAAGGATTTCTGCGTGAATGCCGACGCTGCGGCTGAGACATGTGACAGTGGAATTGTCAAAAAGGCCAACGACAGTACGGGGGAGTGCTTGACATGCAGAAAGGTCAGGGAAGACAAGGAACGTGAGGCGGTTTTGGCGTTACAGCTCTTGAGGCAGAGTGGGTAAAGGTTCTAGGATACATTGAACCCTTCAAAGAAGCTACTTCAAGTCTTGGAAGTTTCAGCTCCCTTAGACAAGAAACGGTTGAGTTGCTGAGGAGATTGCCGAATAAGATTATATTTACACTATTGAATCATTCAATTGAAGTTTCTAGATCATAACTACTGAATACTTATCAAACCATGTATGAGCTGTTGAGATGCAGATTTAATAAGAGGATTCTCATATTGGAGAACCCGATGTGAACAAAGTGTATATAAGACTGCGCGAGGACTAGAGAGGAAAAAGCGGCTTGAATCCGTCGAGGTGTGCTGAACCTAAGGAGTGTAAGTAGCATCTGAGTGAAGACAAGTCGCCTTCGAGGCTGAGGACAAATGATTAACCCTAGCTAAAGAGAAGGCCAGCAGTTTGACCATATGATAGGTAACTATAAAACACTCAAGTTCTAGGTATTACTATCAACAATCCCCTTTTGAATAGAAAGACAGAAACTCAAACAGACTTCAAGATGTGCTGGAAGACTACCACCGAGGAACGCTGCAAAGGCTGTGACTATCTACTATGAACAGGATTCAAGCTTGACAAGTGCGCCGAGTATGAAGAGAAAGGGACCTGTGAGAATGGCATTAGGCAGCTGTCCCAGAGATTGGAAGCTGAGTGTAAAGGGGGTAAGGAGCTTCGGGAAGAACAGGAGCGTGCGGCGGCGCTCAACGTGTTGCGTAAAACGGGGAAGTGGTGGTGAATGAGGTACAGTTTGAAGTGAGATGTAGTCAAAGATGGTCATATGAGAACAACTGAGATCGTCTTCTACCACGAGCACTTCTGGTAGCTGAACCTGATCACTTGTACATATCGGCGTGAACATCATACATACTGTCAAGTTATCACTGTAGTCGAGCCCTGTGGCTGAAAGGGTATATTCACCACACATAACTTGGTCAATTTATCACAACACGGATAAGTGTAGTGCAAGTGATTAGCTCTCCAATCGCTTGACACTCATCTACAAATAACCCATACACCACCCTCCCCCCTGGACTGGAGTCCCAAAATCAACATCCTGCTTGCTACCTCTCGCAAAGTCACCATTATTACAACCGTCCTCCAACAATTCACCCAGATATGAAGACCTCCCTGAAACTCCATGAACATGTGCAGGTGGTCTACTCCCGTCAACAATTGCGATGATTGGGATACAGGGCATTTTATGAGATCACGGTGTCACTGGCCATTACGAGCATCTTATAATAGCGGAAAATACGTTCTTGGAAACAACAGCTTAATGAATTAGTTATAACCCTTGAGCCAACGCGCTGCTCGGTTTAGTGACTATTGTGACGGTTGTGGCAAGCATTCCAGGGTAAGAGGTCTAAGCTTCGTTAGTGGGGTCAGATGGATGTCTGTGGGAACAGACATAAAGGGACGGATTCCTCTGAGGACTTTAGCTTTTCATGCTTTTTCTTATATACAATTTTACACTCTTTTCCTTCGTATCTGATATTATTAAACTGATCGTTTAATTCTCTATCTTATGATGAAGACCCTGTCTCAATTGAACCTAACTGGCAGTCTACACTTAGCTTGCAGTTGAGAAGTGTTGGAAGATATCGTCTTGTGCAGTCTTTTCTTTGTTGTTGCTCTTCACCTTCAAACTATGAATTATAGAGAGTGGGTTATAGTGGTGTTATCACTTTGTTGAAAACATACAATCTCTCAATTGTCTATTCTCTCACCCCGTGTCGAAGAAAAACTCTGAGGAACATCCGGTTGTAATCCCACCTGATGGGCAACACAAATTGTTGCCGAGATAATACATAGAACTCATATTCATATATTCAGCTACACCTTAGCAATCTATGCTCAGCATTGCCATGATTGCGGCAGTTATATCAATGACTAGAACAACTTAGAGAAATGCACAAGATGCTAAGAAAAGCTGTAAGGGCGTTGTAACAACCAGTAAACAGTATAGTGGACAGAAATGTGCGAAGTGCATAGAGATGCTGGAAGAGATAAAGAGAAGGCTTCGGCGGGTAAACAGAATGACTAACTAGACTAGCCCCAAAGTCATACTTCGGATAGTTAAAATAATGATTAATACCACGTAAACTGTAAATGAAGCTGATGTCAAGAGACTCAAGATCTCCAACGGTGATCACTGCTGGAGAAAGGGCTGAACAATGCATGGCAGTGACTATCAGGGCAAACGAACTTCGCACAGGCCTAAGACTTTCACCGTTTGCTACCTATCGCGTCATATTCAATCACCGTTTAGGTGTGATTAAGGTAATATTCTCCTTGTGACTTTATTTTCCTGCTTCATCTGAACAACCAAACTCTCTGATTCTCGGATTCATCAAAGGTCAAGCCGCACCAAAATATCAGCATAATCATACCCAAGCAACACCCGCCGTGAAAGATAAACACCCGGCATCATATCTTCACAGACTAACCCAAGCTATATCAGTAAGCAGTTGCCCCTTTCATCCAACATTTATATCCGCACTCCGAGAAACTAATCCCAAGCAGATCCCTCCAGCCCTCGGAAACCGGCAGAATGTGCGAGCAAGTCGCAACAATCCGCCGCTGCAACACCTGCAGACAGTACAAGAGCAAAATCATCCGCAATATCAACTGCGACAAAGTAACAATCTACAAACTCGGGCTATGCCGCAACGGAATGAGCTACCGCGAAGTCACCGAAAGCATCGAATGCACCGAGTGCTACACCAAGCGCGAGCGAGAGGTTGAAGCTGATAGAAAGAGACGATGGCTTGCGGCGTGGCCTGAGGCCGAACCGGAGGCTGAGCATGAGAAGCAGGATGAAGACAAGGAGGAGAAGGAAGACGATGATGCGAGTTTGGCGACGGATGATATGACGGTGAATAGTGAGGAGTCTTGGAATGTTGTTTGAGGGTGTGGACGCAAGAAAACTCGAGGGAATTCGCTTTTGGGAGTATGGAGTGTTGATTTGAGCGATTCTGCGGCGATAGCAGGTAAGGATAGGAAGTTACTCAATTTGCATCCTACAAGCTGTGAACAAGGAAAAGTTGTTTCTGCACTCTAAACAAACCGGTGCATACTCGTGTCGGATTGTTGCGTGTTTGTGCGGAACTCAGGGACAAGTCAACGGCGATAAAGGCCATTCAGAGATACTTTCCCATCAGTTCTAAAAAGCACTTTGAATATAAAACCTTCGCATTCTCGCACTCACTCTTGATTCTTTATCAGTTAGATACATGGAATCACATCACTCGCTGTCACGTTTATCCGCATGCTAGGGGTTATACGAGGTTCTGTGTATAAATACCTTAGTAGAAACCCCTTCAGAGCCAACATAAGGTTGCTTCTACCACTCTCCAACATCTACGTATCATACTCAAAGCCTAAATAAACTACAGAATACCGCTCCCAATTTTCTCCTAACCTTTCACTCCATTCAGCATTTCAGAGAGAAGCAAAACGAGATATGTGTCTCAAAACTACCAAGTTTAACGAGTGCCACTGTGGATCCACCTGGGATGAGATCATCTCGTATACCACTTGTGCAGAAGTCGACACCGACAAACTGGGACAATGCAGCACCGGTTTTCAACTGATTGAAACAAGGATACCAGCTGAATATAGTGTTTGTAGAGAGGAGAGAGAGCGCAAAGAGAGGGAAGAACGAGAGAGGGTTAATGGTATTGGTGGAAGGCATGTTTCCTTTGATGATGATATAGTAGAGATCCCATAGACATGATAGGTGACAAGGCGTCTGATAAATCGCGAATTTAGTATATACAACTACTAAAAGTACAACGAGTCGAGAAGCTAAAGCAGAAGCTCCATATTATGAGAATGACTGAGAGTTAATATTGATATCCCTTGCTGCTTGGTTATAAACCTTGTCGTAGTTGTTGAAAACGGTACTACCCTTGTAGGTTGTTAGCCATGTAACAAATAAGATGACTAGTTGTGTTACCTTGTCATTACTCTCTTTGACTTCGCCCTTCATCATCTGAAGAATCTTGGCTTTTACAACTTTGTACCCTTCGTTATCGCGAGAGTCAAACTTGCAGATACCTATATGATTCGCTCTCAGAGGTAGTGTTTCGCCAATACCGGGATGAGAGGCCGATTTATCCTCAACGATCTAAAACTGTGAGCTTCAAATACACGGCAGTACTCTTGAGAGATATGACATACCCGAATACCTCCAGTATCCAAAGTTTCAAAGAAAAAGACGATTTGAACCTTGCTTTCAGCATTGCTGTTTCGCTTCCTGATAACTTCCGGGAAAGCCTTACCCAGCTCTTGGAGATCATGTGAATTTTCTTTCAGAGTCTTGAGGGTATTCTGATCAGTCTTCTTAACGACGTTGAATATCTTTCGGACCAACTCTCCCCATTTGGCCGCATTTGAGCCGGCAAAAGGGGTTCCGAGGAAAATCATGCCAGTCACATTTCTCGCCACAGCTTCGACATCATCGCCTTGAGCGTTCCTATCCCCAAGGACGATGGAAGTTGCACAGACTAGTCCGCCGAGACTGTGAGCTACAAGAATGATAGGCCGAGAACTAGAATCTGTGGAAGATCTCTGTTCCTGAACCAAGGAACATAGACTGCGAGCTTCATGGTCGAGGCTGCCCTGCGTGACTTCAGCAGAGTCTGAGTGAATGATGCTAGAATCATATCCGAAGCTCATAGTGCGTGAGTTGGGGACATCTTCGGCGAGAAGCTCTTTAGGCCAGAGAACTCCGTCTCTTGACCATGTCTTCTCGCGGTGACCTCGGAGGCCGTGAACAAAAACTATGCTGGAGGGTAGTTAGGAAGGGTTGTCTCATCCGAGATTGGGTGGGCATACTCGACTTCAGGGGTTTCTCCGGTATACCACACATCGAGACCGTACTTTGCCATGGTATCGTTCCAAGTAACTTAGGTAACCTTTACTACAATCAGTCAAAATCTTCTCAGGTTTCGTGAGATAGCCTAAGGATGACCATAAACTTACCAATGTCTTTCCAAATTTTAGTAAACCTTCTCATAAAATGATCATAATTATCCTAAGATCTACAGAACTCGATCACATCTTATCTATATATCTACCATGGACGCCACAAGGTTCTCTCAACAGCGCTGTAAGCCTGGTGCGGCTGAGTCTCTAGCGTACACATATGAGGATCACCTGGCCTATCCTGTCTGTCGTAGTGTTTCATTCCGGGGTTGAAAATGACGACGATGTTCCGTTTTAGCCGCTGTGGCTTTTCAAGGCTGATGAGATTGGGGGAAGGAAGCCATTTATGCGCAGCTGCATCAGGCTTGTAGGGGTATGGGAGGCCGCATTCCTTCTCTTCTCATTTGCGCATTTCATCTCTTGCAATCGAGCCTCTTCAACCCACCAGGATGGTCATTAAAGGTCCAAAGATCTGGTCTCCATGATTGGCAATTGAACATTCCCTTTTTCTTAAACCTACATAAATCTCGAGTTAACCAAGATAAGCGACGCATTTAAGCCCCCAGCCCTGCAAGTGAAGACTGCCTGGCGGATCAGGCCGATCGACATGGCCGGCGCTGGCCCAAGCACAACATTTCACAACAGTGGACCGATTCAGAACCAGGCCGGCCGGGATTTGTACTCATACCCTACCATTGTCGCGCCCCTTGCCCCGGCACTGGAGCTTCCTCATAACCTCTCATTAGAAGAGCTTCGGCAACATGCCAAAGCATCCGAGGAATCGGATATCCGCAGAGTCGCAGCTGCCCGGCTGAAGGACAAGCTTGCCTGCATCAAGGAGGCCGATAACTGGCTGAATCAACAGTGCTACGTTAGGGAAAACCTGGAGATAGAGCGCCTTTCTGGGGAGCGACTTCCTCTTGAGCAATGTTACATCAATCTCATAATTATCCCACATGCCAGGAAGCAAAATAATCCTTCCAGGCTCTCCAATCTCACACCCAACAATCGCGTCGCCAACCTCTCTCTGTTCCGACGCTTGAATGTTCAAGGCCCTGACGGCGGTGTCAAAGTCAAATTCCACGACATTTTTAACACCGCGCGGACTCACGGCGCGGCGTCCAAACACTCCAAAAGGATCCTCATTCGTGGTCAAGCTGGTGTAGGAAAGACGACATTCTGCAAGAAAGCTGTCCACGATTTTGTGCAAAACCAAGTCTGGAAACAACACTTTGATCGCATCCTTTGGGTCCGACTTCGCAACTTGCTATCACGCAATGGAAGATACAACCTCAAGGAACTCTTTTGCGATGAATTCTTCTCGCAGCATCCAAAATGCAGCGACCTTGCCGGAGCATTGCGAGATGCTTGTACTGACCCAGGCGGCGGTAAAACACTATTCCTGCTCGATGGTCTGGATGAGATCTGGCATTTATTACAACCCGGTGACGACCTAGCACGATTTGTCATATGCCTCCTCAACCAACCCAATGTTCTGGCACTATCGCGCCCTTCGGTTCTTATTCGCTCCAGCATACAACCATTTGACCTGGAACTTGAAATGATCGGTTTTGGGACAGATCAGGTGTACGAATACGTCAAGCACATGGAACCCGAAAAACACAAAGAGATTCAGTTATTCCTCTCATCTCGTCCACTCATCGAAGACCTCGTCCGTATCCCTATTCAACTCGATGCCCTTTGCTATGGTTGGGATCAAGTTCATAACAGGGGACCCGAAACCATGACGGATCTTTATCAGTCTATCGAAAAAGGTCTATGGAGGAAGGATATCGTGCGCTTGGGAAAGTCAAAGAGCGGATCAGCTGTAACCGAGGACGACAAGGTCTTTGATACAGAGGTTGAAGAGCTGATCGAAAACGAAACACGATTAATTGAACAACTTGCATTCACTGGATTATGCAACAACATAGTCGAGTTCCAAGAAAAACATCTCAACATCATTTGCCGATACATCAAAACCCATTCCTCCTTCGTCGACAAGACTTTACCGAAGCTTTCCTTTCTACGGACATCAGACTCATCGGTCGGAAAGCCGAGTCGTACCTATCACTTCCTACATCTAACTCTACAAGAATACTTCGCCGCCCGATATTTTGTGCGGATTTGGCTGCAAAACAACAAGGAGGATCTTGTCTGCATCAACTTCGATCAGAATGCGAAATTACATGGAACCGTCTCATCTCACACAGCCATGAAACCAAAGGACTTTTTTGCTCAAAACAAATACTCATGGCGCTACAACATCATGTGGCGTTTTACTACGGGACTATTACATTCAGGGAGGAGCGGCTCCGATGAACTGGCGTTGTACTTTCTCCAGACCATCGACACTAAGCCACTCGATCTAATAGGCGTAGCTCATCAGAGACTGATAATGCACTGCCTCGCGGAGCTACATCCTTCGCTATCATTGGAAAGACTCAAAAATCACAGAAGCCGACTTGAGGCTCATTTGGTGAGATGGGTCACTTTCCAAGCTCAAAGCAGGAAGCTCAAAGAGGGCACACTAGCCGATGAACCCGAGTTCCCCAACAAGACGCATTTGATGATGTTACAAAACGAGGATCCTGTTACCTTCCGAGCCGCATTGATAGCTTACAAGAAGAGGATGCGCTCGGGGTCTCGCGTTCCGCCCGAATTTGTGCATGTCCTGACATGTTGGCTTGGGAAAGCTGGTTTCCAGAAGACACAAAAGTACGGCGGCACTACACTTGAAACAGACGTCTCCATGGTGGTCAAATCCCTCGGTCCCCCAGAGTATTGGACAGAGGCTGTAAAAGATGCGATGGTTCTGAGTCTTGAGAACCAAAACCCGTGGGTCGCATCTGGTGTTCTCTCTGCTCTGAACGACTATCCAGAAATAATAGCGACTCATATCGAAGCCATCTCTACTATCCTGGACTCTGATGATGCGAGTTTAAGATGGCGGACAATAGTAAGGTTGAGTGGACAGAAAAACCTTCCTCAATTGACTCTTGATCGCATGGCAAAGTTTCTTTGCAGACAAGAAGAAACACGTCTCGCAAGAGAAAGAGTTCTTGACATCCTGTCAGCGGAGGATTACTGGGCCAAATACCTGACTTTGAAAACCACAGAGCTGGAAGGTGATGAAAAACACGGGATCACCTCAGCGGGTCTTGTGCAGACTGGCCTGGAACTTATCGAATACGGAGACCCAGAGACTGCGGCTATTGCAACTTTGGCACTTGGTTGTCGAGACTCGCATCTACCGAGAAAGGCTATTAACAGAATCCTACAAAACCTTTTACGAAATGAAGTAGTAATTAGACTGGCTTCTTTGGATGCACTAGCTCGTCAGACGAATCTTGAGAATGAAGATCTGAGGGCAGTTTCTGATCGCTTGATTAACCCGAACCGCGCAGTTCAGCTTGCCGCTGTCAAAGTGCTTGAGGGACGAAATGAGCTATCCTGCATGGATGATACGCTATGCTCCCTTGTCAAGTTTCTAAGGGTCGGACCTTTGGACATTGAATCGGAAATACGACTGATAGTGGAGAGAATATTGCGATCTCAGGAGAGACTCCCTGTAAGAGTTATGGAACTCATGCAATGCTGTTTTAACGATGAGATTACGAGCAAAGTGGTGGGCGAAAAGCCACTTTTTATCCCTGGAGGGTTCTCGGACGTTATGCCGCCTTTTCCAGAAGAAGCACTCGAAAAAGTCACTTGGTATCTTCGATCTGAGCATTGGAAAATCCGGCGAGGTGCGCTATTGTTGTTCGACGGCCAACCGAAGCTTTCTGAGACAGTGTTGAGCGCAATTATTCGCTGCCTCGTGGACGATCACGAGCCCATACGTCGACAAGTGATGAAAACCTTGGAGAGCCACCGATCTGATTTAAATGAACGACTATACTCAGCTATAGAAAGACATCTGGACAACGACGATGGAACGAAAAGAGACTTGGTGTTCCATACCGTTTACAGAACAGCTAGTTGTGCAGACGCTGTGCTGCAAACCATTGACAAAGCTCTACATGATAAAGATAATCTCATACGACTCAATGCCCTTACATATTGGATCCAGCACCCAGAAATTTCCGGCAGACTTCATGAGGCTGTGGCGGCTTGTTGTGAGGCCCTAACAGACAAACACCCCAAAGGAAGACATAACATGATTAAGATGCTGTCTCGAGAGACCAAGAGATTCTTCCCTGACAGAAGGATTCTTTATGCTCTTGCGGAATTTCTTAACGATGAAGATGTGAATATCCGGCGAGATACAATCAGCTATCTATCACGGCATCCAAACGTACCTCCCGAAATAGCGGCCCGGATAGCATCCAAGATATCAGCGTTCCCGGATGACATTTTCCAGTACACATCATCAATGACCATTTTGCTTCAACAAAGCGACGCTTATGGAGCGACGTTGGCTAGGGCGAAAGTGGATGAACAGCTCAAGTTTCTTCTTGAGAGGTCCGATACGATGCATATTGCGTGGTATACGAGAAATGGGCAGAGTATGATTGAGACGGGTAGTGGTGTGATATATAAAGAGTTGGAGAATCCGAGGGCTTTTGCAAATGCGGTTGACAAGGCGAGGAAGAAGGCGGAGATGCCTGATGTTGTGGCGAGAGTCCCCTGGCAGTGGATGGGGTTTGAGTGGTGACTATGATCCAGGGGAGAGGATCCCCAAAACAAACTGATCAAAGAGTCCCCTAAGCTTAGGCTAACTTACCCAAACACTTTTGTCGCTTAGGATCGAGGTCCTAAGATTTCTGGCCTCCCGTAGAGGATCTCCACAAGGGTTTCATGGTTCATTCTGAGATTAGCGAGGCGTTTTGGTGATATTAGAGGCTTGATATTCGGAACACGCCCGATGGATTACCCAGGCATTAGATGGAATATGGATACTATATACATTTCATTTTTATGTTATTTACTCAACGCGTGTGCTTCATATTAAAACAAATTTCTCTTCAAATTTATCCCGCATTATATATCATTTTCTTTTACTACAGCTATCGTAGGTCTAATTTTGGAACCTGATTCTGTGCTTAGCCCCCAGGATCATTGTGCTGCGCCCATGCACTCAGCCCTGTCAGGCCTTGCAGAATATCCACAGCTCTTACTAGCTGTTTAACGACGCTGAAGCATGGGTATGTGCTGACATTCTGGTTCCCTCCGTGCAAATATCAACCTTAATAACTCGAGCTCACTCATGAAACTTTATGGGATCATATCAAACTCATATGATTTTGACGCAAAATGGCATCCAATATGAAAACATGTTTTGTTGAGCGCAAGGACGCCATTCAAGTCCATGACCACTGTCCGGAACGGCCCTATGTTGAGTTGGAGGTTCCTCAAGATGCGAAGAGAGTCACTGCAGTTACCTTCGGTGGCATATCTCGCGATCAAGGTCAGTTAACAGGCTTTTATCTTTCATCAGAGGCAACTAACATGTCAAACAGGGTGGGCAGACAGATCAGAAGCAGTCTCCTTTACATGGTGGGATGCTTCAGTTAAACGTCCAGAAGGACGTGGAGATCTTCGCACGATCACTGTTCTCAATAACCGCCTGGCTAATGATGAACCTCAGGATTGGTCTGATAGATGGACCGTTTTTCATGGGCCAAGGCGAAGACTCTGGATTGAAGCACTCCGACCAGGCGATATTATTCAGTTAATTCCTCGAGCTATGTATATGGCTTGGGTGAACATCATCGACGGGGGCAGGATCAAGATTGAGTACGAACCTAAGGAATTGGAAGAGGAGCTTCAAGCGATGCAACTCACTTCAAATGCTTCGCATTATACTGGGGCGTTGAGTGTCGAGAAGCAGGATATTCGACTCCTTCACGTTCAGCCAGGGACTTTTGACGATCCGATCAGATGTTCTTTTCGCTTGGCAAGCCTGAAAGAAGTCGAGTCAAAAGGGATCGGCTTCCACGCCTTATCGTACTGCTGGGGAGATCCCACCGAGCGAGAGGAAATCTTCTTATCTAAAGAAGGTGACTTTGACAATGGAAAAGAAGGAATACCTTTTAGTATTGGAAAGTCTGCTGCCCAGGCTCTTCGTCGGTTGAGGCTGGAGAGTGAAATCCTTGTTATCTGGATCGATGCTGTGTGCATTAATCAAGATGATCTCGAAGAGAGGGCCCAGCAGGTCACGCTGATGAGTCAGATTTATTCTTTGGCCTCAGTAGTTCACATCTGGCTTGGTGAGGATAACCACGGTATCGAGGCTTGCTTGAAGCTCATTCGAGATATTTGCAACTCGAACTCCGGACTATGCCCAGGCGGTGAACAATGCTCGTGTCTTGGAACAGCTCACACAACACCACTTGAAGAGATCAGGGCGTATGAGCAAAGCAAGAAGGATGAGGGCCATGCGATATCCTTCAAGGGAATGTGGGAGGTTTTCGATATTCATTTGAAGACCTGGACAAGGGAAATCATTGATCTTGCAGGCTGGTATGGAAACACCCAGCTGTCATTCCTCATGAGCACTCTCTATGAGAACCCATGGTTTACACGAGTATGGGTGATTCAGGAGGCTCTATCAGCAAAACAACCGTTCATACACTGCTCCGGTGAGCAAGTTCCATGGGAAGAAGTGGTTCAGGTCAGCAATTGGCTTGAAAATCCTGGTTACTCAGGTCAAAGCCCCCATATCGCCTCACAGCAGATTTCCATGGCGGCTATTTGGAAGACTTTAAAGCCGAAGGGGAGAACAACAGAGGTACCGACAACTCCCATCGAAGCACAGGATACGAATGAGTTGTCGAGTATTCTGGAAGTGTTTCTTTCAGGTCTGGATCTCAAGGCGACTGATCCTCGAGATAAGCTGTTTGCTTTGCTCACCTTTGCGAATGAGACGCATGATACTACGAAGTTGGATGACTTGATTCGACCTAACTATGACAAGTCGAAAGAGAGAGTATTTGCCGATTTTACTCGCTGGTGGATCCGGGAGCACAATTCAGTTGCAATCCTTTCGTCCATTCATTGTCAGCCGTCACGTACTTGGGTAAAGATTCTAGGCCCGGACACTGATGACCTAGTAACAAACCGACCAACTTGGTCTGTTGACAGCAAAGGAAGCTCAAGACGGACTCAAGCCAATTTGAACGCCCGATTTAAGTTCACAGCAGCAGGCGATACAAAGCCAGATCTTGAGCTTCTGAAGACCGACGATCCTCTGATTCTTCGACTTTCAGGGCTTCATATTACAGAGATTAAGAACATCAGTCACGCACCTATCGAGTACATCTATCCTTACCAAGGCTCTACCGGAAATCAAAGCGAATTATCTTAAGTCTTTGACAAGATCTTTGATCCGTGTGCTCTATCACCATTCTGGTCAAGCAAACACAGCGCAGATGACTTCAAAGTGGAGAATAACCAGACGTGTAATATGAAGTATCTGGATCATATGCGGTCTCACTGGAACTACGTTGCGCGAGAACCACTCGATGTTTTGAAACCAAGCGCGGACAAAGATTCAAAGCACTACAAAACGAATAAACTTCCGACATGCATGGATCCTTGTTTCTTCGTTACGACTTCGGGTTTGTTTGGATTATGCCCTTGGCGGTCGAAGGAGGGAGATGTGATTGTGTTGCTTGATGGAGGAAATGTGCCATATTTGCTACGACCTGTTGGTGAGCAGAAGTTTGAGTTGGTTGGGGAGTGTTTTGTTCAGGGGATTATGCATGGGGAGATTTTGAAGGGTTTGGATAAGCTTGGAAATGGGACTGGGAAGAGACAGGTTTTTTGTATTGTTTGAGGATTTATTTGAAGTAAGTAAACTTATTCCAAGCCCGTAACTATTTCCGTGCTCTTTGAGAGGGGTATTTCTCGGACATAGATAGTCTGAATAACACTTACGAAGGGTTAAACCAGAAAAGTAATCTTGAACGCTATGGAGTCACTATACAAAGTAAATTCTGCCACTGCAGAGCAAATTCCCCCCTCACGATCTCAAGTACCTATATCCATAGTATCCAAGAATACCCGTCCCCGACACAGCAGTTGTCAAGATGAACACCAAACTCGTCACAATACCCTGCTCAAAGAAACCAAGCTTCGTTCCCTTCAGCTTACGCTTCATCTCGGGGAGACTCTTCGTAGCTTCTTGATCTAGTGCACTTAGCTCTCTGGTCGAAGTTGTGTTGACAATCTTGTCGAGCTTGCTGTCCGTGGCGGATTTGGTGAGATACTTGGGCTTTAGGCGGGAGAAGAGATCTTGGTGGTAGATGTTGTTGGTGCCAGATTGGGGAGGGATGCCGGATGGTGCGGTTGGGGAGTCTGAGGACTGTTAGTGTTGGTTTTAAGGGACGGGAGGTGTGACTTACAGAGTAGTTTGGTGGGGATGTGGTTAACGAAGCTGACGGCTGTATCTACGAATTGGCATAGATACTTGGCCATGGCAGGATTGGTGAAGACATAAGCAGCGGCCAGAGATCCAATACTAGAAAAGTCAGTCATCTATAGCTGAAGGAAACATTTTGTACATACTCTCTTGAAGCATCAATAGCATCGTCCATGCTCGTAACAGCATGCACGATAAGCGTCGTCTCATCAACCTTTTGCTGAAGCAAACTCGATTGTCTGCTTTCAACATCAAGAATCACCCCATTCGATCCAGAAAGCACAACATGCACAGAATCATCCTTCTCAACCTCTTTCGACAGCGCTGACTTGGGAGCTTTAGATTTATTCGGAGAATTGGCTAGGAACTCAGTACTCTGTTGCACAAGAGCTCGAAGTAAATCCTTCTTTACCCATTCGTTGACGAGGACAACGTCAGGGGCGTAAGGCGCTTTACCTTGGAGGCTGAAGCGCGCGGATACAAGAGCTTTTGCTGCTGCTTGGATATCTGCATCTCTCTCCACGAATGCTACGACTGGTGCCTCTGGATCCGAGACGAGATGGTCTTTCAGAATGGGACCGTCTGAGCCATTTTGTGAGACGCGAATGTGAGGAACGTTGATATCTTCTGCTGTGACTTCTTGGTTCGAGACTGTGAAGATATCTCTATCCAAAGACTTGGCGATCAAATCTAGCACAATCTTTGGTGTCTCACGCAGTGAATTTTGAGCCTATACTCTCATTAGTTTTCATTTTCCTCAAAATATTCAAAGGTAACTTACCTGTACAACAACACAGTTTCCAGCCGCAAGAGCCGGCGCCAACGCCGCAATCAATCCATAAAAGAACGCATGATACGCCGGTTCAATAATAACAATGCCAATCGGTTCCCGACTAGTAACATCATCATGACCTTTCGTAACAGCATACTCATCCTCAATCGCTTTCACCGGATCAAGCGCCTCATGCGCTTCGGCAATAGCTTGTAAAGCAAGCCAATACTCAACCTTGACCTCAGCAGGTTGATGCCTCGTATCCTTCGCAATAGCATCTTGAATCTGAACAGCTTTATCTGCCAGCGCGCTGTGAAGATTCCGCAGTTGATCTTTTCGGTAGAACGGGTTGTGAAGACGCCCGTCGATGGCTGCTGATCTGATTGCTGCGAATGATTTCGACATTGTGAATGGTGATGATGGTGCACTATGCTGATGTTGGAAATTGGAGATATGAAGTATTGTTGAGGACCCCTATTTTGTGATGCTAAGAACTCAAGTTGGGGTTGATTCCGGGGACCCCGGATTCTCCATCGGTTCGGGTGAGGAGTATCGGGGTTGTATTCCTCCACATCCCGAGTGGAGGTCTCATCAAACCATAATGCCCCGAATCACCCGGTAGAGTTGGAATAGCGTGTGAGATTAAGGCAAAAATGTAACCTCTGTAATTTACCAACACGTCTATCAATTTCAAATCCATCACCCAAACTTCACATCAACATCTATCTACACCTTCATCATGTCGACCACTACAGTTACACATACCCAAAACGGCGACTTTCACAGCTCCATCCTTCGCGATTATGAGCTTCACCACTCTCACGCTCGCGAAGAATCGCCTGATTGCCGAACAGCGCCAGTGACTTCTGCAGATCATCCTGAGTTCGATCTACCGCATCGTCGGGTGCCTGAGTATAGGCCGCTTAATCGAGACGCAGCGCATGTTAATGGTGTTCGCGTCTACACCAGCACGGCTGAGAGGTTCTTCATAACTGCTATGTTTAGAGGCCTGAATGTCAATGCTGTAAGTACAATCGAAGTGTCTTATGTGTATGAGCTAACTTGAGAAGAGCGCTGCTCAGTATTGGAGGGCATCGATTGGGAAGTTTACGGATAAGGTTTGGAAGTATCAGGTTGGAGGAGAGTTTTAGATTGGCAGTTGAATTGCTTGACGGTCGGAGTTTACTATTGGATTTCTTTGTTATTTAACATATATCAAACTTATCAACTTGGTTCATTTTTCAGTCTCACGGCTGTCATATGCTTCCGACTTCCAATTCCTCGTATGAAAGACAAGCCAAGCACCCAGGAGCTTATATCATCAGTATGCGATTGTATGCATGACTCTATGTTCTAGCCATATATCAAACGATGTCTTTTGTCAAGGTCCGGTAAGAACATAACAAATGCTATCGCTTCTTCAGGAATTTGGTCAACCCATGACATCTGTAGGGGATACAAAAATGTCAGGGAATTATATAAAACAACCATCTTAGTTCTATTTAGCCTCGTTCTAGCCCAATATTCAAATTGTTCTACTCGGAAGCCTTGACGCCCTCCATATTTCCATAATCCTCACCCAGCTCCTTACCCCCAACATCAGGCTTCGTCGACGGCAAAAGCACATACAACATCCTCGCCCATTCCGTCTCACTAGTATTTCTCCACGCATGCATAGTAGCTCTTTGAACACAAACATCACCCCTCTTCAAAATCTTCTTATCCCCCGAATCCAGAATGAGCTCCACCTCACCCTCCAGCACAACACCGTAGTCAAGACTCACAGTGCGGTGCATAGGTGAAAGATGGCCAGGGCACATATCGACATAGCGGAGGATAGTGCCGGTTGAGATGCTGAGGCCTGGCTGGTTGGTAAGGAAGCCTTGGTAGGATTCTACATCGGCGTTGTTGGTGAGCTTGGCTGGGAATTCTTTTGTGGCGTATCCTAGTGCGAAGTGTGCTTCGCCGCTGGGGAGGGCGTAGAAGGGTGCGTCTGAGTTGATTGATGTGTCGATGATGGCTTTGCCTTCATCATTGTGTGTTGTGATGATGCGTTGGGTTTGCCTGAGTTTGCCGTTGAGAGCCATTGTAAAGGTGTATAGTTGACAAACTTTATGTATAGCTGGTTATGGCAGATAATGGGTTCTGTAAGCTTCCTATGAATACTGTTCGAAATCAATGTATTCTCGTAGTGTTATTTCTCCTCATATCTTTTATGTTAACTGCCGGATATATGGTGACCCCATTTCTCTTGCATACCCGGGACCATTTCCCCTCGATTTACTCATCGGGATGTGGAGAGCGCCCATAACAACCGATTGCCGATCGTCCACTTAAGTCTTCGCGGGGTTCGGAATTAAGTCCTCGGGATAGAACAGCCCAATGATTGATAATACGTGCCTAGAAATGAATAGAGCTACCATTTGTGCCATCTATACTACTATACTTCGAAAAAAAGAAAATCGTGACTAGACACATATTACGGACAAACACGATGACAGCCGCAGACTTCTCTCATCACTTCACCGAGAAGAACATTCCTTTTGGAATAGCTTCTTCTCAGTCTCATAAGAACCCCCAAGCTGTTACTAGGCTTGGGAATACGGTGATATTTCTGAATGATCTTATCGACCAATTATTCAAGGATGTCGATGGCTGCCCTCGAGGTGTTCTTAACGAACAAACTTTGAACTCTTTTGCTGCTCTTCCTAAGACCGTGCATCAACATGTACGAAAGCAAATCCAGCAAGTTTATCAACAAAATGCTCTCAATGGCTTTCCTTCAGGCAGCAAAGAAGACATACATGCTGTGACAATGCATTTGCCAGTGGAAATCAAAGACTTTGCAGGTATGAGAAACCCCTCTTGTGATCTTGATGAAGTGCTAAATTCAAATAGACTTCTCCTGCTCCCTTGACCACGTCATAAACGCAGGCCGTATAGTAGTCAACAACGGAACGCCGCCACCCGGCTTCTTCAAGTTTCCAGTTGGATATCAAGGCCGAACAGGCTCTATCGTCGTTTCAGGAACGGAAATTGAACGTCCTTATGGACAGTTCAAGAACCCTGCTGCAACCGAAACTGATGATCCAATTATTTATGCACCGTCTCAGAAGGTCGATTATGAAGTTGAGCTTGCAGCAGTGGTTGGAAAACCGTTGGCTATGAAGCAGAGACTTCATGCGAAGGATGCTGAGGACCATATCTTTGGTTTTGTCATTCTTAATGATTGGAGTGGTAAGCATTCAAACAACGCACTTGTCGACAGGAGAGACTAACAAACCTAGCCCGTGATATTCAAGGGTTTGAAATGTTCCCTCTCGGCCCTTTCAACGGCAAAAGTCTAGGAACTTCTATCTCTCCCTGGATTATCACCCTCGATGCTCTAGAGCCTTTCAGAACGAAGGCCCAAGAGCAGAAGGCTATATCAGCCTCATACCTCCAGCATCCCAACCCCTCAACCTTCTCCATCACCTTGAAAGTTGACGTCCTGGCAAACAGCACCGCCACAACACTTGGAGTCTGTCCAGTCGAATCTCTGTACTGGACCCCTCAGCAAATGGTCGCGCATTCAGTCAGTTCGGGCAGTGCGCTGCGAACAGGAGATCTTCTGGCTACAGGTACTGTTTCTGGTTCTGAGGAAACAAGTCGGGGTTGTATGCTCGAATCTACAGAGGGCGGTAGTAAACCGGTGACTTTGAGTGATGGGTCGAAGAGGGGATTTCTTGAGGATGGTGATGTTGTGAGGATAACGGGATCTGTTGGTGGGGATGGTTCAGGTGTTGGATTTGGTGAATGTATTGGTCAGCTCACTCCTGCTCGACCTTATTGACCTTTGATTCTATAGATATGTGAAGAATAAAGAGCCTTATTTGAATCAAGTGTCTTATTTTACTCTCTATCCGAATCACTATCTAAGGCCATGAGTATCTTTCCTTGCTGTGACCCAGGTCTCCCATCAATTTATTGAGGCAAATACTACTCTTCATGCAGTATCAACCTTTGTGTTACTTGGATCACCTTCATAGTCATTTAAAAACTAGGAGATATTGGTTCCACCAACAAAGCTAGTCGCGTCACCAGACATCACCATATACAATGGCAAAACTCAGTATGCAATCAAATGGCTTCTTGCTATAAAATACTAATCAAATATATATACAAAACTTAAAATCGCTATTCAATTCTACGAGCATGAGAAATATCATCCACACCCCTTCCATACTCAACCTTACTCTTAACAACACCATACACAGGAATCTGGGAGAACCCAGTCGCAATATGGTTCAACGTAGGCAGAGTATCCCATGTACCCGCCGTAAGATCCAAATCCCCGCCACTTCCAACCAATGTCTTCTCAACCTGTCGCTTCGTCGTCTCCAACCCATCCTCAATAAACACAGGGTACTCGGCATCGGCAACACCAGGTTTACCGACAGCAGGAACATATCGGTATACCAAAAGTCCTTGCTCCTCTGGCAGAGGAGGGGCTCCTGGGGGACCAGTAGGAGGAGGATGGCCGTTTGTGCCGTTCACACCGTTTGCGTGCCCGTTGACAGCCTCGCCTAGACTCTTGAGCGTGATATTGACGAACTCTGCTCCTCGCCAACTGCAGCGAATACTAGTATTTGCTCCCTTCTCCACGACATCAATATCGCAGAAAAGCTTGGGCATACCCAACTCCTCACGGCCAGTGACGATAGGATCAGCCAAGTTCTCCAGCAGCACGGCAAGGAAAGATCCGTAAATCTTGCTGCCGTCTTTCTTCTCATACTGTACGCCATGGATCCAAAGACCGAAGAACTTGTAGCCACCGCCACCGAGCCACTTCATATCCTTCAGTTCTGTACAGGAATATGTAGCTTCAGCGACGGTGCCGGGCTTATAGAAGCTGAAACGGTCCGTGGGGAATAGGGTCTTCAGGTATGGAGCCGAGGACTTGAAACGGACGGACCACGTGGTGAATGAAGAGTCATTGCCATTGTATCGTTGTCCATGGTAATCTTGTCGCGGACTTGGCATGGGGCCGAAAGAAACCGGTGATTTCCAGTGTAGGTTCTTGTTTTCAGACCAAAGCTGATCTCTAAGAGCCTTCTTGGTATTGTGCCATTCATCATGGCCGAAGTTGTAGTTGAGGAACTTGAAGACTGATGATTGTCAGCGTTGAATCGTCACGTGAGTGTTACATGACTCACTGTTGAACTGAGCTCGCTTTTCCTCATTGAGATCCTCGCCAGCTTGTCTGGTAAAAGTCTGCACTGTGTGAGCTCTCTCGTCTCTAATCTTCTCATACAGAGCTAGACGGCTGGGGATATCATTGGCTGTTGTGCCGGCTGGGAACAGTGCGACCAGTGATGCGGCGTCTTCGATGGCGATACCACCTCCTTGTCCTTGATCTAGATAATAGGTATGGTCAGTGATGTCGATACCATTCAGATGTGATGGACGTACGAGGCAAGAATGGATGAGCAGCGTCTCCAAGAAAGACAAGACGATCTCTGTGCCATGTTGAAATACGGTCCATGTCCAACAGAGTCCAAAGCTTTAATTCGCTGACATCCACCAGATCCAGAAGAGCGAGGACTCTTGGCTCAAAGTCCTTGTAAACTTCAAGAAGGAGGTCCTTGCTACCACCATGGCCCCAGCCTAGTAATGTCAGCTTTAATCCTCAGAGTTCAGCTTCTTGCGTCACTTACCAGATCCCTTGTTTGCTCCCGAAGTGATACTGCTAGGATGAATGGCGACAAAATTCATGACAGTGTTGTTAGAGCAAGGATACATGACCAATCTGCGATCATCGCCCATCCACATGGTCATTGTGCCAGTGCGTTCAGCGAAAGGCTTGGTTGTTTCGTTCTTGAGGATATCTGAATGGGGAATCATAAAGCGGAATGCGCTCTTTCCGGAGCCATAAGGCTTGATATCTGAGCCGGTAACGATGGATCGCGTTATTGACTGCTTGTTATCAACTTCAAACGATATAAAAAAGGAGATTTGGGTTTCTTACGCTAACACCATCGGCTCCAAGGACCAAGTCTCCCGATACTGTAGTTCCATCCTCGAACTTGACTGTCGCCGTGACGGGATCTACGTCAACAACTGGGCTGGAGGTCTTGAGAATAGCTGGTGTTCCGGGGCCGTCACTGGAAGTCGCTTGGTTCTTGAGGTTCTCATGAAGACTGACACGATGCGCCAGGACCCATGGCTACGCCCAGTTAGCGATTGCTGTTGAGATCAAGATTGGTTAACGTACGTGCTCCCAAACTGAAAGTGGTCCTTTGAGATTCTGATCAAACTTCAGGTGTCCATCACCCGTGTACTCAGTGACCTGCTAAATTTCAGCTTGTCTTTCATACTTCTGTGTCATTGTGCTACTTACGCCTTCAACGCGATTTGCACCAAAGCTCTCAGGGAAAACACCAAATCGCTTCAAGATTCCATGACAATTGGGAGCTAAGTGAATGGCAGCACCGACTTCTTTTGCCAGTTGTGATCTCTCGAATAGCTACAGAGTATGAGTCAAAGTGGGTATCGTCATGATAAAGTTCACCTACTGTTACTTTATGCCCTTGTTGGCGGAGACCAAGCGCAGCGGTTAAACCACCAATGCCTTGATATGTCAGCCTTTTCTTAGTATAACAGGTCGATAATTATTCGGATTACCTGCTCCAACAATAAGAATGTTTAAAGGTCTTGTTTCTGTGTCTTGAGTCATGATTGCAAGTGAATAATACGATACAATAACTCAAGAAGAGCGTACTCGGCAGTTGTTTATGACCAAACGATGTAACTATTTCGTGCAGCTCCTAACTTAATAAACCCCCTACTCAAAGAAACGTCTCATGATCAAACTTCCCCAGATCCCCCATCTCATCTCCTCCAAGTCCCCGATCTTACTTGCATCTGGGGTTCACAACTTCGGGTCTCGGCCCCACGTAACCGAACACCCCCCCGTATCGGAACCCTCCACCTAAAAAGTTGGGGTTTCAACCGAAGGAACAATTCGGCCAGAAAGAAAAATATGGTGCAATTGAGGGGGAGTAATCCACTGAGAGGGAAGTGAAATAGGGCCTGTCATACGATATTTTACAAGGGCTTTTTTTTGGTCTTAGCATAACTCAATTCTACTACTACACCAATCATTACAATGCCGAACCCTATCAAGGAGGATATCCATACTGTGGATGAGGAGTCGTTTCCTTACATTTTTGAACAGAATGCTACTGTTCCTCTCAAGGCGGGTGATGGTTTGGTGAGACTTAATGTCTATCGTCCTAAGGGTGTTGACAAGGTGCCTGTTCTCGTCACATATGGCCCTTATGGAAAGGACATTTGGTATCAAGAGTGAGTCTCTATTCTACTAATGATAATGGCAATTAACATCATTGCAGCTTCCACCCCAAGTCCTTTAGTGAGGTAAATCCTCAGCACAAGTCCCAGCACTCAGCATGGGAAACTCCAGACCCTGGCTTCTGGACCAAGCACGGCTATGCCATCGTCCGTGCTGATGAGCGAGGTCTCGGCCAATCAACCGGCAAACTTGACACCATGTCAAGAGGCACCAGTGAAGCCTTCTTCGACGTAGTTGAATGGGCTGCCGAACAGCCTTGGTCATCTGGCAAAGTCGGTCTTCTCGGCATTAGCTACTACGCTGGAAGTCAATGGCGAGTCGCAGCCCGCAAACCAAAGGGTCTGAGTGCTATTGTTCCCTGGGAGGGCATGTCAGATTATTACCGCGACCGATGCAGACATGGTGGAATTTTGTCAAATGCTTTTATCAAGTTTTGGTGGAATCGGCAGGTTATTACGAATCAGTATGGTCGACCTGGACGAAATGCCCGGAACTGGGGTCCTGATACTATCGAGGGTGATCTACCGGAAGAAGAGCTCGAGGCCAACAGACAAGATCAGACCATTGATAACCAAGTCAACCGCTTCCGAGATGAGGCCTACTACGCTTCCAAGGAGTATGACATGGGTGACATCGAAGTCCCTCTCCTCTCAGTGGGTAACTGGGGTGGTATTCTTCTTCATCTCCGCGGCAACATCGAAGGATACATCCACGCTGGTTCAAAGTTCAAGTATCTCCGCCTCATCACCGGTCGCCACGATCTTCCATTCTACTACGAGGAAGAAGTTGAAATTCAGCGAAGCTTCCTTGATGCTTTCCTCAAGGGCGAAGACCGCGTTGGTTGGTCCCAAGAAGGCAAGGTCGCTCCTGTTAGTCTCGTTCTTCGACAGGGCAACGTTGGCTTCAACGATGCCGAGAAAGAAAAGGTTTATCCTCGAAGGGAAGAGAGCGAGTGGCCTATTGCACGAACCCAGTATAAGAAGCTCTTCCTTACACCTGAACAAGGTCTAAGCTGGGATGAGCCCAAGACAGATCGCAAGAAGATTACCTACAAGGCACTTGGAACGCTAGAGAAGCCCGAGGTGGTCCAGTTCTCAACTCCTGCTTTTGGGGCTGAGACAGAGATCACAGGCCACGTTGTTGCTCATCTCAATGTCTCAGTCTCCCCTGATCCTTCTGGCCCTACACCCAGTGACATTGATCTCTTTGTCACCCTACGCCACATTGACCCATCAGGACAAGAGGTATTTTACACTGGCACAGCAGGCGACCCTGTTCCCGTGACAAAAGGCTGGCTCCGTGTATCGCTGCGCAAGGTTGACCAAGAACACCCTAAGCACCGCGAGTGGCTTCCTCATCGCAACTACACCAGCAAAGATGTTCAACCCGTGATACAGGGCGAGATCTATGCTGTTGATATTGAAGTCTGGCCTACCAATGTTGTTGTGGATAAGGGTGGCAAACTGGTGTTTGAGGTATCGTCTGGTGATACTCAGGGATCCGGTATTTTCTGGCATAACGACCCGGTTGACAGGTAAGCATAAATGTTTGAGATTGTGGTGCTCATTGCTAATTGATTTCTAGATCACCTGAGATCTTCCAAGGTTCGAACCATATCCACTTTGGACCTCGCCAACAGAACTATATTACTCTTCCAGTGATTCCCAACTAGGTAGACAGCACATAGATAGCATAATAGATTAGTCGTTCTCACCATCCAATGGATGCAACTGTGAGACCTCGCATAAGTCCAGATACATTCCTCCATAAACAAAACTCGGTATTACATATGCAGCATGGCTGCTTATACACCACAATAAACTCCATCCACCGAATATTAACCTTCGCCCTGACACTGGTATCCCTGCCATTGGCTACTACACAAAAGACTAGAGCATATAGACAGCCACAATTGCAGCCGCCGCAGCCATTCCACCAACGCTACCCTTCTTGTTGACACTAGCTCCAGACACAGGGACCTGAGCTGAAGGGGTAGAAGCGGCACCCGAACCAGTAGGTGCAGCAGCTCCACCGCCGCCCTTGGTGTTTGATACAACCATCAAGGGCTTCTCAGTGCATGATGTAGTCGGGAGGGCCGAACGAGTTACAATATCAGGAGTCGTTACGGCAGAGGGACATTCACTGCAGGTGATAGTCGTGGACGCAGAGTCGGCAGCGTGGACTCCTGAGAGCACTGTCCAAGGTATCTGTCAGAACATAATGTACACCTGGGTAAGTAAAGGGAATTCTTACCTGCAAGAGCTGCGACGATAGTGAACTTCATGTTTGTGTGTATGAATGAAATGAGAGTGAGTGAGTGAGTGTCAAGGAGTGAATGTTGAAACTTGAACAATATTATGGCAGCAAGTGGTTCGATGGGATGCAGAGACAGATAAGACAAGAGACAGACTAATTAAGAAGAATGGTATGTTTGATAGTCTGCATCACTTGCCAGGACAATAGGATACTAATCTCAGCACTGACTATTGATTCCACGGACCAAACTCTGTCCGAAGACTTTCGGATGATCGGGCAGATTACCAATTCTCCTGATCTACACCAATTTCCTTAAGCCCAGCCTAAGACACGATAGTCCAGTCTCCAGAAACATTTACCTTAGAGGCAACAATCAACATTATCTTTAGAATTCTAAATATCCAAGGCTGATTAACGCGACGTTGGCCCCCGGATGGTGAATACTCCGAGCCATGTCTCACAAAATCGAGCACTATAACTCAATCCTCTCTAGCTCACGGAAACAAAACTTGCCGACACTCAAAAACCCCACACTTTGAGAACAACGGACAAATGATATTCAACGCTAGTTTCACACTATTCTACACGGCTACGTGAGATGCCGAGCCCCAAGTACCTGGCGATCATCCCACTAGAGGTAGTCCCCTTCAAGACGGGAAGCCATGACGTTTTGATTCGGCAACTTATGTTCTGTTTTGTTTGTGGAAGATGTTTCTTTGGGCTAAAAGTTATAGTGCACTGCTACTTTTGGGTTCGGCTGTTTTGTTTAGTGAGATTGGACAGGGCGGAAAGATCGGAGCGGATGGGCAAGAAGCCGAGTTTTGTTAGTGAGTCTAGGGAGAAATAGGGCTGTGTGTAATTTTAGGTGATCGGAGATGGTGGCTGTGAGATGAGAGTCAAAGCATCATGGGGAAACTTGGCGTGGTTTGCTTAGAAACATTTCAGTTGTGATGCAGATATGTATATCTTTGACCATTCCATTGGAGATCTGGGGAGGAGGCTTTTTGATACAAGTCAAGACTCATCTGCCCTACTGTAGCACTACGTCTCTATCCTCTCATTCATCTCCTTCATCAGTTAATCGAGTTTCCTCTAATTACTTGACATCATGCACTTCTCTACTGCCCTTCCTATCCTGGCCGCTGGCCTCGTCTCTGCTGCCCCGGCCATTCAGAAGCGTGCTTCCGAGCTCAACGATGGAGTCATCCTCAACTATGCCCTTACTCTCGAGCACCTGGAGGACAACTTCTATCGTCAGGGTCTTTCCAATTTTACTGAGAAGGACTTTGCGGATGCTGGTTACGACTCTACCTTTTATAACAACATCAAGAAGGTCTCCTCTGATGAGACTTCGCATGTTGACTTCCTCACCAAGGCTCTCAAGGGTATGTTTTGATTGATAATGATAGTTTGTTTAAGTATGCTGACATGTGTAGCGGCTGGTGTCACACCTGTCCAGGAGTGCACGTACTCCTTCGGCGTCACAGATGTCAAGTCCTTCCTCGCAACCGCCTCCGTCCTCGAGGGTGTCGGCGTCTCAGCTTATCTCGGCGCCGCAGCCGACATCATGAGCAAGACCTACCTCACCGCCGCCGGGTCCATCCTCACCGTCGAGGCCCGTCACTCATCTTACATCCGCGCTGGTCTTAAGCAAGCCCCCTTTGCCCAGCCCTTCGATGCTCCTCTGAGCTACAACGAGGTCTACTCTCTTGCCTCAGGCTTCATCACCGGTTGCCCTAAGGAGAACCCTGCTCTCCCCGTCAAGGCTTTCCCTGCCTTGGCTGCCTCTGCTTCTGGTAGTGAGATCAAGACTGGTGATACCGTTACTCTTCAGACACCTGGTTATACCCTCGAGGGCGCTAAGGGCCAGAGTGTCTACGCTGCTTTCATCGCCGTGACTGGCCCAACATTCGTTGAGGCCAAGGCTGTTGACGGTGGTTTCTCCGTTGAGATTCCTGAAGGCTTTGCTGGACAGACATACGTTGTCCTCACTGGCTGCAAGGATGTTGTCTCTGATGATACCGTCGCTGCTGGTCCTGCTATCATTGAGGTGAGTTGATGCAATGAATAGCGAAGCAATCACAAGTAACTAACATGTATACAGATCTCCAGCTAAGCTTGTTATGCTGGAAGGCTACTCTTGGAGTTTGATATGGGTCTATGGAGGAATGATAATAGCTCGTGCTAGAGATGGCAATCTAATAAGGACGATTCTACATGTACATAATTCTTTACGTCGCGAAATGGACTTTAGTACACGTATTAGCACGGATACTTGAATCAATCAATCACTTGTATTTATTGCGCGCTGTTTATGAAGGATACTAACAATCTGACGTGAACCAAATCTTCCTTACGCCGCCGTCGCAAGAGTCCTCGGCCAACTTCCAAAAGTAAACTGACTATTACACATATTCGTCAACTCCCAAGTCTCAGCCTTGAGCTCACCATAAACACCCTCATCCTCCTCATCCCCAACGGCACCCGCCACAAAAAGCGCCGACATGAAATGATCATCCGTAGCATGAGCATCTCTATAAAATGGATGTTTCATCAACCTCGTCATCGCGCGTCTCAATCTCGGTCCACTATTGTTCTTGATAACATCCTCAACGGCCTGTCTAAACTCCAGGGCCCACGCCTCAGGTGGTTTCTCTTGCGCAAAGTTATCCGAGTAATACAAGATGGGCGCCCAGATATTGCGGTATAGGTTATGTACTGCACCACCTGAACCGATAATGAGATAATTTTCTTTTCGAAGAGGGCGTAGGGTCTCGCCGACGCGCATGTGGTAGTGAGGATCGAAGCGCGCGTTCATGGAGATTAGGGTCGTTGGTGGACATCCGTTGGGAAACATGCGGATGAGGATGAGATATGTATCGTGGATCCAATCAAAGTCGGGATTTCCAGAAACATTAAAGCCGGCTTCTTTAAGGAGGGAAATACATCGTTCGCCGGTCTCGAGATCGGGGTTGAGTTCGTAGTCGACGTATTTTGATGGGTGAACGTATGCGACGGGTGATTTGCCGGGTTTGGGGTTCATGGCGACTTGCATGCGATCGCCTTCAGCGTCCCAATGAGCGCCCTAATAATTGCAGTTAGTCAATTGATGATAAATGCAGTATGTGAACAACACACCATCATAATAACACCCTTAATATTGTTGGCCAAGGCTTGATCACCGGCCTTCTTCCAGTAATCGGCTGCCTCGGACTCTTCTCCCAGCATCATGGTAGACCCATGGGAGAAGAAGTGGACTGGTGATAGATTGGCTTTCATGATGTCAGTAAATTTGTCTAGAACCGATCAAGTCAACATACCCATTCTTGGACAAGTGTCAGTTATCTATATATTTGTTGAATGTGCTCTAAATTAATCGCCGAGATTGTAAGTATAGGGTGATTAAATCTCCATCGGGATGTGGAGGACCTCTCTCCCCCAATTTTCGTATTCCCCTCAAATCACGACCCTCCCAATACAACACCAAACCATCCCAGATCTAGCATCGCTTCCCCCGAAAGTAGCCACCCCCGCAAAATGAAACCTGAGATCCCCCCCGCGGAATCTTTGTCATGTCCGAGCCGAAGAAAAAAACAACACGATTCCCCCCTGCTCCTCACTCTCTCTCTTTCTCCTCCACGTCCCGATTCCCATCTCGCTCTCCACTTGCACGACAAGTCAGTCTCGCTCTCGCTATGTCGACGACTCAACCTGGCATGTTCCAGTGCGGTTCATGCAAGAAGAATTATAAGCGTCTTGATCATCTAGCGCGTCACGTGCGATCCCGTATGTTGCTACCCTTCCGTCAATGACTTGAGTCAGTGTTGCTTACTTGTGCTAGATACACAAACCAAACCCTACAAGTGCCATGTATGTCCAAAGGCCTTTACAAGACCGTTAGTCTAACCCCGCGTGTTACCGTTGCGTCGCTTACTGACAGTGTGAAGCGACCTTCTGAAAAGACATGTTGCTGGTCATGGCTCGCAAGCTGGGGATAGTTCTATAGCTGAACAACCGCGTTACATGCCTGGCAGGGTGGGTAAGGCTTGCAAGGCATGTTCTACCAATCACTTGCGTTGTAGTGATGAGAAACCCTGTCGTCGATGTCAAGAGAAAGGTATTGAGTGCAAGTGGAACGACTCCATGGAGCTGGACTCAGACTTTCGGTCTGAGGAGCCGCAGCAAGATGAAGCTATCTTCTCTCAAGATGATGGATCATCGTCCATGGCTGCGTTCCCTGATCATAATAGTATCGGGTCAACGTCGGCGTCATCAGTCATGGAGCAACCGTCGCTGGACATACTCACACCGCAAACATCACATAGCCTCTTCCAAAATCTTGGTATGTCTTCAAGTCTATTGCCTTCAAAGATGAAGCTTACGATACTAGACCCCTCCATGAACGCCAACATTGATCCTCTCTTTTTCCCACTCCCCGATCTCAACCTTCTATCAGGAGGATGGGCGAATCCCAACGCCAACGATGTCGATATGTACACATACAATGAACTCGACGACATAGACCTCCGGTTTCTCGACTCATATAATACAAGCATCCCCTTCGAGGTCAGAAGTATACAGCCTACACCACGAGGGGCTCAAACACCACGCGCCGCATCGCATACTGATCCCGGCGAGCCCGCTGCTATGTGTACTGAAGCCTTTCAGAACTCTCACTGGAAGTTTCGACCAAACGCCAAAGACCATGCTGGTGCTGAAGAGCATAACCTCTCCCTTCCCGCCACAGACTCTGCCTATCCCTCGCCCGAGTCTGGCGTCGCCTTGGATTCAAACACAAGAGTCACGTCTGCGAAACTAGAAGGACCAGCTCGTGACAGGATACTCATGATGGTCGTCAACAGTTGTCGTTCGGATCACTTGTCGAAAGCTGTGGCGTCTTTTCCTTCTGCTGAGCTATTGGACACATTACTTCAGTACTATCTCACCTCCCCTGTCACGCATGCCACATCATTCATCCACGCCGCTTCTTTCAACCCGAATGAAAAGAGGCCGGAGCTCGTCGCTGCCATGGCTGCCTGCGGAGCAGTCTTGACTTCCGACCCTGCGTTGTCGAAACTTGGCTATGCCATACAAGAGTGCTTGAGGATAGCTGTTGCCAAACACGTGAGTCCAATCACCCTATACATTACAGGTCTTCAGGCTAAATAATCCATAGTGGGAACGCGACAATACTCTCGTGCGCGACCTTCAGCTCACCCAAGCCTTCGTCATCACTCTCGAGATGGGTATCTGGAGCGGTCTTCCCCGAAAGGTCGAAATAGCAGAGAGCTTCTTCAACCCTGTACTGACCATGATGCGACGCGATGGAAGATTCAAGAGATCAGTCTATTCCCAAAGCAAGACAATACAATCCCCAGGTCAAGTCTCTCGAGAAGACTGGCTTCAATGGGTAGAGGATGAGTCCTTCAAGAGACTTGCTTTCAGGATGCTATCGCATGACGCCAACACATCTACGGCGCTGGTGGTCAGCCCTTCAGTATCATATGCAGAAGTTCTACTGCCCTTTCCGGAGAATGCTGAGTTGTGGACTGCTGCGTCACCAGAGCAGTGGAATTCTTTGAAGTCTTCGCGTCAACAGAGCGAGCCACTCTTTGTTGCGGATGTCATTGACGATCCTGACATTCTCAACAACCATCTTGACTCGGTGGACTCATATGTCGCGATTCTAGCTGTTCTCTCATGTACATGGACCATGTGCTGGGAGTATCTCCAACTCTCATCTCTACAACGATCAAGACCTCGCCGTTGGAATACCCTGGTCACAGAGATGCGGAAAGACGAACTACTCAAACTTCTCGGACACCTCAAGCTGAGTCTATCCGTCGATGCTTCCGCGGACCCTGAGATCCAAATGCGTCTTGAACTCGCCCTTCTCCATCTCCAAATGCCATTCGAAGACATTCAAATATTCGCAGGCATGGAAGGTCCCGAACGAGCACGCGCCGTCTATCCCACCGTCCGCGACTGGGTAAAAAGCGAAGCAGCCCGCCACACAATCTTCCACGCCGCTCAAATAATGCACATCGCCAAACACTCACCCCGAGGTTCAATGCGCGGCCCCATGGCCATAATTCTATACCACGCGAGTCTCGCATTCTGGGTATACGGTTTATTATCCGACCAATCCAGCCTCTCCCGAGCACTTAGTCAGAACGTCTACCTAGATGAAGCAGATAGTATAGCGCTCCAAAGATTCAAAGGTTTTGGTCAGGGTCAGCCTTGTATACGGTGGAGAACGGAAATTCAGGGTGAAGGAGAGGTTATGATTAGTGTGCCGCTTTCTCAGCCTGATAAGGTCATGGAGGCAGTTATGGGGATTGTAAGGAGTAATTTTGCGGGAATGCCGGTGCCGCATCTTACAGAGAAGTTGGTGCAGCTTATGGCCGAGTTGGAGAATTCGGCGAAGCGGAAGTTGGATGCTTGATACCCGGACCTCGCGGTAAATATGTATTAATATCGTGTCTTAAGTCCAGTACGGATAATGCTATGCAGATACTGCCTTTCTCCTCTTACTTGACATGGTTACTTTGAAGTGTTGGAGGGTAAGCTAGTAGATGTTGAGATTCAAACCCATTGATTGAAACTTACCAGGACATTACTTGTTCTAGTGAGGTAATATCCAATGGTACCGCTTTACGTTATCCCGAGCGATGCTTTGTTGACAGTCACGCAAACCGCAACCGGCTTGGAGTGTTGATAGTCACGACATTTCAGGCATGCATTCACAAAAACTAGGGAATAATAAGTTGGTAATTTTACTTCATTTGTTTGACTGTCTTGCGGCCTGAATCCTTTCCTCAAAGTCCATAATTTCGCTTATTGGGGTGGGACTAATCACTGGTTAGCAGATCCCCAAAGCCTGAACATCATCAAGACTCACCATAGACGAGAGTGCCGTTGTCATTGCCAATGCACTCAGCGAGGTTGACGTTAGCCTCAACGGGGTCTCCATCAACAGGGTTGAGAAGAGCGCGGAGGACAGGGACGTTGTCGTCGCCCTCCAGCTCGAAGGTGATGTCGGAAGCAGAGCCAGAGAAGCCTTGAAGTCATCGTTAGCACGTGAAAGATGTGCTTGGAGTGTTGTTTGACTTACCCTCACCACCCCAGTAGAAAGCACCATCGTTGTTGCCGATGTAGTAGTCGAGATCAAGACGAGACTCTTGAGGCTCACCATCAGCATCGTTGCACTGAGCAACGAGGATGTGACCGTCCTCAAGCTCGATGTCAGAAGAGCTCTCGTGGAAGTTGACCATTTTGGCTGATGTGAATGCGGATGAAGTAAGAAAGTGTGATGTGAAGTTGTAGATGCAGGAGTCAAGTCAGGTTATGTGAAGACTCAAGGGTCTATATATATTATTGATAGTGATTCACGAGAGGCCTCACGCATGCACCTCCGCACAAAAGCCAAGACCATCCAAGACCGAGTGAACCGCGAGAAAACGATTTTGAAGCTGCCACGACTGCAATGCACATGCAATGCAGAGCGAGAGTCCACTTCTTACAAGGACCCCTGAATATCCATCCAAAAGCGCGCGGTTCAAGAGACCCGCATTGGCGCATACACGGCTCGGCACGACGGGTATTGGATAACAGATGCTATTTGACTAAGGAGGCCTCTTCCTCAAGGAATCTTACAGCGATGAAACGTGTTTCACAAAGTTATAGGACTTTTGTTGGTGGTGATGGTGAGCTTACTGTACTGTAGGGAGGAGTTGTTAGGGGGGCTGTGCGGTGAGCAGAGAATGTCTTGGCAGTGGGACTGAATCCAATTATCGATAAACCCTTGGCATTTTGAAAAGTCTTGGCTTGAGGGGTTCCGATTACCGTGGACCGGGTAGGTACTTCTGTATGACAATAAACACAAGACCACTTTTATGTTGACAATATTACGAGAGGACAAATAGACACGAACGCTCAGGTGGGTCAGGATAGGATACAATTTCGGTCAATTTGAGATAAGATAACCATAGAGACTATTCATTCCATCATGACGACTAAAGGCAAAACATCTAGCGACATCAACTAGTAACCCTGCCATCGAAGAACCCGTTCCGCTGTAGCAATTCTCAAACGCTTTCCAAACATCCAGAGAGGAACAGTCAACAACGAGAAAAGACCCATCAACAGTCCAAAGATACCAAAAGGCTCAGCAGCTCCCTTGTGGTGAACCCAATCAGCCACAAAGAAGGTCCATGCAAAGGCGATGATGGCACGGAGAATGGTGACCATGGTGAAGCAATCTGCTGCCAAGGAGTGGTAAGAGTCGATCAACTGAGTATTGTTAGTATGTGTAATGAAATGGATGGGATTTGAGACTTACGTAGTTGAATCCAACAGATGGAACTTGCATCAGACCAAAGGTGAGCATTCCATATCCAACCTGAAGTCCAACCCAGCGATGGCCACCAGGGTTCTGAGCGCAGAATCCAAAGACCAACAAACCACCAGTGGCGATGAATAGAGGGAAGAAGAGGGTCGGCAATCGATCCTCAGCTTCGGCAACTCCATGCCGTGTCTTGCTAGCCTTCTTGACGAGTCGACCATCAGCAAGCATAAAAGTGTAGATATATCCGATCACACCGCCGATAACAGCGCCAATGTTGACAAGACCGGCGTTTGCTTTCCAAAGATAAGGCGGACTCGCCATAAGTTGGGGTCCGATGGTAGAAATAGTGACTACACCACCGACAAGACCGGCGTAGTGAAGCATCACCACCCAAGTACCAGGGAAAGCAAGAGTCTTCCAAGGCTGGATGAATTGCTTCAGTAGACTTCCTCGAGGCTTGATAAAACCCAAAGACTGAACATAGGTGAAAGAGGAGTAAGAAGCGTGCTGTTCTCCTACGTTGACAGACTGCTTATCCTCGACGTGTTCGTTGTTGCCAAACTGGGCGTTCTTCTCGGTCTCGGGGTTCGTGACACCTTCGACTGGTGCACTTCGGGTATATAACGTCTCGGGGACGAAGAAGATAATTCCGACGAGGCAAGCGGCGGATAGAGCGAGACTGATCCAGAAGATCATCTTCCAGCCTTGTTGGAAAACGATGTAGCCTCCTGAGATGCCACCTGCGAGGGGTCCGACGACGAGCATGATGGTGTAGACTGCCTGTCATAAATTATCAGCAACCAGTGGTTGGTCGTGGTGTTAAAGTTTCTTACCATGGCTCGTCCACGCTGATGAACAGGGAACATATCTCCAACAAGCGCGGGAGCAACTGTATCAGCTGCAGCACCTCCAATGCCTTGGAAAGCCCGAGCAGCAAGAAGAGAGTCATATGAAGTTGCAAGTCCACACCAAAGCGTACTGAATGTGAGGAGAGTCGTAGCGAGGATGAGAACCGGTCGTCGTCCCATCCAGTTGGACATGGGAACCCACCAGATGTTGGCCGCACCGAGGAAGAGGATGTGAATCTATAATCTCATCAGCATTGGTTTCAAGGAGTCAGTGTCACAAGGACTTACAGCAATCAGAATGGAAAGCTGAGAAAGTGATCTCGGGTCCTTCGGAAAGATCATAGGCCATAGCTGAAACGCAGGCGCGATAACACCACTCGTGTAGTTCGCGGTGAAGGCATACAGCGAGGCAACGCTCAATGCAGCAATTTTGTGCCACGTTGGGAAATTGAGGGGATCACGAGGATCATCTGTAGCACGAATGCTAATAATCGCATGGCTCGCATCTTCCTGCTCCCCTATTCACTGTTAGTCTTGAAATCTTCACGCGTCAAAGGAAAGTCTCACGATGAATCTGGACTGTGCCAGGAGGCGTCGCAGCATCGACTTCATGCGAAGACAACGCAAAGGCTTCTTTGAAAGAGACCATCTCGACTCTGTTGACTGTTGCAGTTAGGGGTGATGTTTTTACAATTTTGCATCGTCGGCCATGGTCAATTAAGTACTCCCCCCTCCCCAAACTCTCCTCCACGTTACCCCGGATTACCCCATGGGCTGTAACCGAGATGCAATCTAGATCACTGGGGTGTTTGCCGCACGAACCAACCAGATAGATTAGATAGATTGGTGGCGTTACAAGCTTGACTTGATCTGGGAGTGTCAGTTGGCCATGGGGTCGGGTTGTCCTCCACTTTCCCGGTGGTCCTCTCGGGACGTGGAATGTGGTGAGAGTTACAAATCATTATCTATGAGGGGGGATTGTGTATTTGGACTCACATGCCAGTAATTAACCAGCCCGAAACCCTCGAGTAAAGCTTAAATGGAATACCAAGACGAGGCCAGATGATATGACTTGTGTAAAATGACTCGACAACCAGGATTCCTGTGAGCTATATCTCCGGTTGTTCTGGTGCAAAGAAGCCGGTCCAAGCAACAACCAAAGAATGGTTGCTAGGTCATCACCATGTTGTACTTTCCCATAATTCCCCAGATGTATGGGTAATTGTCAGGTTGTTGGGGTAAAGGTCTTCTGGAGGTTCCTATTCTTCGTCTATCAGAGCCGTTTCTGCTGCCAGCTCAAAGCCTAGGGTGGTTATCCATCCCCCTGTTGGAGCTCTTGGCTTTTCAGCTTAGCCTGTACAATCACATAATTGGTCTGTCAGGTGGGTAATGAAGTACCTTGGCCATGTTGATATGAGGAAAGGAGCAGTGGTCTTGTATGTTATTCGTATCTCGAGGTCAGGGCAAACAGTGCAACGCCAGGTGCGCCACGCATTTATGCTCTGTAGTATCGCAAGCTTCTTCACGGCTGGACTGTTGCCGGTGCCCGACTTCCCTCAAAACCGCCGGTCAATCTCGCTTGTTTGCTGGGAGAAAGCCCATGTTATTGTTTCAACCTATTCTTTGCTTCCTCCTCACCCAAACCTCTTTATCCGTCGATAATTCGTCTTTCTCATTTGTATCAGTGGATTCCGTTTCTTTGATATCCCTGATTTCGACCTCCCAGGTTTTAAGTCTATAGCTGCCTCGATCTGACATGCCGGTAAACAAATCAAAGGACCAGCCATGATTCGGACATAACAGTCCAGCACTGAGGACAACTCCAAAGTCTTCAATATCAAACGGCGTGCCTTTCGAAAGAGGATATTGGCTATGCGGGCATGACTAGGCAGATATCCTTGTTAGCCCCTACAAACACTTTTGTGGATATCTGCTCACATGGTCGATTGCATGAAATTTGCCTTTGTATTGAAACACAAGAACCTGATCAACAAGTGACTCCCAGAAGGATTCATCACCAATTGGAACCTCTTTTGAGGCTGCGACGTCCTCCTTCGGTATGTGAAAGGCTTTGCAGCCTGGTATTGATTTTGCGTTACACAAGCGATGTTTTGCCAAGTTGCCTGCATCATCGTCTACATCAGGAAATGACGATGTACGGCCCACAAATGCCCATTGAGCTCCTTGTCGAGAAAATGGGTTGAAGAAATTCATTTTGATGAAGGGCACTTGGTCGCTCAGCGATTTTACTCAGAGTCAGAAGTCGAAAAATTGCTCTTATCATGGCGCGGAACAAATTCCTCTAGAGCATGTGACATGTCACGTGGACAGAATGCATATCAATAGGACGACTCAGATCAGTCACTCTGCAAACACCGTCTTCCCACTGAAATACCAATACAATGATAACTTTGATACGTAGCTCTGTCGTATATATATAGGTGTAATCTCGTATCTACCCTAAATGGCGCCATAGCATATCAAAGGAGTCAGAAAGCTCTTCATCATCAAGAAAGATCTGCCGAGACTGCACTATCTCCCAGACCGTTCCGTCTAAAGTGTTTTCACATAATCGACTTCCGGTTGAATCCAACTCCTCTTCAGCCTCGTCTAGAAAGGTAGCTATGACTCTAGCATCAAGAAGCTCTTGTATTTGTCTCCCAGAGAGCAGTCTTCTGATCATCGGCATAAGCTCCCTTTGAATAGAGTGATGTCGAAGCAAAAGAAGATTCATCAGTGCTGCACCTGATCCGCCGTTCTCGCCTTGCGTAGTAGCCCATTGGACTCGAGCCGGGATGTGTCTCAAGAAGTAACATCTGGAGTTCTCATCGCCCTGGACAATCTTGGACTGGATAGCTTCGAAGCGCGAGTAGTGCGGGGAGGAAGGATTGATGTATCGCATAAAAAGGTCTTGAAGATCGTTTTCTGCCAGGATATCATGTAGATATAAGGCGCAGCCGAGTGTCAGGCAATATACTTCGCGGTCGTGAATCCAATCAGTATTTGTCCCCTTCGGATCAGCCGCTAGGGCTTGTTTCAGGACACTCTTTGCGAATTTCAATCGAATTAGCTCGGGAGACATAGCGAAAAATGCAAAATTGGGTTGAAAGACGTGCGGTGATACCAAGAATTCTAGGACAGTGTAGTGAGCGAGGGACACGTAGAGATCCTCGCCGTCAGTTGCTTCTCTAGCCTGTAATCCAGGAGGTTCTTCCATCCGGCTATCGAAATTATCCCCAGGAACATATCGAACCGTTATGAGACAGCTGCATATCTCTTGTAAATATTCAAGGTCAATAATGGAGCTTTGACCTTTGGTTTCAGATCCGAAATGTTCATATGTAACTGCTGACAGAAGCAAATTCACATTCACACCAATGTGATAAATCCAAGCAGCCTGCGAATGGCCAATGATCCAAGTGAGAATACGACGAACAAGCGGTCTATCATCTTCAGGAATTGCTTCGAAGATCCTGACGTAGGTCTCACTCAGATCTTTGGGCAGATTGGAAAGAAGTTGCTGAAGTTTCGACTGGTCGCGAAGTCGCTCTATAGCTTGAATTTGACATTCAGCCCAACGAAACCTGATTGCTGTGAGTTAGCACAGTTTTATGAAGGGCAAATCTTGAAGCCAGTAGCATAACGAAGAGAATTTCTCACATTCTTTGTGCCATGGAAGCCAGAACCTTCTCAATTTCGTCGAATCGCTCGTGCCATCTTTTCAGCCGATGACTAGATCTAAGTCTGGAGTGCACAAATCTTCGAATATCAGCTTCTACCATTGGGTTTGACATTGATATGCTTGTTGATATCTCAGATAACGATTGTTCTATATCGAAGTATTGCCGGCTTGTCGCTAGTATCCTAATCTTTGCAAATCGTTGATCGATTGTCATTGTCTTAATCAACGACAAAAGCTCCTCCCGAGGGGTGCTCTCGTCAACCGCATCGATGACGATATAAAGACTATCGAGCTTCTGTAACACTGTTTCCAGGACTTCTTCCAATTCCGCGGTGGTGGGTTCGCAGCCATGATCGTGAAGTCGTTTTAACTCGGGTGGTATCCAACTAATCTGTCGACAGACATGGCCAATGATCCAGCTCAGTACTGGCACCGTTTCGTCCTGGTTATGTGAGTAGTGGCAGTAGTAATAAGTGCAAACACTACCATTAGCAGGTTCGCACAGCTTCTCGAGTTCTTCGATGACATATGATGCTAGAACTGTTTTCCCTGCGCCAGGGATTCCATATATCCACATGAGCCTGTGGTCAGAGGCCTGTGACACCCAATCCTTCCACTTAGAAGAATTGGTAGCCCAGGCAGTTGTCAGGGGCTCATGTTTGTTGAACGCTATGTTGTGTAGAGATGATGGGTTCGTTCTCTCAAGCCATCGGATGATCTCCCGAGTTTCGGATTCTTTGAATTCGTCAGTTTATGCAAGCCACCAATTGGGATCACCGACCTGAGATTGTGCCTTGTAGTCTTTCGATCCCTATTCTGATCTCCTTCAGGTCCCGACTGGACAAACTCCGTTAGCCTCGACTTCCTAACAGTCCTTGTAGATTTACCTCATATCACCAGACATAGCTAACAGTAAGGTAGCCTTATGGTGCGATATCTCGGCCAGCAGCTTCCTGACTTTTGATTGCTTCAAAGGCCATGCGAGGTCAACTAACGTTAGCTTACGCCGCTTACCTGTCCGAGATTGGCCCCAAGCTGTAGGGAGAAGAGCCTCGAGTGAGGCAAGACAACCCTGGCAAGAATTGATAGGTCCATTTTGTTCGTGAAGATTTGGCACGAGGCTCGTCGCACTTGATTCGCCAATGCTGTCGATGATAGCTCTCAGTGACGTAGCCTCGCCCAATATCATCTGGATGTCTTTCGGTGCATCTTCAACAGCCTCGATGCAGTATTTGCATGCGCGGATGGTGCGATCAGCGAGGCCAATAAAAGCCAGGACGCTGGCTCCGATAGAAAGTGGATCAGCCATGGAAACTGCCTAAGATTTGTTTGTTGTAAACACAGCAGATGATTTGGTGACATTGGAAGAAACCCATCTCATACTCTCCTTTGATCGATCGCTGTGATCTTGAATAGAGGGGTAGCTGAATGGGCTGCATGTGAAACACGTGGCGCTGTAAGACTAGGTCGATTAGCCGTAGGGCTGAGTTGCATCTTAGATGTAATTATAAGGCAGCTTCATGGGCGTCTGTAGCTAAAACACCCCTATAGATTTTGGCTTATTTCTCTTTGAGCTACTGTATCTGTTACTGTGACAATCTTGGTCTGGTAGTTCCAACGGTTTTGAGAGGAGGTTGTCTCTATGACTTATATATTCTCTACCTATGATGCCTCTTGAATACAACAAGAGTATAAATTTCCATTGACAGCTCATGCTTTTCTTGCTTATTGTTGTCCTAATTGGATACCAATTCTGTTTATCCAGTAATACAACAATCCCGTTGAACCCCAGTCCCACCAGTTTCCATCAAAGCTACCTTTGGAAAGTATATACAGTTAGACAACACAATAATGTCAAAACGTCTCGCCAACTCATATAGCAATTCTCCCCCTCGCACATCTACCCCTATTCCCTGGTCCTCTGTTTTTCTACTTTTTCTCCATGCTCGTCTTCTTGGTTCGGATAATCGGCCCATTGTGCTGAGTTCCATAGATGACAGGTCCTGAGCCAGCAGAATGCCAGAACAATGCCATCGGACTGTTCCAAGTGTCGCCGCTCACATCAGGCATGACGAAGTCAGTACCACTGTCAATCTCAATAACATTTCCATTGTGTTGGTCACCATATCCAAGCTTGGTCGAGTTGTTGTAGACTAGGGGGTTCGTTTGACGTGGATTATTCATGGATAGCTTTGCAGCCATCGCATCATCGACTTCAAATACTCTTCCATTTCTTTGATTGAATCCAGAAGCTGCGAACGCCTTGTTGTAAGTCTGGCTGTTGGGTTCAGGCATTCGCTCGTTAGGTCGCATAGGCTTGGAAGTGGTTGGATCATTCAGGCTTGGGGTCGAAGCGTCACCGTGGGAAGGAGGAGGCTGGTTCGGAAAGACGGTTGTAGACATGTTGGAGGATAAGAGCGAGCTGATGAAAAGGTTGTAAGAATGAACGTCTGGTGCAGGGCCTGGAGTGTTTGGGTTATAGGGGAAGACTGTGTATTCGCCCAGAACCAACGGAGCCGGAAAGTTTGTGGAAGTTGGCTCAGGAGCCGGAAGGCCCGACGACTTCTTTTCAGACATGACTTGGATGTCTGTCTGTATTTGATACAAAGCTCTGGATTGTATCTGCTCGATAGCCAGAGACAGGTTGCTTTTCTGTCTCTCAAGTCTAACAAAGATATCAAGAAGATCTTGCTCTCTGTACAAGAAGCCCCAGGTTCGAAGGACTCTGCTTTTGCGAAGTAACGAGTTCAAACAGTTGTTGTTGATGGTAAATAGAAGGGCATCAGTCTGCGTCCCAATCTCAGGGGTCTGAAGAAGGGGGTTCTCAGAGATGCTAGTAGAAAGGCTCTGAAGTTCTTGGAGCTGCTCATGATATCGTTTCAGCGTCGACGCTCCTCCTTTTATCTTTCTCACAACGTCTATCAGAGAAAAGCATGCAACACCAAGCTGGCTCGCCGACGCCGCGACCCCAAGAATCTCTGCCATGATAGCCTCAACTTCGAAGACGAGGCAAGCAAAACCGTCGCAACAAAGAGCGGTGAAGATGGTAACAAGCCGTGAATAGCTACATCGACGATGATATCTTCCTCAGGTGGTGTGTCAGAATGCAGGAAAAATTATGGTTGTGCTAACGTGGCATGGAGATTAACCTCAGATTATGAAAATTGTGAAAAGGTGCGACCGCAAAGGAAGGCCAAGATGTGAGTATGGCATCAAGATTTAGGCATCATTGTGAAAATAGATTGTGAAAAGGTGTGAAAGATGGACAGCAGAGCCTCATGTGTCAGACTGCGGTGAAACCTAAGGCACTTCGAGGGGGCGAAGCAGAGTAACACGGCAGAACAAGGCTATCAATATAAAGCTTTTGATACGTTGATCATAAGGCGGTCTGGGAATACAACCAGAGATTCATCAGGGAGATGAGAGATCTTGGGTATGTTCGTGAAGTCGAGACTTGCACTTCAGTGAGGTGGCGTCGTATCGAGTATTGATTTTCGTCTCAGGGGGGTAGAAAGACGCTTGCAAGTGTATGTCAAGTCCTGAAGAGTAAAGAGAGAATTTATTGTGAGATTTGGGTGCCCGATTGATTTCCCTGGCGACGAGCCTCCAAGTTACAGCGTCGCTTGGAGTTCAGTATCGGCTTTCCGGAGGGAAGTCGACTGTCGCAATCAGCTAGAGACTTACTTGCTATATATCGAAGCTATATCTGCTGATAGCTTAGTCTCTATCTCTAGTTAGCCCATTGTCTCTATCAAGTTAAAAGATAGAAACCAGAATACCTTGGTATGGAGGCGAGAGTAGAAGAAAGGTAGTCTTTCGGGGGCTGTCAGAAGGGGAACCTCGACCACGTAAGGAACTCCACGTCAAAGATTCTCCGAGTGGAATGCAATACCCAAAACGTCGGACTCAGCGTTCAAGAGAAGGGAGTACCTAAAAGAGCAAGACTGCCTGATCAGATTGATTGTGTTGGTTTAGTTTGCTACGCCACTGTTGGTTGACAACATGAATGACGTGAGTGGTGTGGATGGATCGCTTGGGCAGAAACTCGACTCTGAAGTCTTTTGACGAGACCTGAGAGATTATAGGATACTCCTGAAGGTTCAGAGGAGAGCTGAGTCTTTTGCCAGTATGTCGTTGGTACTACATAGATATTGTGATGATTTTGTGACGCTGGAGAACGAAGCAAGGCATCAAACCAAGACCCGCAGTCGCTGTATCACGTACATATTCACCTGCACGCCCTTAATGACACGACCCAACAATACAGATGTATGAACAAGCCAAAGAATACCCATCAATATCTTATCGATAATCCTCGAGTCGAGATATGGCAATCGATGCACTGTGTTCACATCTTCCATTTCCGCGTCTTAACAATAGGGGTTCAAAAGCTACTAATGTATATACACAGCCCTACTTAATACGATATGATACAATAGACAATTTCGAGACTCTGGCAGATTCTCATATGTCACGATCTGGTCAGTGCTGTCATGTGTTTGGAGACTTTGGAGATTTTGAGGCCCCCAACAAGCGGACAGGGGGGTTGCCTGAAACTTGCATAGGAGAGGGTGTTAAGCCCTCCCGAATCACGAGTCAGCTGCCGCACACCCTTCTTCTAATGGAAACTCCATTCGTCCGCAGAGTCACCATACGATCCAACCAGTTTGGCAATAAGGTAGCCCTTACTTCATTATGGTGGGGATGGCTTCCAAAGACGATAATGCCCATCCTTCGGTGTCTTCAACGAATTTCATCAGCAACAGCGACCTTAAAGGCTCAACTATCAGCAATGGAGCCATCCATGGTGGTACTGGACATATGCATAATGGAAATGTAACTCACATTACGACACACAATCACTATCACGAATACAATGTCTACCAATGTCCGGACCCCACAGCCCATTTGCCCAAGCAGGCATCATCCCAGCCTGCCAACTGTACCCGGCGATGGTGTCGATATAATCGGAAGTTGGTAACAGCACTTCCGAAGCTGGTAATGGCACTCCTCAGATACCTTGTGGCACCCTTGCGACGCAGGAAAAAGTATACCAGGCGGTGTCTCCGGATGATTCTGTAAGTGTGTTCTTAAATTGGGTCAAGTAACTTGACCTTTTGATGGAGGGGGCGAGAAATGAACGGTCAAACTATCGGATTATTTAACACTGAGTCCGTTTGGGTATTTCTGTCTCTCAAATAGGAGACGTTCCCCGAATCTTGTCTCAGTAACTTCTGTTGTGCCATGGATGTCGTCGCTGATGAGAGGTCAGGCTTTTTGCTTCACGCCCCGAATATGCATCATGGAGTTGTGGAACTTCAGGCGGCTAAATCGTTGGTTATTCGTGCCGACCCGTTATCGTCCGTCCCGGTCCGTGCTTCCCAGAAGAGCAAATGGGTGTGTGTTGGCAGAGACAGTGTCTAGGAATACCCCGCGTCGAAGAATACGACGAATCAACCACGACTGGAATCAATATCTTGAGGACATTAAAACGCTTGAGTTGACCATAAGGTTTGGTGAGGAGGCTTGGGATAGAGAGAGGGTAATGTTGTAAATGTTAATTGTCTTCCGTTTTATATACAGCGATGGACTACTTGGTCTTCTCTTCACAGTACATATCTGCATCTCCAACTATTCACATGAAACACGTCTTACCGAGACACCTTATTGACTGTGAATGTGTGTAAGAGCTGAAAGATTCATTGGTCAGATATCACATTTTGAGGCCAGTGGAAACTGCATATGTCGCTCAGCCACTCCATATTGAACTTTCAGCTGAACCTTTTGGGCTTTCGATTCTGGTATGCATGTCATAGACGTCCTTCTGTACCTTTGACAGCTGTGGAACTTGGTCTCTATGTCCACTCCTGAGTGTTTCTAGGGAAAGACCTGGGATCTGTTTCGAGTCAATTAGATCTCTCTTCCCCCATTGTACGATTCGTGCTCCTCGATCGGGCGCATTGCCACAGAGCTCTGTTCAATTTATGCTCCGTGTTCCTAGCAAGACCTTCCCTACCAATAAGCCGGGTATAGCTGGATTATCATCCAAAGCGAGGGAGGTTACTAATCGAGACATACGAGATTCCGGTGATTCTCTCTCTTATCCTATGTAGCTTCATCTCATTATCAAGTGTTTCCACTATTTATATCCCAAGCATGTTTCTATAAATTAATAATATACCTTTTCTTACTCGACATTACTAGTGTATGGTTGTTGATTCATTCTCCCACTTTCTTTAATGATGGACTTGCTATTGGTGAATTTTGCAGGGGTATGAAGAAGAGGTTGGTCAGTAAATAGAAGGCTGACGTTGTGCACGGTAATCAGCCAACAAACACAAACATAGGCTTTTTCCATCCTACATATCCATCTTCACCAAGCTCCAATTTTGCTCATATTGAGACCCCTTCGTAAGCCATCCATCAACATGGCAAGCCTCTCAGAAGCAGAACAAGAGGAACCGGAAGCCATGGAGATTGAGAAAGGGGACGAAGAACAGGGCACGCTTCCCAAGTATCTAAAATGCAGTTATCTCGACGCAGTCGTTGGTAAAGAGATCCATAATTACTGGGGATATCGAGTTTTGGAGCACACTAACTCCCACGGCGAAGTACTTGCACTCAAAGTCAGCAACCCAGATGGCATTGACCGCTCTCAAGCCGATATGATGCACTATGCTGCAACTCATGGGGTATTAGCTCCCAAGGTTCGCGGAGTTTACGATATCATCACAAAACGGCCTATTGCACGTGTTATGATCGGCGACCGTATCCCTGGTGCGCCGCTTGTTGATGTCTGGCAGAACATGTCTCAAGCTGAGCAGACCTCTATCAAGGGCCAGCTTCGAAAACAGATACAACAAATGCGGACTCTCGTACAGCCCTACATTGGCGGTATCGATAAACAACCCACCCGCAACATATACAACACCACCTTGATTAGACACTGTGGCCCCTTTGAAGACGAGGAATCTTTTGATGAATGGTGTCTAGCAAGACTTTCAGGCGGAAGTTTTCAACATTGGAAATGGAAGAGAGTGCTCGAAAAGAAGCGACGGAAATCAACTGGACGCTTCGTTCTTACTCATGGTGATCTATCACCGCGCAATATCATGGTCGACGGCAGCAATATCACGGGGATAATCGACTGGGAGTTGAGCGGGTTTTATCCGGAGTATGTGGAATATGCGGTTGCTATAGGTCTTGGCCCAGGGATAGAAGAATGGTGGGTTCCTGTATTGAAAGAAGTGCTGGAACCGTGCTCACCAGACCTGGTAAAGTTCACGGAGCTTATAGAAGAAAGAATGGGATCTTACTAGCCTATATGATAAGCGGAAGAGCTGCTGTCATCTAGTGCTTAGAAATGGATAATGAGCGTGCACAAAAGCCCATTGCAACGACCAACTCCACCTTATTCTTTTGGCTTTTGAGCCCAGACAACCTTTTGCTGATAGTAAGGATGCATCTTGCCCTGTCTCAACTCTCTTCTCAACATCGAGATATACACCTCAACCTCCTCCTTCGCCCAGCCCTCCACCGTGTTGGCCATGAACAAGACGTATCCTTCTACATCCTGCTCGAGAGTAGCCTGAGCATACTTTCCAATCTCTTTCATCTTCGGATCCTTTGGCCAGCCTCCGATAGGAACCTATTGAGGAACCATGTCAGTACAGGCTGGGTGGTCACTGCCAGAGAGTCACTCACCTTGAAATCACGTTCCTCAAGATTAACAAAGCCAGCTTTCTCCATAGCAGATCTCTGCACTCCATCTTCAACGATCGTAAACGAACGACCGATCTTCTTACCACCTTCAACAAAAAACTTTCCCCATTGGTGCATAGCGCTCTTCTCGGTGATACTTCCATCATCACAGTCCATTCTCGAAAGAGCCTCGTGACTTTCGATATAACCGCCCGGTTTGAGACACTTGTACGCTTCTTTGAAGAGCTGGTCCCAGTCGACGATACTACCGACAAGCCAGCGAAAGTGGATGTAGTCTTGCGAGTTGGGAGCGAATGTCCACTCTTGGGTGCAGTCTTCGATGTCGCTGCCAAAGTATTAGATATGACAGTGTTAAATAATTTATTTCTTACAATCTCAAGTTTGGGGGGATCCATCCAGGTTGAATTGGCGATACGTCTGTGCCGATGACTTCGGTGTTCGGAAAACTATCTGCGAAATCACTGTCAAGGTACGTCAATAACAAGCCCTTCTCTATACGAGCCTTGGTGCATACATAGCCCAGATACCTGAGTAAAGGTTCATGTCAGCTCTCGTGCATCTGAAGGCCCGCCTGGGTACAGCCTAATCTCGTTGACTTCTATCTGAGAAAACCTCATTTCCATCACCAAGTCAAACCTGATTTTTTATTCACCACGTCGAGGCTTACCTGTTCCTGTACCTATATCGAGAGCATTCTATAGACATCAGTGAACTTATCAACAATGGATAGCAACAACAAACCTTGATATCCTTCGAAATGGGCGCAAGGTAAAGCGCACCGTCCAAAACCAACGTCAGAACATGATGACTGCACGTATCAGCACTCATCCCAACCCGTATTTGGTATACTCACTTGATATCCATCGACTCATTCTGCTTCTCATCATTGGTTCCCCTGTATCCCATTAATCCCGCACCATGGGCTCTTCAGACAACATACCAATACTGTGCATTTCCAATATCATGGTGATAAGTTCTCCCGTTGATATTCCTGTACTGCAGAATGCTTGATGTAATCGATGCCGTTGACTCTGCAATGTCATCTCCTATGGCAGAATCCGTATCGCCCAGCTCCTAACTTTTTATCAGTGACGCGATTGTGGTCTTTGATTTCGTATCATACGTACCTGAGCTACCTCAGCCCAATGCTCAGGAGGAAGAAGACCAGAAACATCCGTGACCGCCTGAGCTGGTTGGGGGTTATTTTCTTCTGTCATTTTTGCACAGTTTGTTCGTCAGCCAAAAAGAGAGCAGAGTGTCACTTCAAGATTGCGTTCTTTATCTCTCGCTTTGTTCCGAACCAACACATTCAACTTGTCATGCCACGCTCTGCATTCCAGATGTGGTTTTGACACCCGAATTAGTACGGCACAGCAGAATCGTCCAGGGGCCAGTCCTATCGGATCGTCTGACAAAGTTGCATTGCATAATGAATGGAGAACAGTATCCCTACCAGTGTCTGTTGGTTTGGCGAGCCAATAGCATGCCAGAATCAAAGCTCTGAACTCATCCCATAAAGTGAAGGAATGAATATCTTGATTGATCAGGTTCTTACTTAATGAGTTAATCATCATATCACAGGTTTACTTTCGTTGATATTAACCCTTGGTAGTTTGAAGTTCGAAACCTACAGTCTGGCAAGTTGACATAGGAATTTTGTCGAATATACCTTGCCTCGCTTTGTGTTCGCATATCACACAGTTATCATCTATATTCCAACGTATTGGAAGCAAACGATCGAGTTCAAGAAAACTAACGCTCATGATCTTGGGTATCAAACCAACCACTCAAACATCCGCCAACAAATGACTTATCATGTCCCTCGTATGCTTAACAACCGACACACAATGCGGATCCTTATCATGCATCTGATGTGCCAGCCGATGTCCTATACCCGGCGGTACATGGCTCGTCCCTGAATGCCATAGGTTCTGTCTATCCTCCATCAACTGCAACATTGCCACAAAAGATGTGGAGTTCGAATGCGGCGTGCCGAAAAGCTCGGATTTGATAGCTTTGTTTGCAATACTTTTCCAATCCTGAGGATCCAGGCTCAGCGAGAATCCTAACGGGTCGTTTTGCGACGGTGCTTCTAGCTGTTGACCTTCGCTTATGTATAATTCTTTTGATTCTCTGGCATCTTGAGCTCGTTTCGCTTCATCCTCGACTGACTTCACAGTCTTTTTATATCCTTCCGCCAAGGATATAATAAGCGTGTTGAGGAGTTGAGCATTCTGCATCGCCCATAGAAACTTTGTCGGACAAACTTGACACTGTATGATCCCTGCTGCTGTGGTCGTCAAATGCCGCAGAACAGATAACCGTGCTGTGAAGGGTAAATCATCTGCCTTTCGAACTTCTTCTAGTGACAAGTATAAGCTGGCAAGACATGCGCAAGTCTGTTGACCAGGATCAGATTCAAATGCCAATAACTTTGGGTCAACGTTTGTCTCGTTTCTAAATCCGAGTCAGCTCACCCATCAAGGTGGCAATTCAGTCAACTCACCCAAGCGGTATGAGATCCAACGGCGCATCTTCAGACATGTGTTGGCACGGATCGAAGCTGGCTCTTCTACCCATATCACTACCCGTATCACTCCCAATACTCATCGCCAAAGTTGAAGGCGATGTCCTGCTCGCACTACTCTCCTGGGCCTCATTCTCAGAGGTTATTTTTCTCTTCTTGGGTCTTCCCATCGGCATACGCGCCGAGAACTTGCAAGGCTCTCCAAGAGTCGTACATCGTCCACAAGATGGATAACTTCCGTCACATTTGAGCTTCTTTTGCCCTTTCAGATTGATCAGCATACGCAGTTTATGGACCCCAACTGTAAGCGGGAGAGGTGGGCGGACATACTGCACTGATCACATGAAGCTCTCCTATTGGCAGGATCTTGCAGATCGGGAGACATTATGCAAACGATATGAGAGAGAAGCAGTATGCAATTCTATCCAAAAGACACCAAGATCGGGTGATGCTCAGTTGTAAGATTCAAAAGCTCATCATCTTGTAAGACCAACAAGGAACAACCGGATGGATCTCATGTTAATAACGTGAGAGTGATAATTAGCGGATCCTCCTCCAAACTCCGCCCCGCGGCTAAAAACTCCCCATAGGGTGTAAGAAAAAGAGACAGACAGAGCTGTATTACTTACTATAAGCGTAGTCCACCTGAGAGAGAAGGATTAAAATCTAAATCAAAATCCCAAGCACCCAAAAGAGGAGTACCATTATTCTTATAGGACTCGGGCCATGAAACTGGTGCATACGCCCAAATTGTATAAACCCATATCGCCAGAGTCTGTCCTGTATTTTTGGCACCCAAAAGCCGCTAAGAGACCCCTGGACCGGAGCCCGGGACTTGCATATTCCGACAGAACCAACCATCGCAGAAAAAAATTATTTTTCCTCGAGCTACTGATAAAGCCCCCACTATCATATCAAACTGAACTTTTGCATCCCCAATCCCATCTACAACTTTGCGACAAACAATGGCGCCCTCAAAAGAAGTTGTCGCTCCCGGCTCTGCCGCCGTCACAGTAATTGACCCTGATCAGGTTTGTACCCCCTTTCCTCGAATGGTACAACGTCTCTAACAGTTTATATCTAGACCTTGAAAGCTTCAAAGGCTCTTCTCGCACACATCAAAAAAGCATCCAAGCAAAAGGCCGACCAGTCTGAAAAGCGCAACCTCCTCGACGACGATGAAGATCCCAGCACCACCCCCATCTGGCTCAACCTGACGACCAAGCGCCACATCGTCGACAAGGCGCGTCTGCAGCCCGGAAAGATCTCCCTTCCTCACTCGCTCAACAACGACGAGACCACCATCTGCCTCATCACCGCCGAGCCCCAGCGCGCCTACAAGGACATTGTCGCCTCGGAGGACTTCCCCGCTGAGCTGGGCAAGCGCATCACTCGTGTTATCGACTACGGAAAGCTCAAGGCCAAGTATAGCCAGTACGAGGCGCAGAGGAAGCTCTTCGCTGAGGCGGATATCTTCCTTGGTGATGATCGCATTATCAACCGGTTACCTAAGATTTTGGGAAAGACTTTTTACAAGACAACGCAGAAGCGACCTGTTCCTGTGAACCTGCAGGCCAAGGCTCCCAAGGTTGATGGAAAGCGACAGAAGCGCGTTAAGGCTGAGGGTACCGTCAACGCAGGCACTCCCGCCGAGATCGCCAAGGAGGTCCAGAAGGCCATCAACTCTGCTTTCGTCAGCCTCAACCCCTCAACAAACACCTCGATCCGAATTGGATACTCCGGTTGGACTGCTGAGCAGATCGCCGAGAATGTCGATGCCGTTGTCACTGGCATGATCGAGAAGTGGATTCCTCAGAAGTGGCGCAACATGAAGAGCATCTACATCAAGGGTCCCGAGACTACTGCTCTTCCCATCTGGTTGACTGATGAGCTCTGGGTTGACGAGAAGGATGTCATTGCTGAGGATGAGGCCGCCAAGGCCCTCAAGGGCGAGAAGCCCAACATTGGAAAGAAGCGCAAGTCTCTCGACAACACCGACGAGACTGAGACTCCCGCCCCTACAAAGAAGGCCAAGAAGCAGAAGCAACTTCCTGAGGCCGACGACGGCAAGCTCGATAAGCAAATTTCGGACCGCAAGGCCCGTTTGAGAAAGCAAAAGGCATCGGCCAGCAAGGCCATTGACAACTGAAATATGCAATTCACGGCATCGGTGTTGAGGCGTTGAAGGGCGGAAAACCCCCAGAATAGAATTGTAGCTATACTTGCATTAACAATACAATATTGATGGTATTACGCCTCTCTTGCGCCTTCTTTGAAACAATCTTCTTCCTTCGTCAAGACCCAGGCCCAGGGAATTACCGTCCACAGTCACATTCTGCCAAGTACTCGGCAGCTATGTCCCGTTCCTCACCGTTGTACCCAATTTTCTCGCAGCAGGTCTCTCCCGTCTCGACTCCCTCGTGGCGCCCATTCTCCTAGCGGCAGGGCACGTCTTCCTCACAGGAGAATATGTCTTCCATATGGTTGGTTATGTCTCCACAGCAGAGTATGTCTTCCTGGGAGTGGTGCCCATTTTCCTCGTAGCAGTGCCCGTCCTCCTCGTAGCAGGTCTTTACCAGCACCTCAACTTCCTCAATCACCTCAATCCTTGTGACGCATCCTCCGCCCTGCCTCGCGCTTACCAAATGGTCACCGCTGATCCGAAAGCCCCCGTCCCTGTCCATGTCCGGATCTGCGAGGATTGCTGCGTCGTGGTGCGCGCTAACCTATAGGTCACTGGCCTCAAAGAGCCCGTCCCCGGGGTTTTCGATATCTGACTCAAAAGTCCGTTTCCACGGGCCGCAGTAATTTGTGATGGTCCTGTTCAGTAGCTCAGGGAGGTTCTCGAGGTGCTTGCCGGGGGCACTTCGGAATCTAAGGCCACCATTGCGGTCAAGCTCGCGAAGGCCAAGCCAATCCTCGTGATAAAGCTCACGGGCTCGGAGAGGGATAACTTCTGTGCCATTGACCTCCTCAAACCACGCAGATTCTTTCGGGATAACAAGATCATCATCTTCGAACATCCACATGACGAAGTTGGTCAACTTGCTCAGATTTGCCTTGTATTTTTCGTTTTTTAACTCGCGCTCGTTGTTGATGTCGGCTAGGAAGTTGGAATTCTCGAGGTATTTGCTGTAATCGGCTTCAGTTCCTGGGTTGCGGTAGTATTGAGCGGGAACAAGGCTTGATTGCACAAGATTGCTCCAAGTACCGGATCTCATGAGGGCCATAGCTGTCTTGCAGAGCCAGTCGGTAGCACCACAGGCCCTGAAGTCGACGATACCATTGTGTTGGCTACCAAATGTGATAAGACTGCGGACCTGTGGCCAGTTACAGCGCTCGACGTAACCGCGGAGGAACTGTCCGCCCTGAGAGATACCGATGGCATCAATAGCAGGTGCAGTAGACAGAATGGGGTGCTTGGCCAGTTCCTCGCAAACTTTGCTGACTTGGTCCGTGACATTTCCCTTGAAAGTAGCCATACGATCCTGGCCGGGATCCTCATCGAGGGCAATGATATGAACAAATGTTCCTGGGTTGATGGCTTCAGCGAGGGCTTGGATGCTCTTCATTCCATCGCTGTTAAATTGGTCACCAAGGCCGTGCCAAACAACAATAGGTAATGGGGTATCGGATAGGTCGTCTCTTGTGTGAATAGGTGCAGCAGGGGAAGCATAGCTCTGTCCGGCCAAGGCCCCAATGGCCAAGCCAAGCCGGAGCAAGGATGGGTAAGGCATGATGGTGATTAGAGTGTGATGCAAGCGATGATGTTCTTAGAATTAATATGAGTGCTGTGATGGATAATACAACGATGAGTGATGAGTATGATGAAGACGGAGATGGAGATGAAGATGGAGAGTTGTTTGGGGAGCTGAGCTAGCTGAAGACGTCAGCTATGACCCTCCACTTTCCTGAAACCGGCGGAAGGCGGGGGTGGGTTAGGGGAGACGGGAAGGAAGCAGCGATCTAACGGTTCATCCTTCCCATCCTAACAATGGCATTGTAAATATTTCCCAAATTCGGTAGGTATGCTTTCTTGAAATTATCATCGTACGTATAATCATGCCATGGTCACTTTAATCCTCCGTAGAAGGAACAAGAGCTGATCCCTCCCTTCCGGTCAGAGCTTGGGTGCTGATGATCTGCAAGCACCCCAGATTTTATCTTGAAGATCAAGCCAATTTGATGGGTTCATAGCCAGACAAGCCTGCGACTAAGGTTGACTAAATTTATGCTCCTTTGGGGGGTTCTACATGGCTGAGACTTGGTGGGATTAATTGCAACTTGGTCTATTCTTATGAGTGACCTCTCCATATTGTGAGTGCGTCAAGAGCCTCTTGCCATGCCTCATTATCGCGTATGTCGCTCCTACCATTACACCAGAACATGAATTCGCAAATATGCTCAGGCTGCCAAAAAGAAGTCTCAACGTACGATGTAAGTAAGTCCTGAAACCATCTCAGTTCCTGGCAGGACCGACCCTTTGAGAGAAGGACAGGGAGATTCCTTTGTGAATGTTCAACTCCAGGGTTGGTTCAGAAACAAACTGCGGCGTTTGACCGTATTACGTTCTGAACTCAATTATCAAAATCATCACGACAACCTTGTATAGATCCTTTGAGTTTTCAGAATAATTGACTGTAATGTACCCTTGCGCTTTATCAATGATCATGCTGTGCTCGATGCAATGCTCATCGTCATGAAAGCACATCTGAATTGAGGCTTGTAATTAGCTGCGCCACAGTCGCCAGCTTCAGCCACATCGCAACTGCTTTGCATCATGACAACTGAAGTAATTTTGACTCCACGCGACAACGGACATCATCGCTGTATCTGCCGAGAGAATACACCCACTTCTAATATCTAAGCTCATATTGAGTCTCTATAATTGAAGCTAGTAAAGCCTGATCGTCACAACGCTGGGCGACAAGGCTTACCCGTTCCAATTATTCATCGACCGTTTTGACGACCGAAATCACCACTAAACGAAGACCGGCAAACTTGCGACATACACCACGAATCCCACGTACTGCTTCAATTAAGAATGACAACCTCAAACAATGGTCCGTCTGCGGCCACAAACGGCGACGCGATACCCAAGATCGGACCCCATCCAGGCTTCATATCCAGTTCGAATCAATACACATCAGAGCTCAAGCTGCGACGCATGCTCAAGGACAATGGCTGCGATCCCGCAAGACAGGATAACTACCGTCTTCAGGGTGTGCAGTTGATTGAAAACGTCAGAGAGTATTTACAATTGTACGTTGGGCTTTTCTATAGGATACCATCGAGAATTGAGGACTGACTGGGAAACAGACCTGTGAGGACATTCGACACAGCGTGCACTTACTTCCACAAATTTCGACTCAACTTTAGAGACGCCGAGTACAACTATCAGGATGCTGCACTGGCATCGCTATTTGTCGCGTGTAAAGTGGAGGATACTATCAAGAAGTCGAAGGAGATTCTCGCGGCGGCATACAACGTTAAGAATCCTGACAAATCTGTCACGCCCGATGACAAGGTAAGCCAAACAAATAACTTTCTTACAAACATGCTAACCCTCTTAGATGTTTGAAGGCCCAGGCAAAATCATCATCTGCCTCGAACGTCTCATCCTCGAAACAATCGGCTTCGACTTCCGCACACGCTACCCCCAAAAACTCCTCGTAAAAGTCGTCCGCGACATCTTTGGCAAAGAAGACGGAAAACCCTTCTTTGAGACCGCATACGCAATGTGTATCGACATCTACAAGACCTTCGTCCCCATAAAGCGCACAACTTTCTCCATGGTAATGGCAGTTGTGGAGCTTACAGCTCTCATGACAGAACAGCACGTCGAAAGAGTTCGCGAGTACGCAAAGACAAAGCGTCAGTATCACTGGGGTTCTGTTATGGAGACTATGCTTGATATTCTGGATTTATATGTTCAGCATGGTAAATCTACAAAAGTCGGGGCACAGTTTGATCAGAATAAGATCATCGACATCAAGATTCGGCTTAACAACGATCTTGACAAGGCGTTCGAACCTCGATATCTGTACTACTGCTCCCGGTGCGAAGCCGAAGATCCTCAACCTTCTACACCTGCATCAGCTACTTCACCCGCGACATCAACATCATGGCCAGGTGATGCATCTGGAAAACGAACGGTTCGTGGTCAAGAAGGGACGATGCGTTTTGTGTTTGAGCCAGAGGCAGCGAGGAGGGAACAAGAGATTACTGAAGAATTCTTTAAGGAAGATTTCGAAGAGTATGAAGTTGAGGTTGAAGAGCCTGTGCCCCCACCGCCAAGGGAGGGTAGGGGAGGATATCATGGTCATAGGGAGAGGGGAGATCATAGAAGGGGAGGACCGTATGGGGGATATCGAGGGGATAGGCATTACAGAGGAAGGGGTAGACACTACTGAGTCTAGTCATGCACATGGCCACTTTCTATTCGAGATACCCATACATATTGCCATGGTAGCATAATACTCTCTATTCACAGTCATGATCTTACAACATCTAATCGTCCATTCAGTCATATACATGGATATCATTAAACTACACCTTCTTCTCCCCCTTAACCTCCCCATGATCCCCAATCAACAAATCCTCTCCCGACGGTCCACTCGACTTAACACCCTCCAACTCCCCTCCATCCTTCTTCACAACCCCCTCCTCAGCACTCTTGATACTACTCGCCTTACTAACATCCGCACTCGCAGGACTCTGAACCCTAAGTCCCAAGTCCTTCTCATTATCCGGATCTTCCATATTCGCACCCTTCCAATCCGCCGGTCGAACCTGCGGCACGGGCTGTCCTTCCTCTGGCTCGAGGACTTCCTCCGGCAGGGCATCTGTGCCGGCGACGCGCCATACTACGGCAATTCGATCGAAGGCGCGAGAGCCTTTGCGGCTGGATCCTTTGATTCCGTCCATGGCGTCCCATTCGATGCTGAAGACGCCGCTGTCGAGGGCTTTGCCGTTGCGTTCGGGGCCTTGGCCTTCGAAGAAGGTGTTGAACCAGACGTGTGCGACGGCTGTTACCATGGTTAGACCCATGCTCTTGGGGGTCTTGTTACGACGCTCGACTGAGATATTGACGTCGCTGTTGGGAATGCGGATTGGAGCTTTGGGTCGTAGAATAACCGCCATGCCACCTGGTTCTTCCTCCGAGTTTGCCTCTGTAACGTCGGTCTTTGACGATGTAGCAGAACCGTTCTTGGTTCTCTCAACACCCTTGTGAGAGCCCGCCGGCGAGACCTTGTGCAGGATCTCTGTACCCTTTCGCTTGATAGTCTTCGCCTTGCCAATATGCTCCTTCTCCTCAACCGTCGATGATGGAGTTTCACCTGGATTCGTCGCCTCAGAAAAGTGCGCTTCATCAGGCGCTTTCTCCTTCTGCTTGGTGACCGAGTAACCCGCCATTTCCCAAATCATATCGCTAATACCGCTCTCCTCAGGTGCTTCAGGATCAACAACCACACGCTCTTCCTTCTTGAATGTGTGGAAGACATCGATCTTCTTGCCCTCATCTGCAAAACCTTCGATATCAACCTTGACACCATTGCGCAAACCCCAGACGTGAATCTCAGGGATCTCAATGGGTCGGTCGGTGTATTTCTTGCCACCCTTTGTCCAGCGCTCAACGTAGCTGATCCAGCGCAGTTGTGAAGGAATCGAGACACCGGCGCCAAATCGTGGTCGCATTCGTCGTTCCGTGAAGCGCGCAAGAGCATCTTCAGGCTTCCAACCCTCCTCCGCGATGAGATAACTACAGCTCACTGTGCCACTTCGTCCCTTGCCAGCTTTGCAATGAACCACCACCACTCTCTTATCTCGCTTCTCCTTCCTTTGCGCCTCAGTAACGGCGTCTTTACCAGAGGACATGGGTCTTCCATCACCCGTGACTACACCACCGCCTAGTTCTCCGCCGTGTAACCAATTGCGCATACTAGCCATGATCATGGGCACGAGTCTGAACGGAGGTGGGTGGTGATCAGGCCATGGGTAATGCCTCACGCGACCATATACGGATTCATCAGGATAACCTGTTCCTTCTGCACGGAACTCCCATATTGCCCAATCTTCACCGTGTTTCGAATCGAGGAACTTGACGAGTTGGTCGAGAGGGTTTCGGTATGCGAGTTGGGGATATGTTTCTGAAGGACCGGACCTAAGAAGCTAGCTGTCAGTAGAGTCGCTGGAAAACGAGATGGCTTCACAAGAAGTGCTTAAGACACCACTCCTCTGGCAAAAGCCTTCCAATGACTAGACTTACGTCGCGATAATATGATCGGTAACGTAGCACAAATCCAAGCCAGCCTCGGGATGCCGAGCTCGCGGCCCCGCGACAATCTGTCGCAAGATCGAAGCCATCACCAGCGGGAGTCGTCAAGTTGTGGAGATCAGGTAACAACGTTCAAAACGACCAACTACAAGTTGATTTGGCTGAAAATGGTTGTTTAGGGGGGGCGATGGGTTTGGGATGAGTAGAACAGGCTGAGGCCGCCTGGTCAAAGATCCATACGTAACTTGCCCGGCGACGTCATCCTTACGCCCCACCAAGGGACCTGACATTTATCGGGCTTTGATATCATCGCCAGCTGACGAAAAGAAAGACTACGTAGAGACGAAATACTTACTACAACATGTTTTAACAAAGAATTCTGATGAAACAAAGTCTCATCTTGACTTGCAGTACTGTAATTCCAACTTAGCTAACTCTACTTCCATGAAGTCTGTCCAATGGCGAGTCTTGAGTGCCAAACTCAGAACCATGTCTTCCTCAGAAATACCAATTACAGGTCCAATGAAGCGATAGTTGAACAATGAACAATTTATCTTCTTGCAAGTCACTGTAACAACGGCACAAGTCATGATCAAACCTAAAATTCGAATACAATAAAGCTAACACCAGGAAATCCATACCCATCCAGTCTCCTTCGTTATCTTCCCCATCATTCCTGCTTGTGCACCAAGTCGATATGCTCGGCCCACAAAACTCCCTCTGCGTGCGCATGAGAACAGTCGCCAGAAAAGTTCCCCAAGTATAGGAATAAAAAATACAGTCACGAGGCCGTGCCTCTTTTCCACGTCCCTATGCCTGTGCAGTTGTACCTGCTACCACCATGTTTCTTGTCCAGTCTGAAATCGTCGTCGCGTTTAGCTACAAAGCAGCTAGCCCAATCGTAGCGTCATGGCGTTTCCATCGTCTGATTTCGCTATGCCTCAATTCATATCCGTTACGTATAAACATCAACTTGGAATAGTCTCGAAGCTGCGTGTCGTCGTGTCGAGCTTATGAGGTCTTCTTAGCAGGGCCGCTAATGTACTTGCCGACATCAGTAGCGTCGTGGAACTGCTTGCCAGCCTCCTTGACACCTTGCCAGACCTGTCGCGCAGCAGGGGGAGTACCCTGAGCACTGACGAGGGAGTCCACACGAGCACCGAGCTGGTTGAAAGAGTTCTGGACATGGGTGCTTTGGGCGTAGCGAGCACGGAGGAAAGCAGTGTAGAGAACAATGAGGATCCATGATCGGCGCTGGAAGAGAATAGCGGAGAGGAGAATGCGTCCCCAGAGAGCAATCTCAAGGGTGGAGACGATGGCCATTGAAGCGTCATAGTACTCCTTGACGAAAGCGCCGATCTGGTCAGCAAGAGGGCTGTTGACAGCTCGACGGCTAGGAGAAGCACCATCAGCAGCCTCGGGCGCAGGCTTGGGCGCAAGGACAGCGGGGATCAGGTTGGCGCGGGTATAAGTAGCAACGTGGAAGACCGAGTAGATCGTGTAAGGGATCAAGGCGAGGGGGTATTGGGGAGAGAAGAGCCACACAAGGGCCATGGCTTTTTGAAGTCAGCAAAAGTGCACAGACACAGCGAGTACTTCGACTCGGAAGCTCTTACCAAGATACTGGATGTTCTCATCAGCAAGGAGAGCCATGGGACTGGGAGCAGCACGGGCGCCAGTCTTTGCGCGAGCGCGCATGGTCTTGTAGACGACAATGCCATAGGTGACAGCGGCAGCGATAAAGGCAGTACGGTAGGAGAGCTGGGCCATGCGGGTGTAGTAGTTCATTCGGATCCAGGACAAGAAATATCGGCCCGTCGTAAGGATCAGGGTGAGGTGTCTATAGTCAAGGAAGCTTGTCAGTCACAGATCTGGCTATTTAGTGGTGATGTGAGCTCCAAAGAGGGAAGCCGTAGATCCAAAACAGCTATCGTGGCCATTTCGTCGCACCGAGGCAGAGCGGGACAAATGTAAAGTTCATGACAAGACGTACCCGACAAACCAACCGACTGTGAGAAACACCAAGTTAGCAATGCGATCCCATATAATGTCTGCGCGCAAAGTCGCATCTCAAGATACCACGTACACTGGAGGGTCTTAGCAAGGGCCAGAAGCCTCTCCTGGAGAGGAAGATTGGGGTTCGGCGGGGGAGCCATGGCGTCTAGAGATAAGAGAGTCGAGAAATGATGCGATCTAGTATAGGTTCAGAGTAATCTGCGCTCGCGATGTGGTTGAGGACGAGCTGATGTTGTTATTGAGAGTCGAAGATGGTGATGAATGACGATGTCGTAGGGAAGAGAAGAGAAGTTGTGGGCTTTGGATTGGATTTGGAAGTGGGTAAGAATCAAGGCAGGGGAGAGTGATGGAATGGACTGTGGCAGTGACGGAGCCTGCCCCCGCTTTGGATGAGGTGCCCCAAGCTCCAAGGCTTAGGACAGGTTTCAGCGATTAGTTTCCAGCGCGGTTTAGCAGCTGAGGCGCTAAAACGGCTGCCTATCTTTTGAGAGGGGGAGAAATGACCGGGGACTGGGCGCTATCTAAGACCCGACGGGAGGGAGCTCGAGGTGGGGGGATGGACAAAGAGGCTGGTAAGGGAGTTTGTCTGAGACTACAAGTAGGAGGGAATTAATATTGATTGTGGTTTCTTCGAGGTCGTACTGTGTGTTTAGATCGTGTTTGGTAGGTTCGTCCTTTGATGTATCCGTTGGTTGTACACGACACCAACTGAAACGCCTGTCCAAGCTTATCTGGAGGTGGTGATGGCTTCGATGACGACAATTAACCTGTTTCGAAAGCACGTGAAGACGCCACTAGTAAGAGAACTTACTTGAAATACGACCCATCATAGCATAATTGCTGTACGCAGAGCCTCGCCACAGTATGGCAAGCTACCTCTGACCATTTTGCTCTATGTTCGTCTAATTTACCAAAAATCCTCAATTCAACCCTCATCGTCATTCGAACAAAGAGCTTCAATAAGCTGACTCTCGAGCTTTGACTTTCGTCATCGCCTGATACCAGCTTTTACCAAGGCCCAAGCCCCTGCATAGCTGAACCGCGCGAACTTCGTCTCAGCCAACGAGAACCGACCAATTCCAATGGGTGGGTGGAACCCGAATCGACTTGTGAGCGGCTAAAATCTCCTTTATGAACTTCGCGACGGCATCTTTCAGATATTTAAGAGCTCTATAGGATAAAGGGATAATTCCAATAGATGTTGTGAGTTTATTTGAACATTTCCGCCAACTGAAGACATGACTTTGCTGGTAAACATTAACTTGTTTCCTAATTTACACTTCACAAATTGAGTTACCCTGCACCATTCCTCGATGCTTCATGGCAAGGCGACAGCACACTCGGAATTAATAATTTTTTCACAGAACTCAAATACAATGGTTACCTATGAGGCATCGTTAACATTAAGAAGGTTCATACCCTTACAGAAACACTGTTCAAGTTTCGTGCAGGGCATGTTCGTTTTGGGCCTCGCTGGAGACAGAATTGAAAGCTCAAATGCCTCCATCTGCGGCATGCATAACTTCGTCATTGCAGCTTCAAAATCGATGATTCTCAGTCAAAGTCCGCTTTATTAAACATTGATGTCTCCAAATCCAAAATGCATAAGCCCCTGTCGGTTCTCCATAGACCCAAGCTATGTCCAACCAATTTCCGTTTGATGTAAAAGCCAAAGCTCACGCAGCGCTAGACATTCATTGTTTCCTTCGAGGGTCAGCTTACAGCAATAAGAATTTCAGAAGCGGTACAAACTTTTCCTTAGTGTCAGCCAAATATGCTGCAGAAAGATTTCCAGCCCCCAGGACAGACCTGATATTCCTGACCTGTCGTTGCCTGAGAAGCGTTTCCATCCTCTTTCTAGCTTCTTGTTTCTGCTCAATAGCACCAGTGACAGTCCAAAACAGACTACGCACAGGACGATAGCCATGGCTATTCTTGAACTCCGAGAATCCGCAGAGAAGAATATGAACATTGAGTAGGATGAGGTTGTCTACCCGCCAGATCCCATTCTTCTTGATGTCCTCGATTCGAGCGTACAAGGTTGCTTCGACTATAGCACTGATGTCATCAGGATCAATAGGTCTTCCCCAAGACTTTCTGAGACAATTGGCAATGCGATCGTAGTATCGAAACACGGTTTCTCGACATGCGCACGGGGCTAATAGACTGTGGTAGGGGCAAATGGTGAGGAAGTGGAAATGGTTGTCGCATTCGTTTAAGAACTCGCAGATGTTGCCTTCTGCCTCCGTCGTGGTCATGTCTGGTCGCGGAGCTGCACCGCTAAAGACTTTTGTACAGGCTTGTCGAAACTGGGGGTTTTCTTTGGCGCGTTGGGAGAATGATAGTCCTGGAGTGTTGATGAGAAGCTCACAGCACATCTCGCGCCTGTGGTTATTGGGGACTCCGCGTGGCATGGTGGTATATTAATCGTTTTTGCGTCAGAAAATAAAGAAATGACCAAGTAAAGAAGATATCGCTATTTCTGTAGCGTTGAGCAATATTGAGAGAGTAGAGTTGAAGTGACCTGGGGTGTCTTAGCTAGGTACGTTGGAGAATAAGTTAAGGGGCTTTGCTGAGGTCTCCTTCACGAGATATCTGAAGGTCTACCATGATATCGTAATAGATGTTTTGTTAAAGAGGGGAATCATCGAGACAGGCAAGTTAAGCTCAATACGCCTATTGCTATCACCAATAATGTGGTTGAAGCTTCCGACTCGCATCTTTCGAATGATAGGTTATCAGCAGAAACAACCTTTGGCAAAGCACCACAACGAGAGTATGTGAGGACGTCTCGACCCATACAAGCTTCGTAGTGGGAACCCTCAGCAACTTTGTTTGCAGATATTTCATCCCCGTGGAGGCATGCTTGTCGAAGTTGACAACGAGTGACGAGGGGAGCCGTCCTTTGAGAGCAATCAGGAACATCAAAGGCAATCTGGTGACGATGAAGCGTAGACGATGCACCTTGCAGATATGCTCACAGCGTTTACAAGTTTGTCATGAGCCGGGGGATGCCCCATTACATGCGAGATATAATCTCAAACTATCTCGAGATAAAACTGAGTATCAAGGTCACTTCACCATCGTACATAAACTTTAACTAAAGCATCATAACTTCTTAAAATATTGATACGGGTCGATATGCTGGCCAAGATGCAATACCTGTTGACATGTCGACGGCCATAGAAGAAGTATATGCCTCGGTATATTCGAAGCTCCTTCTCCCACTATCTACACAATGTAGACTCAAGGCTGCTCCGGTATATCATTCAGGAGGCCAATCATGAGTCATTTGATGCTTTTTAAACTTAAATAGGCCGTATGATGATTGCCCTCTTCATAAAAGCATTCAGACACAAGCTAATCTTGAATACCAGCGGCGTACTCCGTATAACCTGTTAGACTTGCCTCTACTGAATCATACGGTCGAAGGAGTCTAAACATACAGATACACATACCCACAGTCACCTCAGAATGCCCCTTCATGATTCGGCTTCTGTAATCTGCTGTCACATACGACCATAGCTCTTGGAGAATACGGGATCCCGTCTGCTCTCCCATCGTCAAGCCGAGAAGCGGTGAATTAGTACTCAGGTCGGTGACGACTGGGGAATCCTCACTGTTGTATGTTTTTGCTGCTGTTTGCCATTTTTGCTATCTGGGGTTATTTATTAATGGATGCATGATAAAAGCTCTCAGTGGTATTGCCTTTTGACCTAGGATATCGAGGTACAACACAGTTGAGGGGCCCCAGTGCGAATTGGCCATATTGACATGCAAGGTAAGTGTAGAAGGCTAGAAGATTGACTGGACTCTCCATAGTGTAACAGTGATAGCTCTCCATAAAGTCAATGGTTTGGAAGAGGTTATGATGGTAGCCAATTGGAGGAGAATGGTGTTGATCGCCGTTTCGCCATAAGCCTCATACGTAATGATCCATTTAGATCTCCCGGAGCATGAAACCACCCAGCTCGACGTATATAATAACCAGTTATACAAGTTTATGTCAATCAATGGGTTGAATACAACGGAGCACGAGGTCCGTTAGTCGAAATATACCCGCCGATCAAAGGATTCCTCCGTGCGCAAGAATTGCATCACAAAAAGGATGGCAATCCAAGTTCCCCATTAGCCACGCATGTCAGCTTCACGCCCATCAAACAGGCATGGCAGGGAATAATTCAGGTACCGTTCACAGCCACAGCTGTCACGACGACTTTTTGCCTCTTTATCTCTGTTTCATATTTTAAAAACTGGAGCCTTGGGAGATGATGCATATGAGACGTCAATCGCCTCAACGCCAAGGGTAAGATGATCAGTCAAGCAACTGAGATAAAACGATCCGACAGGCGGACATGAAGCTCCGGTCACAAAACATGGTATGAATCCCTGCTCCATAGACTAGAGGGTATTCTCGTGGCTGAGAAGCTCCGTGTCGTCGTGAGTTGGGAGGTTTTGGTGACGGGTAATGCTTACGTCGCCGAGACGTCAGATTCGGCAAAAGAAATGTTCAGTGTTGGTAACACAATTTCAGATTGAATGATATAAATATTAGGACGAATGAGTACAAAATTTCACGATATCTGTCAAATTTTGATGTCTTTGTCAATTGATCTCTATCTTACACAACTTCAACTGAAGCAATAGCCATTTCCATTGAGACAACATGTCTGCATCAATACTCAAACGAGCAACTTGCTCAATCGCTAGTAAGACATACTCTCACGCGCGGATAGCTGCTCTTAGGCAAACACCAAACCTCGTTGCTAAGCCAATCTGTCAACGCTCGATACACACCACTGAAAACGACAGTGCAAAACCCATGAACCCAGACCCTAGAGAGAATCCTGCCCATGAACTCACTTTACCTCGAGGAACAAACGTCGGGCGCAAGCGTTTCTCAGATTTCGACCTCGCTGGAAAGGTCTTTATCGTCACAGGCGGTGCTCAAGGTCTTGGACTGACTTTGGCTGAGAGTCTTGTTGAAGCTGGCGGAAAAGGTATGTCAACCACACAATTGACCTGAATAATAACTAAATGAACTACAGTGTATTGTTTGGATCGTGCTGATCATCCTGATGAAGGATGGCATGAAGCTCAAGCACGCGTCGTTCCAGAATGGGGCGGATCTCTACACTATTGCAAACAAGACGTGTCAGACGCCGAAGGTCTCGATAGCCTCATCACCGCCATCGCAGATGAGAACCAAGGCCTTGACGGCGTGATAGCCGCAGCAGGCGTCCAGCACATCTCACCTACCGTGGAATACAAAGCAGATGAAGTAGCACACATGCTCTCCATCAATTACACCGGCGTTTTCATGACCGCCAAATCCGCCGCCAAGCAAATGATGAAGTACAAGAAACGCGGAAGCATCTGCCTCATCGCCAGTATTTCAGGCTTGAAAGCGAACCGCGGTCTTATTTCCCCCGTATACAATTCTTCGAAGGCAGCTGTTATTCAACTTGCGCGCAATCTTGCTATGGAATGGAGTCCTATTCAGAAAGATGGCACTGGAGGAATTCGCGTCAATTGCATTAGCCCTGGACATATCATGACGCCTATGGTGCAGAGTAACTTCGAGGAAGTGCCTGGTATGCGAGAGGAGTGGGAGCGGGAGATCATGATGGGGAGATTGGCTGAGACGCAGGAGTTTAAAGGTGCTGCGCTGTTCTTGTTGAGCAATGCGAGTAGTTATATGACGGGGGGCAACCTCGTTATTGATGGAGGGCATTCGTCGTGGTAACTATTGACTGGCGTTGATTGGGAGACTCGAGGACTGAAGAGGAGAATCGATGATAGATTAATACCAAGCCAAGCCATTTGTTTTCACAATACATATTCGCAATATCCAACTTGTATCACCCTTTGCGTGTCACTCATCCGCGTATACAACAAAGCAATTACCACGCTTCTTAGAACATTAGCATGACAATGGCTGTTTTTGGGATCTAATCCTTGTTGACGTTCAATACTCAACATGACGCACACTATGCCAAATCGTGGTGGTTTTAACCCGCATCAAGTGTATGCCACGACTCCTCCACAACCCTATACTATAATTGGCCTTCTACATTTGTGTTATCTACGATAGTGTGGTTATTGAAGGTGAATTTAAGTGTCACGTCTCCAAGCACAACACCGAAAGGTATCATTCTAGGATGGAAGACAGAGCTACGGAAACGAGTCTTGCAAAAGCGTTCAATATTGGATCCCAAGTATTTTTTTTAGAAACCACGTACGTTTCGAACCAATCCAGAAAAGTGTATTTGAAGCAATTGTCTAGCTATCTGGACCAACCAGACTTCTCTACAACTTGCCCCTGTACTGTCCCATAGCAAAGCGCCCTTCCAACGGCTTTTAATCTCCTATATACCAGATCCCGGCTCCAAAATGACCATAAACAACGCCAGAAAACATACCATTCAGTGGTATCATTGCCCTCCAATCTCACTTCCGACGACTTACCAGAGTCGCTCCAGCTATTCTTCGCCATGAGAGTATCCAAGGTCCCCGTGACCATATGTTACAGACATCGAAAACCCGAAAGCTCCTTCAATGATCGCCATGATGAACAGCCTTTTGCCACAGCCACCTAATATGGTTGCAACCGGATTGTGCTACCCCCAGACTTTGACCTCGGACGAGAAAGCTTGTTCTTCAGGGGCACTATCTCCCTCTCCTCGATCAAAACATCAAGTCCAGATTTTATGCATTCCAAGCGCTCATCGCGTCCCCAATCAATAATATTCCGGACGAACCTCCGGAACTCGAGAAACTCTTCAGGCCGCTGCAAAAGAAACGTCTTAATCTTTTGCGTATATATGAAGACTTCATCCTTCCAAGAGGCATGTAACCGAGCCTCAGTTCCATTCATGGCGATGCTGAAGCTCGTGCTATCAAGTGGCTTGTTGGGTTCAATGTCTGTGCACTTCTCAAGTCTGTTTTTCAGATTCTCGCTGATCTGTATACAGGCTGTGGACGCTCCCAGGCATTGGTTCGTCGCCACCTAGAGACTACCTTTGCTGGATGGTCCGTCACCTTTGAACTCGACTGCGAAGAAGGGAAAGGAGAGGCCTTCGCTGTTTGCTATAGCAAAATTACCGCATGTTGCGATCTGTGTTCGTTGGTCTTGTTCGAAGGCAGAGAAGCGGTAGCCGTATAGGAGGTCGGGGACAGGAACGCTGAGTCTTGAATAGGGCTGAGTGACGGGGAGTACGGCCCTGCTTACGAAGACACGATCGCTGCGCTGGATAGTATCTGTGCTAGAATCAGGGGGAATGATATTATTTCGAACAAATTCTTCAACTTTTGCTTCGCTGGCACCTGCTTCCATGGCGTAGAGATCATTGTTATCTTTGGGAATAGGCTCCGGCGAAGATCGACCTTTCTTGAGTGAGTCGACAAGGGTTAAGATATGAGGCGGGAGTTCAGTTCGAGAGTCAAGTAAAAGGATATTGTTCAGAGCAAGATTAAAGTCCCTGTAGAGGGCACTCTCAACGAGAGGCCCACTAGATCGATTAGGTGTGCCAGTGACAGTTGGATAATTAGTCGGTGTCGGATCAATAGAGGGGCCCCCTTCGTTGGTAGTGAATCCAGGGGATGAGGGTTTGAGGGAGGATTTGGGAGAAAACGCCAGTCCAAAGGCGGTAGCTTGACCGGTGAGGTTTTTTCTACCTGGCATCATGGGTGGAGCAGAATGAGATCTTTCTAGAAGTATGGATTTGGCGTCTTGGTGCAAAATGAAGCAGTCTGAGCGTGCTTTCTCCCGTAGATCTGAAGGGTAAATGTCCTCAAGCCAGTTATCGATTTGTTCCAAGAACGAAGAGCGGGCCTGAGTCTCATTTATATAGCCCAGGAGAGCAGCGGATGGAAGCATACTTCGAATAGGAGCTGGCTGATACATGACCTATTAAGATACAGGTCAGCTTATGAAGAAGTGATGCATGTCATGGCTTTCTGGAGATAATGCGGTCTTGTACGAGGTGAGAAGATACTCACATGGTCATTCATATTCTGATTATCGTCCTCATAGCGGATTTTCTTGATCTGCTGGGCCTGTGATGGAGAGATAGAGGGAGATCTGCTGGCAGCTCGCTTCTTGGGGTTGTCCAGAGTGGCCTGAGTAGGCGCTGGTTCCTTCGAGCCGTCCATGATGAGGGTTGATATTAAGAGAAATATGATAATGTGAAGAAGAGAGCAGAGCGCCCTTGTTATATTGAAAGAGTACGGAAAACAGTGAAGAAGGATGTTCAAGTCAAGTTTGGTAAGTCTGATGATAGCGGTTCTTTGGGTCGTGGCAGTACTGGCCATGCTTGAAACAAGTGATAAAGCAATGCCAAGACGTGCACTTTGGCCATTGCGAGAAGCAGAACTTCCATTATTGACAGTGGTTCAGAGGACAGTTTGTAAGATTGCAGAATCAGAACCTGAGGTTGCTCTTTCAGACCATATGAAGTTGTCAGTGATAAAGTATTGAGCGGCTACACGTTATACGAACTTGAACCACATAAAGTGCCACTTAACGCCTCTGAATCAACAACCTTACGATAGACCGTTTCTCCTGCAAAGCCACATGATTCTCGACACCCCGTGAAACATGTGAAGAGCCTCATCAGGCACCGTACTACCCTCAGAAAATACATTTCGTTTCAGCCTCGTAAACAACGTCAATCCCTGCAGTAGATCCCCCAGGTCTGTATTGTAAAAGCTCCGAATGGTTTCGGGTGAGAAACCAAGTGCCAACTTTGTTCGTTGAGAATAAACGCACGTTGCATGAGCCTCGGTCGGGCCGTACCGCACTATGACGCCGCAACGTCAGTTGTTTTAGCGAGTTTCCTGTTAGCTCCACTAATGGTTCGAAGTCATGATGCTTCAGGCGCAGTAATTCTTTCTGGGTTTGTCATTATCAAGTTATGTAGACTCTCAGACTGGAGGTTCACACGGCTACGTGTTGCCTTCGGCGCCACTCCATTGGACTACACCATGAGCCTCTCTTTTACTCTACCAAGCCCCCCTCAGGGCCATAATAATGATATATTAAAAACAATACTCTTGTCGGAAACTCCCCATTCTTACCATTCTCGGCCGACATGTCCGGCTTTCGGATCATCAGGCCCATGACAACTCGAATCTCCACTCACAGCCCTAAAATTCGCAAATCGCCCCCCAGTCTCCGCTGTCAGATCCAATCTAACTCCACTGTCGTCATTGTCAGCGACTCCGGCGCTTCCGTCACATTTTCCCTTTCATGCAGCTTTTTTCCCTCCCTTCCATTCACTTCTCTCAAACCACCACCCACAAACCAGAACAATCCATATCCCCGGGTTATCATATCATAACTCTCCTCCCCTCCGATCTCGCTTCCCCCATGGCTTCTACTCTCGAAGCTACCGGCGCTCCAGCCGCTCGCATCACTTCTACTGCTTCTACCATTGCGGACTATGCTTATCCTTATGGACATCTGGGACATTTGACGCAGAAGCAGGAGGACGCTTTTGTGCAGTTTAAGAAGGTTCTTCAGGAGAGGGGTCTTTTGAAAGTTGGACCTCCGCCTTCTCATGATGATCCTTTGATCTTGTACGTTTTTCTTTGAGAGGTGATTGATAAGCAGGGATCTAACGGCTTTTCTCTACAGGCGATACTTGCGCGCGCGAAGATGGAACGTCGAGGATGCGTATCAGCAATTTAAAGAGACAGAAGATTGGCGCAAGGCAAACGATTTGGACGTGTTATACGATACCATCGACCTAAGCGCCTACGATTTCAGCCGTCGCCTGGTATGTCTCTCGGAATACTCGGGAACGTCAAGCGCTGACTTTGTATCTCTAGTACCCCCAATGGACCGGCCGACGCGACCGTCGCGGAATTCCCCTCTACGTCTTTGAAGTCAAGACCCTCGACTCCAAGACCGTCCACGAGTATGAAAAGGTCGGCGCATCGAGTACCTTCTCCAAAGCCAAGTCCGACGGCAAGACGCCGAACGGTCTGCTGCGCTTATTTGCTCTGTACGAGAACTTGACGCGCTTCAACATGCCTTTCTGCACACAACTCCTCGATCGCGAACATCCTGAAGTTCCTATTACGTTGAGCACAAACATTGTTGATATTTCGGGCGTGGGGTTGAAGCAGTTCTGGAATCTTAAGCAGCATATGCAGGCTGCTTCACAACTTGCTACGGCGCATTACCCCGAGACATTGGATCGCATATTTGTGATTGGTGCCCCGGCGTTTTTCAGCACTGTTTGGGGTTGGATCAAGCGCTGGTTCGATCCTATTACCGTTTCTAAGATTTTCATCCTGGGTCATAATGAGGTCAAGAGTGTGCTGGAGCAGTACATTGAGCCACGAAACATTCCTAAGAAGTATGGCGGCGAGCTTGACTACAACTTTGGAGAACTCGGTAACCCTGATCCTAACTGGGAGGGTGTCGTTGAGTTTGAGAATGGACACAAGACGTTCCCCAGTGGGCCGTTATTGTGGGAAGAGGACTCGAACGGAAGGTTGGTCTGTATGGCCAAGGGTTCAAAGGACGGGCAACCTCGAAACGAGAGAATCTGCACAATCCCCAAGACCTTTGGTCTCGCACCTGTGGTGGAAATCTCCAGTGGCGAAACAGCCGTTGAAACACCAGCGGAAACCAACGACGCAGCTGCCCTCAACGGAAACGGGCACGCCGTATCTCCGCAGGGAACACACGACGACGGCGTTCAAACCGACGATGCTCTTTTGAGTGGTGACTTGAACGAGAAGCTGAAACTGCAGGACGAAAAGCCTGTCGCGGCACAGACGACTACTGCGTGATAGAAGTATTATATCCTAGAGATGGCGAAGACTGGCATACCCTGGAAGTAAATTTTGGATAACATGGTTTGAAGTATAAGATGGACTATATTGGTTGAAGTACACGGAGTATATCCCTTTCTTGTTTGGCGTATCGTGTTTAGAACCTGCCGTTGAAGCGGTCATCTGGTTGTGAATACATAATCGTGATTCCCTGTTAATATTTGAACAATTACCTTCTTTATTCTATTCCCAATCTCTCGTCTTCTATGTCTATAAAACTCCAGCCCAGCCGTACCGTTGCCAAAGTCTATTCCATCTCGGGAACCTCAGGTCTCGTAATATATCCCCTTCTATTCCTCCACTGCGTAACTCCCCTCTCAAGCTCCCCCCACGTAACCCCATCTCTAACAAGGCACATCGTTACCCCCAAACTCTCCGTATCTCTATTCCTTGCCTCATCGTCAAAGAACAACATGTCCTCATATTTAATCCCCGTCCTCTTCTGCAGACTCTCAAAGTGCTTAATCTTACACCCCGGATAAATCTCCAACAAGCCCTCAAACACATCCAGCGCTTTCTTCGGCTTTCCACCCTCTGGTCCAGTGATATGTAGCATCTTTAACAAATCGCGCGCAAGGCTCGGTGCAGAAGTTCGCGACGCTACGCCGATTTTAACACCGGCGCGCGGCAGGGCGTGAAGGATGGCGGGGACGTCGCTGAAGAAACCAAAGTCTTCGCCGTATCGATCTGTGGCACTTGTGTGTGAGGAGTTGGGTTTTAGAGGTGGTGTTACGTGGGTGTCTACCCAGAATGGCCAGAGGGTGTAGTCGAGATCGAAGACGATGAGTTTAGGGAGCGGGAGGGATGGATCGGCGAGGGAGGATGGAAGGGCGGTGGAGGATGTTGATGTTGTTGAGATTGTGGAGAGGGTTGAGGTGCTTGGCGGCAGAGGATTTTTGGAGAGTTTCTTTGGCATTTTGGAAATTCGTGGGTTTGTTAGCGAGGTTGTGAGGGAGATTGTGGTGATGCAGAAGCTTGGTGTTGAGAGGTTGGACTTTTTTGTTGTCGCCCCGCGGTGGGGGGATGTGACGTCGCTGACGTGCGTGCTCTGACCAGGCCGTTAATGTTGCTATGATCGACGCGTCTGCCTTATTAGGGTGGACTGCTTTCATCCACTCTTCGAAGGGTCGTGGGTTCAACGGTTAACGTTGTAGCGGTTCTATACTTTATCTTTCACTTTACATGCAACATCGGACGGAGTAATTCAACGAAGGACTGTTGCCAGACTCTAGCCAGGATATCGTCCGAATTTGACCTTTGTTAGCTCCCGTGATCTGTGCTAATTTTCTGTTGTTCTCTTCATTAGTCTCAGCAAAGATCCATGGCAATCAACCTTTATTTTCTAGTTAGCTGCCTGTAAGTACTTTATGTTTGGTGAATAGCATCAAGGGACTGACCAACCTCCACGTCGTTTGACTCATTCTACCAGAACTTTGGCCCGTTCCAGTGAAAATCTTTAAGTCTTGAACCCTTTGGGGGAATCGCAAATGCTTGAGGCTGCCAAATCTCATTGCTCAGTCTTGGCCAGTCCAGGTTGAATGTCAACCTCTAAATTCCTATTTTGGCTACCCCGCACTCTCAGCGATTGCGGGGAGGCAAATTACGGGTCTCTGAGAAAAATAGCACTCATCTAATTGGCCCGAGGTAATTAGTTCAAGTCGGGGGGCATTTCCCCATTTAACTTGGACATTTGCCTGACCTTTTTTCACCTGAAGAACTGATCTCTTTTTGCCGAAAGCTGAATCCCCTGGATTTGAACCCCTGCGATATGCATATGCCGCTGAGCGTATGTCTGAGAAATAAGCGATTTCGTGCTTGTCTGCGTCATTCTTGACGGTCTGAAGGCGGTCAGGGGTTAGTCGTGAAGATCGACTCATTCACGCGACACGTTCAATTGAGTGACTTGAGGAATCGGTAGCGCATTCATGATGGCTAAGAGAACGTGGTCTGACTCTGCTGGAGCGACCAGCGCTGATGCGGCGGTATGTCTTAACATCTCAGTTTGAGAATTGGCTGACAAGGCAGGCCCCGACACCAGCTCGTCCAAATGGAAATGGGAGATCAGCTTCTCATCGGCAAAGCATCACTGCAGTCGTGTCAAATGACGGCACAGTCCCTCAGATCTCACGCAAGATCAAGGCGTGTGCAGCATGTCGAAAACACAAGGTGAGATCGAGATGCCATGATGAGTATGAGTGAGAATTAATTGTGGTGGCAGATCAAATGTTTGATGGATGAAAGTGGTCCACCATGTCGTAGATGCGCAGAGCGAAATCTAGGATGTGTCTTGAGTAAAAGTCTACAAACCATCATGGATGAAAAGTCACAGTAAGCTTTGCCCATGCCATAACTCATTATCTCAAAATAACCAACACACTCAGATTCTCCGAATCAGTGGTCCAAGATCTCGAGCAAATGCACAGCGCTCTAAGACAAGTCATGACCAAACTCAGCCTCCCAGAACTACCTCCCCTACAAAGCATCAATTCTCGAGAAGAAGGGACACCACCTAAAGACGATCACCACGCAAATACGTCACATCACCTATCTGTATCACAAGAGGAATTCCGCGGTCCTTCATGCGATAACTCACCGAAAGCGACACCTGAAGATGAAGGACTTCCTTATGTGCCTATTCACTCACTCTATACCCTTACTAAGCTCAGTGCTTTACGATCACCCGATAACCCTGAAGCTCAGAAGGGGAATGCTATCAACGACTTCATCGCTCGTGGGGCTCTTTCGCTAGCAGATGCAGAAAGTCTCTTTGCTCTATATCGCGACCGTTTAGATCGGTATATGTACGGAATCGGCTGTCGATACATGACCCTCGAAGAGCTTCGCCGCAAAAGTCCAATCCTCTCCGCCGCAACTCTCACGGTAGCTGCATTACACGACCCGAAAGCCGATAACATCTACGGAATCTGCAGTAGTGAATTCCGCCGTCTGATGGAAAAGTCCATGTTTGAGCGCCGCATCGATCGCGATTATCTACGCGCCATGTGTGTTGCTTCGTATTGGCTTAGTGATCTTTCATGGATGCTTTCGGGATATGCTATTCGACGCGCGGCTGAGTGTAATTTGCATAATAGCTATAATCAGGCTATTAAGGAGCAGAGTCAGGAGGCGGCGGATTGTGCTCGGTTGTGGTATATCCTGTATATCTGCGATCAGCACCTTGCTACTTTGTATGGACGGCCCTCGATTGTACAAGAGGATTCGTCGATTCAAGGATGGGAGCAGTTCTTGAAATCACCGGTTGCGACGGAGGAGGATAAACGCTTGACTGGCCAGGTTATGTTGGTCAGTATTTTGCGAAATATTCGAGAGCTCTTTGGTACGGATAAGGGTGAACCGATTCCGAGAGTGTACCTGAATCACATACTGCAGTTCAGACGGCAGCTCGATGAGTGGTATACCCGGTGGATGGGAGAATTACCTGGTAAGTTGACATCAACACCTGTCCCCGAATTACACTGACACTTTACAGAGCAATGGACCCAAATCGGCTCATTCCCACGAAAAGGCACAATTCTTCACTACAACTTCGCCCAAATTCATCTCTACTCACACATCTTCCGCGGTCTCTCCAACGACGCTCCCATCCCTCATTATTTCCTCGACTGCGCAATGCAAGCCGTAAACGCCGCAACAGCCATCATCGATCTCATAATAACCGACCCGGACGTCGCAGCCGGCATCGTAGGAATGCCCTCGTACATGCTCTCCATGACCGCCTTTGCCTGCATGTTCCTCATAAAAGTCGCTGTGAAATATGGCAGCGACTTGATTGAGCGTCAGCGTGTTCAAGATCTAACGACAAATCTTGTTCGACAGTTTCGGTCGCTAAAAGCTGGGAAGTGGCATCTTGCGAATCTCATGGCTGGGGGGCTGGAGCGCATGACTGCGACATTGGCTACACCGGACCCTGGGCAGTTGGGACAGGCACCGGCTGCTGTGTATAATAATACGGTTGAGCATGTTGATATGGTGATGCCAGGGAACCAGGTGTATACTGATATGGATGGGGATACGTTCTTTGATTATGATATGAGTTTTGGGCTCTCGCCGGTTTTTAGGTTTGATCCGAGTATGTTTACGGTTGACGCTTCAGGACAGTCGCTTCCAACGTATCCTGAGGCTGATTATGGGATGAGGCCGCAATAGGATGGATGGGAATGGGCGTTTGTTCTGTTTGGGTGGGAATACCTGGTTGTTTGTATCGTGAATTGGACTTGGATATGAAGCTGAAGAGATATTCTTATCCGTCGTATGTCTTTGAAGACACTCCGTGATCGGATAACTGCCCCCTACTTTACTCACTCATAAGTAGAGATGTATCAAACCTCGTCCTTAGCTTCCCCGAATCTACGTGATCATCCTCTCCACAGTTTGTTCATCTCGGATTTCGTTCCGTCGACTCCGCATCATCTTCTGCGGGGGACACGGATAACCTCATTCACCCCGCGATAGTGGATCAATCTTATCCGATCAAACTACCATTTAAACACATCAACTCACTCTCACTTCATCACTGACACAACCATTAGTATATACCAGTTAAACGTCGACATGGCCAACACACAACATATCCTCATCACAGGCGCCGGTGGCTTCATCGGCCAAGAAATCATAGCTCCCCTTCTCAACTCCTCACCCTCCATCCATCTCACAATAACCGACATCTCTGAACCCCCGGTTCCAACTCAACACTCCCAACGCATAACTTCTCTCGCCGCAGATCTCACCAACCCCTCTGTCGTTGAAAAACTCATAACTTCACAGCCCTTTCAAGCAGTTTATCTCTTCCACGGGCTCATGTCGGGTGGTTCAGAAGCGAATCTCGATCACGGTCTTAAAGTCAACGTTGATTCAGTTCGCTACGTCCTCGATGCACTGAGGAACAAACTCCCTGGAGTCAAAGTGGTTTTCTCGAGTTCTTGTGCTGTTTATGGACCGGAGGAGGGATATGTTACGGAGAAAACGCTACCGCAGCCGAGATCTTCGTATGGTGCGGAGAAGCTTATTGCTGAGTTGTTGGTGAATGACTTTTCGAGAAGGGGTTTGATCGATGGGCGGATCGTGAGATTGCCAACGGTGGTAGTTCGGCCTGGAAAGCCCTCCGCCGCAGCATCCAGTTTCGCCTCAGGTATCGTGCGAGAATCTCTCCAGGGCATTCCCAACATCCTCCCCGTACCGAAGGATATATCAATGTGGATCTGCAGCCCCGCGACAGTGATCAAGAACCTGATCAAGATCAAGGATATACCCGCTGAGAAGTTTGGAGAGTCGAGGATTGTGAATCTTCCGGGTATTACTGTTAGTGTACAGGATATTCTCGATGCGGTTGAGAAGGTTGGTGGGAAGGAAGCTGTTGGTTATGTCAAGGAGGAGCAGGATGAGGCGTTGTATAAGATTGTCAAGAGTTGGCCGCCGTGGTTTGATGCGAGTAGGGCGAAGGGGCTTGGGTTGGATGAGGATGGGGAGTTGGTTGATGCTGTTAAAGCTTTTCAGGAGAGATTGAAGGGTTCATCTTAGGATTTAATTATTAAACGTGGTTCTATCTCTATCAATTTGAATGGGTATAGTCAAACATCTTGCAACTTTGCTCCTACAGCTTTGAAGATCGGACTCTTCGTGAGACCGAACTCGGCTCAATGCGTCCAGAAGTGACCAAATGATCAACATCCAAAGTATTAACAAGATCAGGGGTCGCTTGATCCAAACTAGTAATGCCAGCGAGTCTCATCGATGTCTCGAGCTCGTCCTTGAGAACTAAGCAGCGTGTTAGTTACTGCCACAGAAATACCATTCAGATAACTTACTCTGTGAAAGGTGCTCAACTCCCTTTTGGCCATACACCAACGAATACAGGAACGGTCTTGCTATTCCAACAGCTGTAGCTCCTAGAGCAATAGCCTTGAGGATATCAGATCCACGTTCAAATCCTCCGTCGATGAAGATCTCAAGATGTTGGAAAGCTTCAGGGAACCGCTTTCGGACCTCGAGAAGGATAAGGATAGATGCTTGAGCACTGCAGATCTGTCAGAGATTCCCCTTTTCAAGTGGCTGATGCTGAACTTACCCATCGAGGGATCTTCCACCATGATTACTCAACATAACACCCTCAACGCCATACTCAACCGCCAACTTAACATCCTCCACAGTCTGAACCCCCTTCAGCACAATCGGCACAGAGCTCTCCCGTCTTATCCACTCCAAATCCTCCCACGAAAGACTCTTATCGATATACTGGCCCATCAGTCGTCCGAGTCCACTGCCTTTACCATCTTTACTACTCTCACTACCACTCATGGCAGATTTTATAACAACAGCTTGAGGCGCTCGTTCATCTGCTTCGCGTTTTCCAGGAACGGGTGCATCGACGGTTACGAAGATAGCTTTTATACCCAAGGAGCGAGCGCGGCGGAGAAGTTCGATTGTTTTGGGGCGGTGGGAGTTTACGTAGAGTTGGAGGAAGAAGGGATGGCCTGATGGAGCTGCGCCGATGATGTTGGGGAGAGAGTAAGAGGCATTACTCGAGATCTACCAAAATCAGAAAATATTCAGTGTGAGAAGGGGGATTGACCTACAATCTCAAAGATTCCTTCACTGGCAGCTGCTCTACTCCAACCAAGCTCACCATCCGGATGCGCCAACGTCGCCATGGCAGCAGGACACATGATAAACGGCGCTTTACTCTCCAGACCCAAAATAGTCCTCTTTATACAAACTTCAGCGACATTGCGTAGAATTCTGGGACGGAGCATGACTCTGCGGATGAGTTCCTTGTTCTTAGACACTGTGACGAGATCGGTGGCGGCGGAGGAGTAGAACGCCCATGCTTTTGGTGTCAAGGCTTTTTGGGCGGCGAGGGAGAAGTCGTGTGCTGAGAGGATTTGATCGAGGGATGGGACGGAGGAGGGGAGTTGGATTTCTGAGAGGTTAGTGAGCGTAGTGTGAGAGATGGCTCTGGTGAGGGTGAATACCTCGAGGGGGTGGGATGTTGGGAGATTCAGACTCCATTGCTGCGAGATCACTCATGATGGCGGATGTTTATTACGATAATTCAGTTTAGAGATATCTGTTAATGGTGTAGTATACAGTTGAGATAATAGCTCTACTGTAGTTGTCGGCTCATCATGCGCCGTCTTCTTATATCTCTACGTAGTATCCGTAGATCATCTTAGTTCAATACCAGTCCCCGCAATCGGACTCCTCACCTTTCATCATGACCTGTCTCTCGGGGTATTTTGGCGCGAGTGGCACCGCGGCATTGACACGGTCATGTTGCCGATGGGCCCAGATTTGCCTTGCTCGGCCTTCTCTCCGAGGTACTCACTGCAAGTTATGCCTGGTCATACCAGGACTCTCATTATTTAATTTTTGCCTCATTGTTTATCTGTTTTTCAGGGTTCAGCCGATTGTCGGCATGGCGAAGCCCAACTTGGTACTGAGGTGATTCCCAATGGCTCCGTTCCCTTCATAAGCTGAGACTATGATTTGAGGAACTCAAGATGAAAACTAGAAGGCTTCAGCTTATTTCAGGGCTAAACTCATCATGCTACTCCAGAAATGTCTCTCTACCACTCTATCGGTCGGCTCTCAGTAAACGGATCCATTCCAAGCCAGCTATGGCGGTTCAATGGCCATCAGCACCATATACCATTGCTTTACTCATTAAGCTGCCGATTCACAGTGGAAATACCTGATATTACAATATATACTACCCTAATAACACACCCCTCTACTCAATAACAATATCCTCTCCCAACCTCCTAAGCGGCAACTCCTCCACCATCTTCTCCAGCCTTCCACATCTCTTAACAACATCCTTCGCCTCCTCCGGAAATCCCATCCTCATCCTCCCAACCCTCTCCCACACGATCCTCCCCTCCCTCTCCGTCCTCTCAACAACAAGAAGCATAACAAGCGCCTCTTCAACAAACCACAACACCGTCATTTGTTCACCGCGCGCATGACGCTCAATGTACTCTCGCATTGAGCCAGCCCCGCGACTCATGCGTATGTCCACGCTGACGCGGTTGAAGATCCACCCGTCGGGGTGAGAACGTGCTTTTACGCGGTCAAGAACAAAGGGGTTCGGGACGTGGATGCCGTAGGGGCGGATGTGTAGATTCGGTGGAGAGGGGGGCATGCCAGTTACGGAGGTCGAGGCGCCAAAGTCGTATGCTACGCTTCCGTCACGGTTGACGAGGACGATGTTGGGAGAGTAAGTCCAGCGGATAGAATTGGGATCGTTGCGTGATACGTGTGTGGCGGAGACGTAGTGGTGGTGATTATGCTTGCGTTGAACGGCCTTTGTGTCTGGATCTACCACTGTGATAGAGGAGTAGAGATCAACGGGGCCTTTCCAACCTGCCCATGTCCAGCTGGGCATGTGTGGACGTCTTGTGGCGATGACGCCTTCTTTGTGGTGCCAGAAACATGTTGATAGAGCAAAGATGTCGCGTGTGCGGGGGATGCCTTGGACTGCTGGTCCTTGGTCCATTTGTGGTGCCCAGAGGGGTATGCCGAGGATATTGAACATCTTCCCGCGACCGACTGTAGTCTCGAGACGTCTTAACATTCCGAGGAACGCATCTAGCGAATCTCGATCATACGTCAAATCTCTTCGTGTGTAGTTTCCGATATGTTGGTCTGCTTCTCGGAAGATACTCAAAGTACTCGGATCTTCAACCTTGCCGGGTAGTCTCTTCCAACGCTCCCAACTTCCATCGACGAATGACACACCGTTGAAGAGACCAGGACGCATAAAGTCGCACATTCGCTGCTCTTCCATGTCGTGGTAACACTCAAGCGGTAGGATGAGTGATTCAGGACAGCACATGCCTTCGCATTCCCAGTACATCTGCTGATCTGTAAAGATCAAGCGCCGTCTCGCAAGAAGACCTTCCTGGTACGTCCAGCCTCGCTGATACCAGGTTGAGTTCTTAATCGCCAACCGTGGATCTTGAAGACTTGACACAAGGGTAATGTTAGAGTTGACGAATTCGTATTTTGGTTGAGCCGGTCGTGTTCGTGATCCCACGCCAGGAAGACCATAGTCCGCATCTTCACCACAAGCCGCAATGATAGCTAATATGGCACCTTCGAAGATATCGTCCATCCTTGCAATCTGCTGCATCCGCTCAGCGGGTTGAACCTCCTCCATGCACAGCCGATCGACCCAGAGATATCTGATGCCGAGGTCTTTAGTTGCGATGACAGCATCCCACACAACCTTGGGCCACGTCCCTGTTGTTTTGTTTCCCCAGACGTAACTCAAAGCCGCATATCGTTCTGTAATTGAAGCAGTGACCACTTGAGGAGGATTCTTTGCGCAATCGACGAGCTTGAAACCCGGCATCTCCCGCGTAACGGGTTTTCGGCCACATCGTCCCTGGTGATAAAATTCGCAGAACCGTAACCAATCTACTCCAATGGACATATCAATCACACCCTCCAATTCGCGACCCCAAATACCACGCTTCTGCCAACCGGCATTATCGGTCATAGAATTCGCACGTGAATGCTTCCCTTCTGATCTTGCACTGAGAAGCTCATTTGGTGGCTCAGGCATTGTTCGATAGAGCATACCAGACCCACGGAACCAATCGGCGCTCACGTCCCAACTCAACGCGCCATCACCGCTCTTTTTGGGAACAACGCCTAGATATGCTGGACTGACGCCTTTGATCTTATTCTTTGATGAGTGGCCCTGTTCAAACATGCTCTGATTGTCGATGAGGTAATTTGTATCGCGACTTGAGAAGCCGGAGAGATATAGATCGCCTTCTCCCTCGCTGGGAATGTGTACTGAGAGGAATAGCTTGCAGAGGGGACATTTCGTAACGAAGCGATTCTCTTCAAGCTCCTTTAACCGGCCTAACGAATGCTCCTTGTTCTCAAAAGTATCCGCAGATGTCGGATTCAGAGCTCTTGTGAAGAAATCATCCATGGTGTCAAACGTAGAGTCGATATCAGCCGCCCAGCCCGCACACGCAGTGCACAGATTGGGGTCTTGCGGCTGCCCTCCTGATCTATCAGAATGCGCTGACGGACTCCGACTCTTGCGCCAGCTGATTCTCCGTATGAGAGAAGCTCTCCTGGGCTCGCGGTCGTCATCAGCTGGGGGAGGATCCACAGTGAGATGCTGCATCATGTTCTTGAGAGGGTTCCGTGATCGACGCCTCTCCACGCCACCGCCTGGTGAGACGGGAGGCGTGATGGTCGGTGTACCTGGGTCCAGCATATCTGGCATTGTCAAATATACCGTCGCTGAGTCTTGCGAGAGAGAGTTTGGTGAGATTGAGTTCGGCTGCCCGAAGATGAAGTCGTTTTGGCGCCGTTGAAGCTCCGTGATTCTCGGGGGGAAACCGGGTGTCTTCAGCCCCCGTCTCGGCTGCTAGATTCCGGTTCTCCACTCTTGGCGCTGGCTGGCGCCAAAGATAAAAAAAGAATAGGACAAAGAAAGAGCAGGGGTATTTATTATTAGTGGCGTTTAAATAAGGGGAATAAACACTGAAGAGAAAATAAAAGGGAGAGTTGAGATGTAGAATATTCGGTAAATGAGGAGGAGCTTGAGTAGGCCGTCGCTATTATAAGAAGCAGAGCCGCTGCCAAGGTTTAAGATCAGGCGGTTATTTCGAGATCAATACAACCAACAGACTTGTCAAACTCCTTCAAACGCGGCGCAGGTTGGTTCCTGAAGCGGGGCTTGGGGGCCAAGTGATGGAGACAAAGAAAGAGAAGAAAGAAGCGGTAAAGAAGAAGAAGAAGAAGAAGAAGAAGAAGAGACTCTTTCAAATATGAGAGAAGAGTTGCTGATGGTATATTACTCGCCTCAAATTAGATATTGGTAGAAAAGCGGCAGCGAGATTCGATCCGAGATGAATACAGCAAGGATCAACTGAGACACGGCCAATAACCACACCGAGCAATTCAACTTGGCGATAATACAACCAAAGGACTGCGATTGACTAGGTATAAGAGAGCCTGGTTTTTTTTTGTGAAGGACGCTGGTGAACACAGCCTCACTTGGCAAACATGGCGGTTGAAAATAAAAAGATGCAGAGGATGAAAAAGGTACGGAGATTCACGATGACGTAATTTGATGATTGTGAAACAGCCTCACAATTACTGACAGCTGTACTCTGTGGTAGGCATTAGGCATCTGTAGGTGGATTTATTAGGTGATTTTTCAATCCTTTTGATGGCGCAGTGATCATGAATCTCACTCAGATCAAACGCTTTGACGAGAAATACCCTGTAGGATTTGGTGTGATCCACACAGCTAGAGAGATGATCCTGTCGCCAAAGATAGATCAGAAGTGTGACATGATCTCACTGTGTTAAGATACTGCCCTCTTCAAGAATGACTCCATTACAAAGTCAAGGATAGAGGCCGGAGTTCAGAGGGTACATAAAGCCTGTGGATTCATCTCTACGGAACAGTTTGGTGACCATGTCAGCCTTAAAACGGGGAACATTGCTCTGCTTTACCCTATTTCTTCCTCCCATTCATGCCTTGACAGCCTTTCCCTGGGTAAATGATATCACGCTCATATCAAGCCGGACCGTCGCGCTCCTCCACACCAACGCCCGCCAACTCCTCAGCCCTCACCATGAAACACTCCAAAAAGAGGGGTCAAATTCATCTGATCTTATCCATCTCTAGTATAATTCGAGTTTAGTTTCCAACGGCTGCAGCGGCTATCTCAGATTTCCCAAAATCATCTGCTTCTGCTTCTTGCGTGTGACGTTGCTTAGTCTAAAGCTAGGAAACTCTAATAGCCTCACCGTGCACGATATCATGTCGCTCCGATAGCAACGACAAGTATCGAGATCTATGTACTAATAGTGAGATTCATGTAAGGCGAGTCAAGATGTCACATGAGATCAATCAAGTAAACGTTCAAGGCATGCAAGCTTCAATTGTCTCTAAAACTTCGCTACCATCGAAAGTTGGCGGTTCCAGTTCATCGCCAGCATGTCTCTTTTTTTCTTCTTTTCCATTCTGTCCGTTGCACTTGTCCGTCCGACTTGCTCTTGAGCTCGCATCAGAGATATCATCCTATAGCGTATCCAGGAAGCATGGCCTTTAAAGGCCCGCGAGCGTGGTTGTTGATGCCGAGTGTCGTTGGTGATGGAAGAAGGAACTTAGTGCTATCAAGTTATCAGAAGCTGTTCCGTATAAGGTTTTGTGTTTGATGGGAACCCACCTGGCAGCAAGAGCAGCTGGAGCCGCAGGCAGAGGCCTCGTGGTTGCAGCAGGAGCTAGATGCTGTTAGCTGGATGTTCGATGCTTCATCACTGCAACTCTTTCGACTCGATGAGAGCCAGAAGGTGCAGTGATGGACTGAGAGGAGCTCACCAGGGAGACATGTTGATAGTTGTTGGTGAAGAAGGTCTTCGAAAAAGTTGTAAGTGTTGAGTGTGTGTTGAAGTGTGAGATTGTTGGATGATGAACAAAACCCGATTTGAGCGAGATGAACCGCCCTTCTTATACTTTTCCAACCCTCATATTCTCAGCCGTCTTCGATCATACTCCATCTATCAGTTGCCTGATCATCGCATCCAGCGTGGGCATGGGCGTGGATGAAGGTGGGAGTGTCCACTCCATGTGCATCACCAACCTGTCTTCAATCCAACCAAGTCTCAGGGTCCTCTCAAGTCAAAGTGACCTTCACCCCGCATGCCCATGTACGATGTGGGATGCCCATGTTTCTGTAATTGGCCGAGATGATGCATAGTGGTTGCGCCGAGCCTCCACTACAGAGAGAGCTCTCCACCGTGAAGCTCCAGCTCAAGCTCTACTCGCGCCGTTCCGAGATGCAGCCACTGCGAAACGAGTTTCATGGCCGCCAGAGTTGCACCGCAGACTTGCTCCTATTGAACCGAACGGCATCAGATGTGGAACTGACAGTTGCTTTCCAGAAGAGGTAGGATTGGCATGCTACTGAGGCCTGCTGCTGACATTGTAGTGGGATCGCCACGTAACCCATGCAGATGTAGTTCTCAAGACATGCCGAGTATCTATCGGATGTCTTAGCTTGGGCCGATTCCCGATAGCTCAGTCTAGCTGCCAGGGACAAGGCAGCACCTGAAGCAAGTCATGCTTCCATGGAACTTGGACACTTGGGAGTGGGGGTTCATCCCAGCGACGATAAAGCTTTGGAACGGCTCAAGCCGGACTGACTAAAATAACTTCGTTTCTTGCCCACACCGGTGAGTAGGGGCCTGAACTAGGGTTGCAAGAGAAAGAGAAGAAGGATGTTTTACCTCGAGACCCTGCGTTGAAGCCGGGGTAGTTCCCCTTTGGGCCTACCGAGATGTCTTGTCCTGTACGTGGACGAATCAAGAGAATCGATATGCCGGATGGGGGTACGCAGAGTTAGAAGGTGTAAGAGGAAGCAATGAGAATGGATGTGAACATGTGAGAGGAATAAGAGTTAGACTTATTCGCCGAGTGGGGTAGTGAACCAAAGACAACGAGACGGATAATGTGAGGCAACCAATAGCAGACGAGCTATCTCTGATGGATGATCATGTTAAAGTGAAGCCAACGACAATCAAGTAACGTTTGCCGCTGAAATGATAATCAACAACCAAGATTATCATGCAGTAGCTGCACAGCGAGGGCTAGTTCATCATCGTGATACGTGAACGTGACGAACCAGTGTGAGGAACAAGCCTATCAACAAGGACGCAGTGTGATAGGCATAAGTGAGACGGATCGATGAGGGATAATCGAGAACAACGTGGGCATGGATGGGGACCACAAAAGCCAATACACTGACGGTTCAGAGTCGATTAGTTCTGAACCATTCATGCATGCATCCCGCGCATGCATCTTCAGCAAGATTGGGCAATGATTGGTGTGTTGGGCCCTCTTACACCAAGCGAGTATGGGAAACACAAGGCAGTGAAAGTATATCTCCAAGCACTGGTAAAATCGTAGGACTATTACGCCCGTGCATGATGAGACCTTAGTCATGGGAAACCCATCGGGCTACCGGAGGTGTGGGTGCGGACGTGGGAGTGTAAATAGGATCGAGTGTGTGTGATTGATCCATAGGAAACGATGAGCTGTCGTGACCCACGTCTAACGCGGCAAACGGAGGTGATGATAGGAAAGAAGATTTCTTGAGGGAAATAACGGAGAGAAAGAGGGGCTAGAGAAACAATAAAGCTGGGACATGAGAGATAACGGCGGAGACTTACATCTGTGCATGACGATCATGCTAGGACACGAGAATGCCTACTATCTTAACACCAGGTATCTTTGGTGCAGTGATCAATATTGGATCAGCTGAAGACAAGAGTCTTCTCATTTGCCCTTCTACAACACACCAAGGGCAGAACAACATCATCTCATCATGAGCATCAACTACTTCGCTACATCATCATCACACACCAAAGTCCGCTATCACACGGAGGCAATCCGGGATCCAGGAATCGTCTCCGTACGGGGCAACCGAGAGTCTCCCCGCCCGGTCTGAGCTGATAATAATGACGCCCGGATTGTCTTGTATCCAGTCATAATAATCTCAAGGCGTGGGATGGGAGAAAAGGTCTCGGAACTCGGCTGGGTAGTTTGTATCATGGACAGTCGAACCAGGATATCTCTCGTGGGGGGACTCAAGGATATGGATTCCTCGTGAGACTCAGGAGTAATAAGGCCGTGATAATGGGGCTATGGGCCGTGGAACATGCGAGAGGACGTGGGTGAGGTTGAATCCGGGTTGAGGTCGAGGCCGGTACCGAAGGTGACCGAGAGATGTGATAAACAAAGTCGCGCCAGGTTTCGATATAGAAGGCGGGTTCCGTGATGATCGGAGGCTTGGCTGGGGATGGTCGAGCTGCTGTTGTATTACTCCCATGAAAGAACTTGAGTCCAACGGTCCATGGTGCTCGCCGGGTATAGCAAACTGATACTGACTAGAGAAGTATTCTCTCACACGTCCAGGGCGGTACAAGACATTCTCTTGTCATCGGCGATCAATGATCAAGCAAGTGCTTGCTCATATTGAAGATCACAAGAGCCAAACCAAGGGACAACCTCATTCTTATACTCATTTCTCACCGTCTCAGCCTTATCAACAACCCCCAGGGTCCTCCCGCTAGACGCGGCAACAATGATGCAACACACACTATATCAGCATCGACAATATCCGTGATCAACTCTGTTTCTGGCTGTTTTTCGAGGCCATCGCATCGAATTTGGTGGTGTTGGCACTGGAAAAGACATCAGGGTTGGCCATCAAGGTGCTCACTTGTCTATCCGGGTTCTCAAAACCAGATAAAGCAGGCGCATGACGATAGTGACGTGATGGAAAGCTACAACTGAATTCTACTGAATTTAGTGAAAAGAAGATGTATTCTTATATCTTGGGCTTAAAACGACCTTTATGGATAGGAGATAATTGGTCGACTGATGAAAAATGGTGTTATGGTTGATTACTGTGTAATGGCCGTAGAGTGATGAAACAGCCAATTTGTTACTGGCTCAAGTCGAATGATTCCCGCCCGAAACTCTTAAGATGGATTGTATCTTCAAAATAGAGACTTGAGAAAATGTCTTATTTTCTTTTCAAATTAGATTAAGTACACTGTTGCTGGTGTATGTGCTCCCAGCAGGCAACTTTTCTCCTATCATATATGCCACAACTTCTACACCCCTGACTTCGACTGATACTCCCTCTCGATTACTGTCAGCTTCCGAATCAACTTCTTCCATCCTTATCTTTCAACCAAAAAAACTGCTTCCTGCAAAAATTCAAAGCCGATATTCATGACAACTTTGCATCCCCATTCCTCATTCCTCAAGACTCGAAATATGACATGCCGAGAGACAAAGCCATATTTACGTCCACGATCTTTCCCATCTTGTTATTAAGATCAGCTTTATGGTATTCCGTCCATGTATAATCACTCTTGGTCGAACTGTCGGCTTCTAGCAGCTTCTCTCCGATGAAGTTCCTCGCCTTGCAGGCTCGCCCTCCCGTATATTGATACATGTTTCCTCAACTTTCCTCGACCGAGTACAATTCAGTGTTAGCTTTCTCATGATCCTTACATTAACTCGTATTGAGAATTGTGCCTTTTTCTAAATACGCAGGTTCGAGAGATCCAACACTAAATATCCAACACTCCCGCGAATCCACCACGTTGTATACAAGTTTGAATATCTCGACGCTACAAGGGGTCCAAATCTTCGACCCTACATCATTGCCATGACTCAAATACCAGAAGACGGGGTATGTAATCGGTTCTCGATGTTATCACGATGTACCCACTGGTCTTTCCTTATCTGGTTCGCATATAGCTTTACCTCGCCCTGCCACTATTTGTCATCAGGACAGACACCATTTTCTCAGTTAAGGTCAAAAAGAGGACAGAGATTCTTCTTAATTTAGGCCTTTAAGTCCATTAATACCCTTAAAAAAATGTTGTACTTTTGCTATGCTGATGATGCTGGCCTGAGGATCATGGAGAGACATCATAAGCATCGATGTGACCCTACAGCGAGACAAAGGAGGCTGACACAACTACATGCAACATTCCAAATCAAGACCAAGTTATGATTACAATTACCGTCTTAATTATCCTATCAGTCCTTTTCAACACCGCGCCTCAAATGCAGAGATCCAATGCTATAATACACAACCCCCCAGTGAGTAATCATACAGCAGGCCCCTAGGTTCTATGCATCGGAACCCTTGGCTTCTCAACATACATCAGGGTGCGCGTGTACCACTAAAACTGCGCAAACCCCGGTACAAATTCACAAAGAACAACAGGCAAGACCCTCCCTCTCATATTCCTCTTCATACTCGCAACTCGGGCGAGGAAGTCTATCATAGACTCAGTGGGCAGCTCGGGGATTTCATCACCGTAGCCTGCCAATTTATATCCCGCTCTTCGGCGGCCGGACCATGGCTTTATAGGGATGAAAGGTCCATAGTGTGCCGCTTGTGTGAGATACTTTGTTTCGTAGTGACGATCAATGAAGACCCATTGAAGTAGATGCGGGTAGAGCTTTGCTGCTTCGGCGACAGATCTCGCGATGACTTCACCTTGTCTTCCGGTGGTGAGGTATGCCAGCCTCGCGCCATGATGGACAAGGAGCTTGAAGCATTTCAAGGCTCCAATGCTAGCAGCAAACATCAAGGGTGTTCCCTTTCCATGCCGCTCGCGCTCAATGTCTAAACCGACATCAAGTAATACCTGCAGGAGCTTCGGGTTGTCATTGAGGATAACAGTATATGCTGGAGTGTATTTCTCCTCCGGTTCAGAGTTCACCAAGCGAGCGCGATACTCGTGTGGCATGCGCTTGATAATCGCTTTGAGCTCCATGGGCAACAAAGTCCTGTTAGCAAGGACTTCGCCGAGTAGGAGCGGTTCCTGTTCTGCAAGTCGATAAAAGTCAAAGTTTCCGTTCAGTACGAATGACATGCCCTCAGCACCCCCAGAAATCGCACTTGTGAGAGTACTTCCGGCGCCTGGAAAGACCTCGTAAGGATCCGCCCCGAGCTCAATCAACTGGCGAAGCACATTCATATCGCCATGGACGTCTTCGAAAGGGATATTATAGAATGTGACAGGGCTAGCGCCATTTTCCAATAGGCAACGGGCCACTTCGAGGCTGTTGTGAGCGATGGATCGCCCCAGGGCTGATAAGCCTTGGGCACACAAAAGATCCCGGTTGGCACCCGCTCTCAAGAGTATTAATACCATATCCAGTTGACCATAACCAGCAGCTAGATGTAGGGGGGTTACAAGTTCTGAGTCTTGCGCGTTGACATCGATTCCGCTTTCGATGAGGAGTTTGGCCGCTTTGTGATATGTCATTGCGCCAAATAATCGATTGTCGCCAACTCGCGCCACGCAATGTATGAGATCATGCAGGACCGTAGTGTGGGTTGCGTCAGTATTCCCCGTACTAACCCGCCTTCTCAAGTTCAGAGCGTAACGTAGAACTCTCCTTTGAATGTTCTCATCTGCAGAGAACTCGAACCCGGCAGTAAGCCCAGAGGCCCTCATCTTAGCCCTGCTACTTGTCAGTATGACCTCTCGTTCTTCCAGAAATCACTTACCAATATACCTGAGCATGCTCAGTTAGGTGATTGATGAATATTTGAAGTACCCGTATCTGATGATCGATAATATCCTGGCCACTATTCCGGGAGGAGTCGAAAAGGGCTTGGATCGGTGGGATTGGAAGATGGAACCATGACCTCCCCTCTCTCAAATAAGCATCTAAGCACACTTTGAAGAAGAAGTGTGCTTTTTCTGACGGAATGAAAATGTCGGTTGCCATCAGCGGTCGAAAATTCAGACATGCACTAAGAAGTGCGTTGTAGCCATGAGGCCAATGTTCCTCACAGCCAGCCACGAAACCCTTAAAACCCAACTCCACCAGTTCTAACATAGGTCGGATCCTGTTGGTCGCTGCCGTGTAACTGAGAAGGGTACAGCCTCCACAAGGCATGATGGCAGACTCTAGGTCCTTCCGTGAGGTGTGGTCAAGGATAGACTTGAACAAAGGATCACGGCTCAGTTGATAGCGGTCTATCGCGTCTGCTATCATGGCGCCCAATCGTCTTGGTTCGGAGTCTTTCTGCTCATGGCCTGCTTTACCATGAGTTGATTCTGGCAGCGACTCACTGTCGGAGTCGTCATCTTGGGCTCGGACTGGGCTCAGGGAGATGATACCCATATCCTGGGGATTATCATAATCCAACAAATTGTCTTTCATATACTGAATCAATTCTTGATTGCCACCAACGATTGCCAAGAAAAGAGGGGTTCTTCCTGACAGGTCCTTCACGTTGAATAGACTTTCCGAGTATCTCTTCAAGATCTTCACACAATCCAAGGAACCGGCCTTCGCGGCGAGGTGGGCGCATGTTCTGCCAAACCGCGGACTAGCAGCAGTGATCTTATCAGCCAAAGGCGTGGCCTCCAAGAGCGTAGTGAGGGCATCACGATGCCCCCCGGCTGCCGCGAATTGTAAGGCATTGTAAGTATCGCGATCCTCCATGTGTTCAAATACGCCTAGCCAAGGAAACTCTGCCGATCCGACTTTCTCGATGATCATTTCAAGGATTATCACATATCCAAGCTTGGCAGCAAGGAGATAGGCATTGATGGAATTTGGCGGCGCCAAAGAGGCATCTGCGCCTCGTTCAATCAGCAATCGTCCCATGAGGATCCTCTTCGAGCAAATCGCTATCATGAGCAAGGACGGCGATGGTGTGGGCGATCTTAAAGGTAAAGCACTAAAAAAGGAGAGTTAGCTTAACGCTGTTTGGGTACCTAGTAGTTAGAAGACCCGAGACCTCTATCCTAAGTTATAGAAGAACTTAGTTAGGTTTAGGATGAGTTTAGCAGTCTCGTAGACCAGCCATTCCCCACACCTGGGTCAAAGGTCTCGAGTCTCTAACACCACGCTCAAGAGATCAGACTTACGGGGTAATTTCCAAGCTGTTGACGTCCATCCCACAATCGATAAGTTGACCTAGGATCTCCACTGCTATCGCTTCGTCCGGCACTCTCACCAGCTCCGTGAAAGTATAATGCTGTTGCTGAATAATCTGATGTGGCTTCGTGTTGCTGAGCAGGGGTCGAATCATGCCGACGTCCACGGGCTGATGATCAGCTAGAAAGGCCTCGAAGACCGACTTCCCATGAAGGCCTATAGGCCAAGGCTTGTGCACGTTGCAGCCACATTCGACGAGTAGCTTGACGAATTCTGACATGCGGAAGCTGACGGCCTGCGAGAGAAGATGTGCCGCCTCCTCTTCATTATAAAAGCCCATGAGCCCAAGTTCGCCATCTTGCCGATACTTATTTTCCTCGTCGAACCAAGTGGCCAAGACGGCGGCGGCAAATGGGATGTGCCATCTCTCCCACTTCGGGAGATTGACAGACTCCTGTCCTTTCGTTGCTATACAGCTTACCGCCCATTTTTTGGTCTCCTTTTCGTAGTCGGCGAGGGCCCCCGCTTTAACCAAGCACGATATAGCCATGCATATGAAGGAGGTGAGGAAATACAGGTTTGTAGGATGTTCAAGCGAGTGTCTGCTAAGCAACGGGAGAACATCCTGTGTAAATCGCAACCAAAGGCCTCGCCCATTTGAGTCTCTCGATTTGAGAACTTCTGGTGTAAGAAGGTCCATGTAGGCGCTGCGTGTCATACTAGGAGAGCAAGATGGATGTGAAGATGGGCTGCTGGTTAATCGCCCTTCGTTCAATAGCTTGACATTCGTGATGACTGTCTCTGCTGCTGTTGTGCCATCAGCGAATGGCCGAGAGGGTCCAGCCCTGTTAAGCACTAATGAGACCAGCTCCGGGCACGCTGACATGTTAAGTGACTTGAGGAGTAATTCGTCATTCGCGTTAGCCTGAGGAAAGAGATGGAACAGTTTTTGTACAAGCGCCAGATTGCCCCATTCGACGGCCCATCGAGCCAGGTTTTCGTTGCCCTCCGCTCGTAGATACCCTTGACATTTCTCGAGCAGAAACCAAGCTGCAAACGGAGCGGCGGCCGTGGAGCTCTTGGGAGATTGCTGAAGAGCCTCGACGTGACAAAATGCTGATTGCAGCGGGGTATACCCTTGTTCATCGACGGTATTCAAGTTGCGGATCTTGTAAGGGTCATTTTCCCACAGAAATTTGAGTATGTCGTCTTCGTTCGTAGCGGCGAAGTAGTGCCAAATATTGCGGCCACCATTATCCTTATCAAAGGTTGGTGCAGAGTGTTCCAGAATCAGCTTAGCCATAGGACTAACTTCATTACAGACCATGAGTGGTGTGCGACCACTCGAATCTCTGGCTCTGATATCGGCCCCGGCTTGAATCAACATGTCCAGAATCTCATTCTGTGCAGATTCAGCAGACATGTGGAGAAGCGTCTCGTCCTTGTCGTATTTGAAGTTGGGATAGAATCTTGGGTCTTTGATCAAACGCTCCACCAAGATCACGTTGAAGTCCAGAACAGCAGTCCTAATGACAGCCGCAAAATTGCTGTCATTCAATGTGTCCACCTTTCCATCAGCCAAGGGGGAAAACTTGATGTTGGCGTGCACCATGAGTCGAGCTACCAGCTCTTGGAGCCAATGGTACTCTGTGGATTCCCTTTCGATGTCTACCAATGTCAAGTCATATATGTATGTGAGCAAACGCGCGAATCGTGTTCGGTGAAGCAGACCGCGCTTGACTACAGGCTCCCGCTGCAAAAGGAGACAAAAAGAAGGGTCCAGTACACCTCCTTTAACGTTGTCAGTGGACCCTTGGGTGGCATCTGTAAATCCTTTGATGATGTTTGTGAAGATTGCTTCGTGCTTGGTCTTCATTGCAGTCCAAAAGGCCAAACCTGCTAGTGATACCTCCTCAGTAGCGTTTTTCCAAGAATACTGAAACGTGCAATCTGCGCCCTTGTCGACAAGCAATAGGATAGTTGCCGCCTGGTCGATATCAGAGTCGTTACCAACGAGGAGAGTCGCCCACGATACTGGCTCCATACGGGTAATAAGAACTTTGCTACCAACAAGGGCACAATATAATGGCGTGCCGAGAAGACCGGGCTGGTTGACGTTGGCACCCATTAACAGAAGGTCTCTGCAAAGATTAGGCAAACCAAGAGCAGCAGCGATGTGAAGTGGCGAGACGGATCCGTGGCAAAGCGCATCAGTCAGCTCAAGAAGGAATCTTGGCGAAAGGGCCATCGTGCCGAATGTTCGAGGGTATGTCTCCCTGGCATACTCAAGAACCCACTGTACAAAGTTGTACGACTTTTGCATACGAAAGAGGGAACAGACTTGGGGTCTAAGCTTTTGCCAGTAGATCTCTGCATATTTTGGCCACCTTATAGCCGCTATTCTATATGCTGGCTCTGTTATGCGGCGTGACTGGACCAATGTGATTTCTCTGTTGTACTCTGCTGGCTCTCGATCATTTTCTGGCGAATTCAGGATACTCAGCCAAGCGGAGACATCTTCGGGTCTTGGTTCTCCATGCTCATCGTCATAAGGGACCTGTACGGGTGATTCGATGGCCTCAGGGTCATATTCCTTCTGGACCAGAAGTTGTGGTAACGGTTCTGATTCGATTAGAGTGAGTCGAAGTGAAATATCCTCCAGCGAGTCTGAGATTCCGAGCACAAAAGCTAGTTTGGATCGAATATCATGGAGTGATGATCTGGCGGCTTTGATCCCATCGGAAGTGGCGAGATGATGAAATGACTTTATGGCAGTGAGTAGTATCTCAAACCCATCGATAACTGGCCATTCTTGTGATAGATCATTCTCAGAAACGGATCCTGAGGCGCTAGGGGTGATGCCCAGGGTACTGTCGGCGGAGGTTTCATTGTCAGATAACTCGACGATGAGAGATTCAAGACTGTAGAGTATGCCTCCGAGGAGCCTTAATTCAATGACCAGAGGTTTGAGGTCACTTTTTCCGGCTTTGGTCCCATTCTCTGCAGGTACAGATGCCTTCAGATGTGCACTGATGCAGACACAAGCTTCAAATGTGGAATCCTTCAACGTACGGATTGTCTTCAGTAACATTGGAGGCGACATTTTGCTGACTGGAGCTCATGTTTTTGTTGTTGTTTTTGTAATAATAGCTTCTCGATGAAGCATAAAAAATCGAGGTTGCACCATCGAGTTGCGTGGGTTGAAGTTGAAGTTGAAAGTCAAAATATTCGTCAGGCTCAAGGCTGCCGATGGATGGATGTCATGGAAGGTCGTAGTGGATTGTGGAGGTAATGGTTACCAATCAGCATAATTGATAGAGGAGCTTGGACCACTTGGCTTTAGGGGCAGTAGCCTCACATCACTCCACTGTTTGACAGTTTTAGTGCTAGGGGATCTACAGGGGATGTAGACTTTCATCCTAATTGACAAGAATATCTGGTAGTTTATGATAATATAGGATGGACTTGGTAAAGTTTTTAAATAAATTTAATATAGCTTAGGGAAGATTTGGCATAATTTAACTAAGGTACCTACTTCAATAGGTGGTTACTGGCTAAAGTTCTCAAGTCTCTATACTCCCCAGGGCAGCCTAAAGGCTACAGAAGCATAAAAGTTAAGAAAAATGACACTTGACTCAAAGCATAAACAACCAAGCCAGGGGAGGCAAGAAAACTTGGGACTTTAATCATAAGTGATAAAAAATACTTAGGTAAGTTAGCGTAAGCTTAGAAGGCTCTTTGATGAGTTTATTTTGGCATCCTGTGTCAAGGTCTAAAGCTTTCTTGCTCCCTGATCCCAAGCTGAATCTTCCCTTTGAGAAACGCCGTGATCGTGATCAGTGCTTTAGAGTCCTGTCAGGGGACTCTAGTACTACCGAGCCGCATTGTGGCTTCCATGTCAAACTCTATGAACAAAAGCTCAATTCACTGGCAGGGAATACTTTAAAAAGGGTATCCGTAAAACAAATATCAATTGAAGAAAATATAAAGTTAATTACACTAAATTATATACATTCGTTCCAACAGTGACATAAGAACTAAGTATCATAAGAATAAGCCTCATCAAATTGAGCACACGACCAAGCATAACCGTTCTAGAACCAATGAGGAAACGTAGAGGTCACTCACTAAATGCCGTTGAAGAGTCCGCAACTTTTCAAACGGTGCATCAATACTAAAACTCAAGTTACTGTATCTCAAATCCTTCTCAATATTCGCTATCAAAGGATTGTCACCGGCTGACTCACACGGAGTGATTAAGACGAACCAAAACACCAGCTTCCTCATTTGGAATCATATAAAACCCTCTCCCAATCGCCTCATCAATCAGCATCTCTAAAAACAAACGTATAAAAACTAAGCCAAGACCTTTCTCATTCAGAAACCTAGAATCTCATATCAGTAAAAACGAAAACACAATGTCATCTATAACAATCCGTCCCGCCACTATCGATGACAGCGACTCAATCGCAAACATCCACTACGAAGCACTACAATTCTACCACGACTTCTACGCCGCCTTCTTCCAGCTCCATCCCCGCGAACTAATCCCCCTCGCGACAAAAAACGCCCTGCAGAATCCGGGGCAGCAGCACTTCTTGGTAGCTGAGCAAGCGGGGAAAATAGTCGGGTTTGTGCGGTACAAAGAAATCATTAAAAACAATAAGCCGAACTCGAACGCGAAGCCTGCGACGTCTGTATGGACGGTTAAAAAACACATGGAGGAACTATGGGCTTGGTTCAATGAGAGAAGTGAGGAAATCGATGCATCTAAAGAAAAAGCCGTTGATGGGCAAGATCATTTTGGTAAGTGTTTTCTTTGTTGTGTTTTTACTTGCATCAAGTGGCTTGCGTCTAATGCGGCGTAGAAGTGATGCATCTCATGGTCCACCCAGACCATCAACGGAAAGGAATCGGCGGTCTTTTGCTCCAATCCATTACCGAAAAAGCCGACGCCGCTAATGTCCCAACGCTGATCGTATCCTCCGTCGAGGGCCACGGTCTTTACAAAAAGCACGGCTTCGAGTCACTGGGTACATGGACAGTCGACAACGAGGAATGGGCGCATAAGATCGCGGAGCACGAAAAGGCGATCGGATATACAGACGGAGTTATCGACATCGAGGATAAATACAGAGGGATACGCGAGGTCGAAGATAGCATGATCCGGCAGCCCAACATCCGTGTTGCATGATTCGCCAATCTCACAGTTAGTGTGGATATACCGTTCTCTAGTTCGTATTCGTTTTCTCTTCCAGAAAAAAATTAAGAGAAAATTCGGGAATTGAAGTGCTAAGGGGTGTCCCCGCTCCAATCACGATAAGATCAAGATGGGCAAATCCAGGTACAACGGCCTAGCGAGCCCCCCCTCCCCCTTCACAGGCGTGGAACCCCTGTAGGTACTACGCCATCCATTGAAATTAACCCTTGGAATTGGGTCTTTTGCGGCATCCAAACACCCCCGGCCCCGAAAGAAAGACACCGCTGGCGGCAAGATTTCAGCGGAGCTCAATCTTAATAATGATGTGAAAATCGCATGATCTCAGTCCCGTCTTCTTATCAATCTTTCTCTCCTTCATCTTTTTTCTCTTCTCTGATGGTGTAGCTGTAAATTCACCTCACCAATTGCTTCACCATGGACGCTATACTTGAGATCCTCGACCCGTATGTCTTCGATTACGGATACGCATACCTTTTCCCCCAACAGCAGCTCCAATCAACAACGACATACGGAAACTCAACAAACTACGCCTCGTCTTCCAAGAACTTTGACGATGAGTACTCACTCAACTTTGGCTCGTCACTACCACGCGACGACATATACCGCCAGAGCGCTTCGATTCTCTTGATTGCTGGCTTCGGCGCCGCCTTCATCTATGTCATTTCCGCCGCCCTTTCATACTACTTCGTTTTTGACCGCCGTCTCGAATATCACCCTCGATTCCTCAAGAACCAGATCAAGCTCGAGATCCAGTCTAGTTTCTTCGCCATTCCCATTATCGATCTTCTTACACTCCCCTTCTTCCTTGGAGAAGTGCGCGGTCACAGTTTGCTGTACACACGAATCGACGAGTATGGTTGGTGGTGGTTGGGCGTGTCTACTGCCCTCTACATGGTCTTTAACGATCTTGGCATTTACTGGATTCATCGCCTTGAGCACCATCCCAGTATCTACAAGTATGTTCACAAGCCTCACCACAAGTGGATCAGTAAGTCAAACTCTCTCTTTCGCCAAATACCGCGCTAACAAGAGCCTCAGTTCCCACTCCCTGGGCTGCCATTGCTTTCCACCCTGTCGACGGCTATCTCCAATCCCTCCCTTACCAGTAAGTAGCAACTTCTGCGCCGCAATTGGGTATCCTGCTAACGTCAGCAGTGTCTTTGTCTATATCTGCCCCATGCAGAAGCACCTCTACATGTTCCTCTTCGTCTGCGTTCAGATCTGGACCATCCTCATCCACGACGGCGACATGATTACCGGCCATTGGCTCGAAAAGTTCATCAACAGCCCTGCCCACCATACTCTTCACCACATGTTCTTCACTTGCAACTACGGCCAATACTTCACATGGGCCGACAACTACTGGGACTCTCACCGTGCTCCCATGCCCGAGTTAGATCCCATCCACGAGGCTGTCCGAGTCATGCGCGAGAAGGGCTTGGTGGACAAGGATGCAAACCCCATCAAGAAGTCCAAGGATGAGTAAATGCAGACATGACATTTATGAATACGTCACCCATGGGGTCGTGTCGAACTAGAACAGACCGACCATTCCGGTGCCGGCACCATCACATCACGACTAGAGTACCCTTGGCCTCACAGCATTGCCGGCTGTGCAGAGATTCCGGGTCTCTTACGAAAAGTTTTCAATCAATCAAATAGACAGTTTTAATCACATAGCGTTGCATACGGAATTCTTCGACAGGAAATGTATTGGCTAGAGGATAATAGCAATAAGTATAATACCAAAACAATCTGATAACCGTGCAAATATCCCAAAACCTGTCCCCCTTGCCTCACGACTAACTTCCCACGCTACGACTGCCACGACACCTTTTGTCTCACCGGTTTAAATGGTTCACCTTCCGAGCTTAGACTTGAGCCTGGCCCTGGGTGACCGGGTGCGAGTCAACACCCAGCTTGAACCGTCTCTTGCAAGCCTTCCACATCTCAATGAGGCTGATATATACAACAACACAGCCAGCAACGACACCCCACTCCCATGTAAGACCCTTGTGCTTGAACACCTCGGTGTTGAGGTAGGGGATATACACGATAGGGAAGATCATGACGAAGCCGGCAACAACGGACCAGAAGAGGAACTTGTTGTGGTAGATGGTCTTGAACACAGAGAAGGGGCCAGTGGCACGCTCATCCATGTTGAAGAGGCTGCGGTGGAAGTGCTTCACCTCCCATGCTGTGACGAGCAACAAGAAAGCCAGCGTGGAGAAGGTCGTGGCACGAGCGCGGTAAACAAGGTCACAAGCATCGTTTCCGCTCTCGTTGCAGCCTTCTACCATCGGGTAGTAACCTTGACCAGATGCAGCATAGTTGACAAGCATGAAAGCACACAGGCAGAGGGATCCTGAGCAGAGTCCATAGACAAGCTGATCGCGTACCAGGTCAAAGGTAAACACACCACTGCGCAAGCTGCGGGGAGGTCGGCGAAGGATATCAGGAGAGGCTTCCTCGAGACCAAGACCCAAAGCTAGAGGCGATGAGGTAACCAGGTTGGCCCAAAGAATTTCCAAGGGGGACAAGGGGAAAACGGCGTAACCATGCACATCCTTGAAGGCAAGACCAATAAGAAGGAGAATGACTTGTGCTAAATTGGATGTCAGAAGATGCAGAAGGAACTGTACCAGTCAGCAATCATGTCAACAAGCAACGAGAGTAACAACATACCTTCTGAATATTGTCAGCAAGTCGTCGACCTTCCTGGATACCGGTAACGATCGAGGCAAAGTTGTCATCAGTGAGAACCATGTCAGCCGCCTCTTTGGCGACGTCGCTACCACGGTCTCCCATGGCAATGCCGACATCAGCTTGCTTGAGGGCAGGCGAATCGTTGACACCATCACCAGTCATGATGCAGAATGCCTTGCGGCGGTGAAGGGCCTCGATCATGCGAACCTTGGTCAGAGGGCTACAACGAGCGAGAACCACGGGGAGTTCGTCCAGGCAGTCAATCTCGGCATCGCTAAGGGCGCCAAAGTCGGCGGCTGCCATGACAGTGTTGGATTTGAGGGGGATGTTCTTGTTGAGAATACCGACTTCGTAAGCAATGGCTGTGGCAGTCTTGATGTGGTCACCAGTAACCATGTGAACAGTAACACCAGCGGCGCGGCATTGTTCAACGGCACCGGCAGTCTCAGGGCGAGGGGGGTCATAGAGACCAGCAAGACCGACAAACTGAAGCTCACTCTCAACCTTGGAACGATCATGACAATCCTGAACGTCGCCATTCATAGGCTTGGTTGCGATACAGAGCACTCGTAAACCTTGGCTGGCGAGTTCTTCAGCTTTAGCTAGGATTTCCTTCTTGAACTCTTCAGTCTCAGTGAGCTTGGTAAGGAGAACCTCAACAGCGCCCTTGGTATAGACATGTCGAGTTTGTTCGATCTCGTTACCATAGACAACGCTCATGAGCTTGCAGGAAGAATCGAAAGGATGTTCGGCCACCAGGGTGTCACCCCCGGAAACACTACGGCCGAATCTCATGGCAAAAACCTTGAGAGCAATTTCAGTAGGCTCACCAACGGCCTTCCACTCAGCATCCTCGGAAGTGATGATGCTGCTAGAATCCGTCTCAGGCTCTTTCTTGCCGTCACTGACTGTGGCGTTGTTGCAAAGAGTAAGAACCTTGAGGAAAGTATTCAGGCAGCTTCCGGCCAAGTCAGCAGACCACTTAACAGTTCCGCTGTAAGGGTCGTATGGGTTGGCGGTGCCCTCAACAGTTCCGGCGAGGTCGCCACGGAGCCAAACCTTTCGGGTAATCATTCGTCCTTGAGTCAGGGTACCGGTCTTGTCCGAGCAGATGTTGGTAACACCGCCGACAGCTTCCAGGGAAGGCATCTGACGAACAATGACATTACCGCGAACCATTGCCTTGGTGGCAACGGCCATTGTAACTGTCAAAACAGCAAGGAGTGACTCAGGGATAACTGCCACACCGACGCAGATTCCGTAGAGAAGGACTTCATCAGTGATTTTCCACAAACTGACGGAAAAGACGATGACGGCGAGGAGAATGGCGAAGGCGAAAAGCAACAGAGCGAACTTGCTGAGGGTGACCTGGAGAGGGGTTCCCTCGAGGCCAAGAATTCTGCGAGAGAACTGGTAGAACTTCCAAACTGCGCGACCGACGGGAGTCCTTTCGGTGTCGTCGTTCTTATTCTTGCGCAGGAGTTCGGCGATTTGGCCGACCTCTGTTTCCATACCAGTAGCAATGACAATACCGGTGGCTCGACCTCTAGTGACAGAGCTTCCGGAATAGGCCAGGTTAATACGATCGCCCATTGGCATATCAGGGTCGGTGAATACGGCATCTGGCTTCTTGCTGATGGCGATAGATTCACCAGTGAGAAGTGCCTCGTCGGTAGAGACGTTGATACCCTGAACCAGGCGCAGATCGGCAGGAACAACATCGCCAGTTGCGAGAGAGACTATGTCTCCCTTGACGAGGGTTTCGGCCTTGACAGTTTCACTCTGGCCATCTCGGATGACCTTGCATTTAGGAGTGGACAGGGCATAGAGTGACTGGATGGTCTGCTCAGCGCGGTAGTCCTGGATCAATCTAGCGGGTATAATGTTAGCATGGAGTGGAAATTAATGAGTACGGCTAGATGTGATTCGGACTGTCAGCTTCAGGGTATGGCACAGGATTCGACCTCAGTGCTTGGGGCTTCTGGCCTTACGCATGGCAAAATCACAGGCTTCACCGTATGGCAGCAGGAACAAGGAACGAGAAGAAGGTGTAGCAAAAGTGCAACAACGATGTGGGGGGTTGTAGCAGCAGCAAGCGACAGCTCCAGCAGATTGGCTGAGCGAGTGACGCAGCAAAGACATACCCGACAACGATGTTGAGGACAATGACGGCGGCCACGACGGCACCCTCAATATAGTCCGAGATAGCAAAGGACAGAGCGGTCACGGCGATGAGGACGACAGTCAGGGCATTGGCAATCTGCTGTATGAAGATCTCGTACAGAGAGATACCCTTGGCGCCTTTGATAGAATTAGGGCCGTCCCGCGCAAGGCGGGCAGCAGCCTCTTCGCTACTCAAACCATCGTCAACGTCAGACTTGAGGTCTCTGGCGACGCGATGAGCAGAGAGCGTATGGGGAAGAATCGGCTTCTCTATGGCTAGTAGGTCTGGGGGTTCCGCTATAGGAGGTTGGTCGTCCTGACCGGTTGCGACGGTCGACGAGTCCGACGTGGTAGTGGCGTGAATTGCACCATTCGCGGATTTGGATTCGGTTTCTCCCATCGAATGGGTGTTGGTATAAGCGAAAGCTGGAGGGGAGCTGAGCTAAGATGTTTTGTTGTTAAGGCTGGCCGCAGAAGATCAGCCGGAGGTTTTCTGAGTAAAGTTGAAAGAAAGTTGAAGTAATATGTAGGGAAGAGATCGCGTGAAGCACGATATCTGTGTAAAGAAGAAAGGAAAGGTCGTGGAAAGAGGTTGAGAGGGTGGCAGCTTTTATCTACAATCTGAGGTAGGAGCGAACCAGGAAGGACCGGACAGATGCCGGCAACAACGAAGTTAGAAGCGAGGCTCTGTTGGAAGTTCGTCTAAGTGGGAGACGGGTACCTATCCCAAACCTCACTCTCCCATCCCTAAAGACTTAGATCCGATCCAATCCAGTCCAATAGAGGAAAGGAAGTGAATAACACGGGAGTGGGAGCTTCCCACTTACACACTCACACATCCATGCATGTGCTGCCCCACAATCTAACACACACTGTGCTTCGTCGGCGCATGGTACTACCAGGTACTAAGATCCATTGTCAGAGCATTTACGGAGACGACAGTATCGTTTCCAACCATTGAGTTGAAAACTGTCAACAAGATCCCATCAAACATAGTTACAAGAAGGTCAAAGGCTTCAAACAGCTATTCACTGCAATGTCAATTAAAGCATTGTCCAACAAGCTTCATCAATCTCATCCAAGAGGATCGTCGAGATTAGGTTTGGTGGAACCAGAACGGCCTCTTTGGCGCCATTAAAGCAAAAGACTTGCCCGAGACACGTTGTTCTTCCACACCAACAAAGAGAAACAATGTACTCCCAAGTACCCCTCTTGGCGTGCAGTATCGCGTGGGATACAGACGAATCAAAGCTTATCCTGCCAAGGTCACGAGGGGTTGCAGGGGATCCAACACCTACGCCCGTCGGTCGGATCAGCAATAGCTTTCCTTGGACAACCCATTCTCTTTTCTTTTGTTTGAATCGTCATCTGCGAGTAACCGACGGAGATAATATTCATCATTCTTATAGAATGTTGTGCGACTTGGATAACCGTCTACGTTTGAAGGATACCACTCTGAGGAAGAGAGTTAAAAACGCCATCTTAGGCTTCACATCCATTGGACAACACCTCGGACGACAGAACACAATACGGCACAAGCTACAGTCTCAATGACAACGCAAACATCATCTGCCTGAATCAATCAATCTCCATCCATTACTGTGCCAGAATCATCCACAATCACTGTCCATTAGCGTCTGTCGTCAGCAGGCGATAACTTATCCGCCTCGACATCAACTTAACAATATCCACATGATGAGGTTAGCCGATGTACCAATCAGTCATTCAGCGACCAATCACACTTCACCTTTTATCCTCGCCGCGTCTCATTGTCACCACTTCTTCTCTTAATGAGAAGAATGCTTGTTTGAACTTGGCATGGATTGGGCTTGGCATACGACGATATTCAACCAATACTGTGTTGCTTTTGCTTCGCCTCGGCCAAGATAATTCTCTTCTTAATCACCTGCTACGACGAGCCAAGTTTGGTTTTGCTTGGCACTGATGGTGATGAATGTCACTACCTTTGCGGTTTTCTTTTTATGGAAACCTGCATCGTTGCATTGTGTTGCTCGTTATACTTGTTTTGTCCTCCAATGACCTCTTTGGGCCTTCATTCACCCTGGCACCCATTTATGGCCAAGACCATCTGGGGAAAGGCCTTGTTTTGGCGGCTCTTGCTCCAGAATTACGCTAAGATTTAAGCTTAACAATTGGGTTGCAAGCCTGGCCAGGGATCTTCTCTCAAAACCGCCTGAAACGACCCCAGCCCTCTTGATTTTTGGGCTAGGAAACATTACGGTGCTACTCTACAGTCTATAGAGGTTCCCGGTTCTGCTACGGGCTCTGACTTCATCGACTATGTTTGACCGTCATTGCGCGAATCAGGTATCTTGAACAACCAGGGCACTACACAGCCACGTAACCTTGCTACTGGTGGATACGGGTCTTTTTGATCTACAGCCAAGGAATCATTTCACTGTGTGAATGTCACAAGCAAGTGCCGCTCACTCGGCGCCGTCTTTTGGACTCCGGACCGGCCGTGCACCGGGATGCAAGCCACGACCACCGACGGCCGAGACGGAGAACGAACGGCTCAGACATTACAGCACAATAGTTACGTTCGATCGACTACTCCGTACGGGATCAACATTGGCCAATGGCACTTTTCGACAATGATATCCCTGGCCGCCTGGATAAAGTTGAACGGGGTAAGTCTGGGGAACAAGCTTAAACCAAGCTTTAATGAGGGTCCAGACATCGAACTTCCCCGGATATCAACTTCCAAAGACCCTGTACAGCTTCTGAAAACAACTCGCTCGCCGAAGCTGGCTCCTCGTATCTCCGGCTCTCAACGACAAGCTAGCCCTGCGTTTTGAACATCATGCCACTACGATGTGAAATGATGATAGACTCTCCCTCTTTCTCCGTACAGCGTCTCATTCACCGTCTTGGCTTTGTACAAAGGCTCCATTCATCATTAACGATGCGGGGTATGGGGTATTCGCATGGGCGTTAATACCATGGATGCAGCAAAATGTATACGAGAAAGGTAATATGGGTGTAAGATTTCGGGATATCTAGGGATCTATGATGACTTCTGTGTTGGGATGAGACGAGAAAACTTGCCAGACTAGGATATGCCGGATACTGGCTTGCACGGGAGGCACAACTTCGGACACAAGTGGTACGGATACAATGTAGGTCTTGTTGTGAAGGCAACACACGCCCGCAGGGACGGTTGTGTCTCTGAGAAAGGGAGTATCTGTCCGACACCCTCCTGGACAAACTCGTACTTCAAATTCACGGTCTATACAATCAGCCTTGACCTTGACGGCAAACACAATCTGGCTGAAACAGTTCTCTAGCATTGATTATCGACCCTACTCCGTACGGGCCCAGACATGTCCTTATCCGTAGACCAGGTCTAGTACTATCTCTCCTCGCCAAGACACAGAAACTCCCTTATCCGAGGAGATTAATAAACGGCTCCGGCCACTTCCCCCACACAAGCGGCTGGTCACCCAATCGTCCGCTCACCGGCGAAAGTAACTTGATCTTACGACGCTCCTCATCCACATCCGACACGTACAAGAAGCCCATAACACTTGCAGCACGGACCGTATCGGGCGACTCCTTCGGTGTTGCGTGCATAATGGCAAACGTCCAGTGCTGCATCGGCGTTGAGGGGTCTTCTCGGGTGACGCCCTGGTTGTGAGAATGTTCTAGCATAATGAGTCAGTAAACGGGTAGTAAATTCTTGGCAAGGGTTATGTACCGTCGGAGGTGTGATACACTATCACGCTGTCGAAATCGACTTGTTGGATCAGGGGGCTGAGAGTGCGCTTGGAGTCGCCGAAGAAATACTCCTTGATAGCTGCTTCTCTTACGTGCTGTAAGAACGCTTCGTCTCGAACGACGACACCGTCGGACTTGTCGATGGGAACAACGCTTATGGGTTCTCCAAGACTTGTTCGCTCGTTGCTGAATCGTTTAGATAGCTCAGAGGTGATGTTTGCTGAGCCAATCACAATGATAACATTAACTGGTTACGTTAGCTTATCTTCTTTCAGTTGTGGGAAGTAGGACGTACCGGAAAACTCATCGACGATGTGTGCGACGAGCTCATGCCCATCTTTGCTCTGCTCAGGAAGACCCATTCCGTCAATAATGACACCTGAGCTTTTGACATCCTCATCCTCGCTTAAGCGTGCACTTACGCTTCCAGCAAGTTTACTCATGAGTTCGCGGTAAAAGTCGGGATCTTCATCGGGTGACGCTCGTCCGTAGTAAAAGACCAGAGGGAGCTTCACGGGCACACTGCTTGGGCCGCTGGTAGGTGTACTGCCCCAGCCATCCACGGCCTCGATATCCATGACAGTGGCAAGAACACTCGCGCTCAGTGTTCCCGGCAAACTGAGCAGTCCTTCTCTGGGATTCGCGTTCACCACTAGAGGTTGGTAGCCTTGTCTTGTCGCATAACTCGTCAACGTCCTCGCGACCGTCGTCTTTCCCACATCCGCCGGTCCAACGATCAATACCCTCGGTCCCTCTCTCCCCTCCCTCGCCGCCTTTTGCCGCATATCATTAAGCTGTCCATGAAGATTTACATGCGCATTTGCCGGGTTATCAGTCGGATTCGCATATTCCGCCACCGAGTCAACATCGCATCGCCCATCGATCTCAAGCTCGCATCCATGCCACGTTAGAATCTTTGACTTGACGCCCGCAAATGTGTAAGCGTTCTTAGGACCTAGTTCAACGCCGTCTTTCTCTGCTGTGCCGGAGAGAAGCTTGACGATTACGGGGGAGGAGGCTTGGAAGCGCCATTCGCAGGCTGGTCGGAGGGTGATGACGCGGGTGGTCGAGGCGGTGGGCTGTGATCAAATGTTAGTGAGGGTAGCTTAGTGGTGTTGAGCGAGATTTACCTGTGTGGGAATCTGGCCCAGGCCTGGAATTGACATTGTCGCTACATCGACTTTGTACGGAAGAGAAATGTCGTCGCGATCAAAGGTGTCTGTGCGTGGGGCTCTTGGAAGCTTTCCAGAAGCTCGATGCAAGGATGAGATAAAGTTGGAGCATCAAATTACGTGACATAAATATCAGTACAGAAAAGTCGTGTCAAGTATAGATTAATTCTGTCGACTAATCCTTGAGAATGAGCTACATGCTACCATTCGAATCTACCCTGTAGCTTATCATTCCAACTTTTAGCCATTGGACCAACTTTCAATTCCCCTTCAATCTTCATCCTCAGCAAGACCCTTCCCCTTCTGTGCACTTCTGGTCGATGGAGCAGCGCGATCGTCGTCTTTGGGCTCCTTGTAGTGGCGCATCAACTCCTGAGGGAGAAAGACATAGAAAGATGGGACAACCATCTCGATAGATTTGATGAACCGCAGTCCTGCGTCCAACTCTAAGATAGTTGCAGTAGTCTTCAACCCCGGCATCATGTTTGCTAGAAGAGCATCGTCGAAAAAGAGAGTCACAGTATCCTCCTTGACAGGCCATTCCCCAGCCCATGGGTTTTCCCAGTCATCTTGAATGATACCCTGTTTGAAGACAGCTTTACCAACAGGGACATGGTTCGCTGCCTTGTCGCCAATGACGAGAGAGTTGAATCGCTTGACAATATCCTCGTCGGGGCGGAAGATCTGAACCAATTCAAGAGTGCAGGTGAACTGGCTGACGACGGTGGGTTCCTTGAGAGACAGCTTTTCAAAGAGTTCAGGCTCGTCCATGAGAGCGAAAGCCGCGAAGAAGACAGCTTTGGGGTCGAAACCCTTGGGTCGCTTGAAAGTCTGGAATGACCAAGACTCTTCGGTTGTTGCCTGGCAAAAGATCTCCGAGCAGGCGAGGTTGAAGTATCCAGGGAGACCAGCGTTGAGCTGTCGGATCATGGGCCACTCGACAGTGGCAGTCTTGCAAACCTCCAGAGCCTCCTTGACACTGTCCTCGTACTCAGGGCAGACATCGTGCTGGAGAACGTATCGAAGAAAGTTCTTAATCGTGTCGATACCCTCCTCCATTCTCTTGGGTTCAAAGGAGGTCAGATGAACGAGAGTGACAGAGAAGAAGCCCGCAACGACAGCGGCAAAATCGACAGTCCACTTCTCATCATCGCCATTGTAGAACTTCTCGCCACCTTGAGAGTTGGCCCAGATAATATCTGTGGCAGTCGCCTCTCGACGCTCGGCGGGAGTAAGTTCCTTCAGCTCTTGCCGGCTGAGACCGCCGAAGGTGTTGGGCATGGTATCGACGCCGCCGAGAAAGAGATACTCGTTGAAGTAGAGGCCGCGATCGCCCTGGAGACGACGTCGGGAGCGGAAACGCTGGATGCAAGATTGCATGCGCCTTTAAATGTTAGTACTGGCTCATTCTGGAGGAAACAACTGTCTTACTCAGCGAAAGGGAGGTCTTGAGAGTAGATCTCATTCTTCTCTTCTTTGGCCTCGACGGGGGTCATAGGCGGATCGGCGAAATACTCTTCGAAACCACTTCCACGGTTCTTTGGAAGCGCTGTAGGGCCACGGTTGAGGTTCTTGTTTTTCTTCTTCTTGCTTTTCTTAGCAATGCCTTGGAGGGACTCTGGCAGAGCGACAGGCTCCTCAGTCTGAGGCTTGGAGTCGTCGACCATGATGATTGTTGATGAAGGGGGGAAGAAGATTTGGAGATGAGGAATTCCGAGGGTTTATGTGGCCAGTGGCCCTATGATTCACAGGCTAGATGAACACAAGACGAATTCAGTCAGGTATGCGTAAATAAAGATGGGACGAGTCGATTCCTAGGAGCTGGCTGACAGTGTCAAATCTTTGGCTACCTTAGTAAAGGGGAACTTATGTTGGCATCAGGACCTGTAAGTGTCGTTTCTCTTTGAATCGAGATGGCTTAGAGACAGCAAAGGACACTTACTATAAAGAATGCACGAAAGAACAGAATGAAGACGTCGGTCTGAAAAAGGATCAATCTAGTCGCTAGTTGTTAGCCGCTGTTTGGATCAAACATGGGCGGATGTGTAAGAGGAACGGCAAGCTGCTTCAAAGCTGCGAGTTCCCTTGAAGCTCAGACTCTTGTTTCCAATGCACTCATACGAACTACATGTACTATGCCAAATATTTCCGAAAGAAGAAGATTCTGCAGATTTCAACTCGCAATCAATCAGTCGACCGAGGCTCCACGCTGTATTGGTATTCATGATGTAGGTCGACCAAGTCCTTGAATAGATCTGCTTATTGAGCCCTTCTCATAGTATGTGAGTTTTTGATTTATGAAATCATAATCTCAGGAAGCGGATTGTCAAAAGCCAATGTTGCTGCCGCTCTCCAGATGAAAGGATACAATTCTTGGAGACAAGCAAGTAACCAAGGTTACATATAAGTTCTAAAGGTCGAAGTTCGTAAAATAAGATATCCAGTTGAGTTGACACAGAGTCACTCCAGGATATTCGATCCAAACCAGCCTTTGTGCTTGAAGTCTCAGGCTTTCTTGAGGATATCTCTATTTGATGGGTGGCTTTATAAAATTTCAACCAAGATTTCATAAAAGTCGAGCACTGTCACGCAACATCTAACTCATGTCTTTGCGAGAGGATCTAGCTTAGTCTTTTACGCCTAGCTTTGACACATTGATTTGCTTGAACAGGTTAGTGCATTATATGCGAATACAATACCGAGCAGACTAACATAAAGCCCATCATATAATCCCAGGAAATCTCTCAAGATAAAATGCCTATCACAGCTGGGCTGAAAGCAAGGCTTTCACGATACCCTAGTGCGAGCAGCACCAACCAAAACCACGCCGGTACATACGGGCCGGCCCATCCCGGTCAAGAAAAGGGTGTAGACAACACGAGAGAGGGATTTAAAGAAAAGGCACAGCATCTTGATTTGATTCGTGGGGGTAGCTATTGGCTCTGGGGTCAGTTGATAGAGGTCACCGGGCGGTTTTTGGCTAAGCTGAACGGAAAGCTGATAGGCTGTGATAGTGAGACTATGTTGGATGTTTGGGGTTGTACAGCTTAGATGTTTGTGTAGTAACGTTTTTGGTGTTTCGACTGAAGTGTAAAGAGTCCGGTTCAGCTCGGACTGGATGGGGTTGAGATAGTAGCTCAACTCGAGTATGAGTCGAGGCGCTGAGGCTTCATCTACATGCATGGATGCAGGGGTGTTAGGCTAGAGAAATGTTTTCTCTTCCGTTCCGCGTTTGTCTCGGCCTCATGCTCGTTAATCCGATGCATCTACGAATCAATAGCATTGTAATAAAGAATGACGAATCTCGTGTCATTCTTAGCCAACCTCGTTTGAGTCAGATCGCAGTTTATAGCAAGATGGCCGCTGATGTCCAAACGCCAGCAAACAAACGCGCAGCACATGAACAAATTCGTGATCCAAAAGCCCTGTGTTCCTTGCATATCGTAAACCCCCCGGTTGGGTCTGCTGATAGCTATCTCTTGCGACGTGTAACCAGCAAAACGTTGGACAGTGAGACAAACCATGTCAGTTCTTGGAAATGACCGAAGATGCAAAATACAAAAGAGTATGCCCAGCGCCAATGGAACAGATCCCTGTTCTTGTTGGCTGTGGCTCAGCGAGGCAGAGCGCTTGACAGGGCTCACTTCTCACTGTTGTTTGGTCCTTGACTCGCTGGTATTGCCGCTGAGATGAGGGGCTTGTCGACGGATCGCCTTCGCTATTCGGGGCTCGTCTCGCTATCGCTTTGAGAAGAAATGTTTTGCGATTCACGGGCTGTACCTCCACTTGGTCTGGCTGTGTAATGCCTAGGACTTGGGTTATTCAATGAGGTTATCGTTGAGTTGCCTAGCCACTAGTTCCCCTCTGTAATTCACGGTCACTAGAAATACTGTATAAACAATCAAATGCCCATCAATCTCGTCCATCGCAATTCCCCCAAAACCTTGCTTGTCTCACTGGTTCTTGTCTGAGAAATATCATCGTTGGCCTCACATCATCCTCCAATTTCCCACTGGTCCGTTACATCCGCCACAAACGCTGACCAGGCTTGGGGCTACAAAATTACATACAAAATTGCCACTCGGATCTCTCCATTTATTTACTGCAACTCAAGCACCAAGCGCCCTTGTATCTGCGGACGAAACGGAACCGATCCCTCTGAACAAACTCGTCTCCTTGTGCCTTGACGTGTCGCACCTTGACCAAGACAGACAAGACTGGGGGTTGATCCTGTGCTGATCAGTTCTTTTTCTTCTCCTCTCCTTGAATTCTCGCTTTCTGCGCCCCTGAATTTCTTGGAATACCTCATCGTGCTTGACCTTGATTTCAAGAATCTCTTTCATTATTTATCACTATCCTATATCCTATCCTTAGTGGCCATTTTCTATATTTTTCTCTCTCAGAACTTGCCTCACTTGGCGCTCCACTCAAATCAAACCTACTTAAGCACTGGTCCTACACGCTTCGCCTTGCGCTGAGCTGACCCCTCCGAACTACTACGCTACTCTACCCTGCGAACTGAGCCACGCCCTCGAATCCATCGCTTTGCTCCAGCCTTCAGCTTCAAAGTCCAATTCCTTTCAACAACTGCGCATCTCTCCACAGGCTTCTTCACCGCCCTCACCCCTCGACATTTCTATAACTCCCCTTCGCCTGTCGCTTCCGGACGTCGATCGCTTCTTTTCTCCCAACATTGATTCCCTTTTTCATCTCTTTTTATCCAGCAAACACCTTTTACGGCTGTTACACCGAATACCGGCGCGAGCCCACCGCCACACTTACAATCCCAGAAACTATGATGGGATCAAAACAAATGCCTGATCGCAAAGAGCTTCGCGATTATAACTACGCTGTCGCCGGCCAGTAAGTCTCTTGATCCCTTTCGCATTGCATATGCGCTTCTCATGCAAGCCTTGTTCTCCCTGGAGAGCACTTCTGTTCCTCATATCTGTGTCACAATGCCACCCCGGCGCTTCGCTCTGCATCAGGCTAATTTCGATGACTTCAGTGCCGGCACGCTTTGTACCCCTGATGGCGAACTATTCATCAAGCCTTGCACACAGTCCGAGATCGATTTCTACCAGTCTGCTAATCGAAGACATCCCGAGTTCGCCGATATTATGCCATTGTTCATGGGATCCCTCCTGCTTACCGACCCTACTGAATCAACGATCGACGAGGCTGTTGCAGGTGTTATCTCCCATGCCGGAGATCTCAAGACGTCAAAAGAAGAAATTGTAGCTTCGGTTACCGAACAGGTTGCTCACGCTACAGCGACACAACAAGAAGAGGGTGGTGCTTGGGTGCCGGCCAAGGATAACAAGATCAAGACTGATAAGGCGGTTGTGCTGGACAATGCCACCTTTGGTTTCAAGAGCCCCAATATTCTCGATGTCAAGTTGGGCGTAAGGCTCTGGGCCGACGATGCCCCCCAACAAAAGAAGCAGCGCTTCGACAAGATCTCGGCTGAGACGACACACGGTAGCTTGGGATTCCGGATAGCGGGAATGCGGGTCTACCGCGGATCAGAGGATGCTTCGGAACTGGACGAGGAAAACTACAAGATCTACGATAAGGATTATGGTCGAACAACAGTGACTCAAGAAAACGTCGTTGACGAGTTCCGAAAATTCATCTTCAACAAAAGCGCTGGCATTGATGAAGATCTCGGCAAGGCTGTTTGTGCAGCATTTGTCCGAGATCTACAAAGGGTTGAAGAGATCCTCTCACGACATGAAAGCCGAATGTACTCGTCTTCGTTACTGTTCATCTTCGAGGGCGACGGCCAAGCTCTCCGAAGCGCCATTGAAGAGAACAACGCACTCATCGACGCAGAGGCGGGTATCGGCCAAGCAGCTCGAACTACCAAGAGGGTTGATAGCGGCATCGCTCTGGACGACGAAGACGAGCTAGACGAAGACTCCGACCTCGAGGCCTCCCTGCCACAAATATACTCGCTAAAACTCATTGACTTTGCCCACGCCGAGTGGACGCCCGGCCATGGACCTGACGAGAACGCCTTGACGGGTGTAAGGAGTCTTTTACGCATTTTCCAAGAGATGGCGTAAAATTTCACGGAACGAAAAAGTGCAAGACATTTGGCACTTTTTATGATCATGACAAAAACAAAACACGATTCGCTTTAAAATGGGGACGGATACAAAGAAAGCATTTTGCTTAGACGGAAATGGAGAGGAGTCGCGATACCCATGTGCTAAAGGATCGAAAGGGGATCAAACGTAGAAAAACAGCTGCGCTGCGCTGCGGCTTGGCGCATGGCGTCTATGATGATGACAATTTAACTTTTACTTCTGCTTTGCTCTCACATCGGGTGTTGCTTTTGTGCCTGACGTCTTGTTAGATGTCTGGCCATGGATTTGGCGTTGAAAGGTCTGGAGTCTCAGTTGTACAGTATTTAAGCATAAAGCATTAGGCCATTACAGGGGGTTGTATACACAAACAACTTTTACTCTATTCACTCCTAATTTTGACAATAATGGAGAAGCTACGCAGAAGTGTTCACGTACACAATGTTTACAGAAGGAGAATATTTCAACAAGTCTTGAACGCTCAAGCCTACGAGACTAAGTCTAATTAACTATAAACAAGCTGAAAAGCGCCCGGCATTGATGCCAAACCATCATACGAGAAACGCGTGAATCCAACCAAATCCGATGTTCAAAAACTCCTGATATAATTATTGTGAAGTGGAGTATACGCGGGCGCCCGTATGGAGCCGAGTTCCCCCTCGCAACACCCATGATTCAACAACCGATAATCCCATTGTTCCAAGACCCTCCAGCAAAAAGAACATCGTGAGAAGATGTAAAAAATGAAACTCATTGATGAGACTGGGACTCGAACCCAGGAGGATTGCTCCACCAGGAAATTGGTGTTAAGGTTAACCTTAACCTGGCGCCATAACCAACTCGGCCATCTCACCCAAGTCCTTTAGGACCCGCTTGTTGTTGTGGACGGCTGCGCAAAATTGCAACAAGTCGCTCGAATTTCGTAGAAACGGATATGAAGGCATCTCGGTGTCCTATTTCCGTGTCGCGTGAAAGGGAACATGTGATCGAGCGTTTAATCCTTGGACTGAATCTTGTGATCTCCAGCGACAACGTCGGCGTAGGAAGGTGGCACGCCCTGGCTATCAGAGCTGCCCTCGCCGTTATTTGCGACGCCATGCTGCTGAGGCGCAGGACGAGAAGAGCCACCAGCGTTCTGAGTGCCGTAGTTCATGCTGTTATTGTTGTTGCTGGCACCACCATGATGAGGTTGAGGCTGGGGCTTAGGCTGCTGGTTTTGAGGACCGTGGCTGTGCTGATGAGGGCCTGGCGGGCACTGAACGTAGACGTAGGTAACGCGGTTACCCTCACGATCCTGCGGCAAGGCCTCGTACTCGTAGGGCGGCTCAGGATATTTGGCTATGATGTACCATGCGTGGATAAGACCGGGGATATAGGCGAGACAGCAGAGGAGGATGTTGATGAGAGAATCGGCGCTGCAAAGACCACACTTTACCCAGACTAAATTGATGTTAGCGATGATGCGCGACAGGGAAAATGGTGGACTTACCGGGCAGTGGGGGGAAGAGAATGGCGAGGAAAGCGAGGAAGAAGTCGGCGGAACACATTGTTGTATAGTAGAGAGCGTCGAAACTCTTGAATGAAAGATATCAAAGACGGAGCAGTTGAGTCGAAGAATTGATGGCGTTTCTATGTTGTTTGGTGGGAGGAAGAAGAGAGAGCGTGTGACCCGATTGACGATGACGAAGGGTTCTTGAGAGGTTCTGCGCTACGCCATGCGAGACAGAGGCCGGGTCACCTGGAGGGTGGCGTCTCTGGGGGAGGGGCTTGCGTAAGAGGGACGATGCAGGGAGGAAAAGAGTGTGTGATTGGCTGTAATTGAGACGTCAGTCACTGGAACCCCGCCGACAGCCACAGAATCGGGTCATCACTGAGTCTAACATGCTGGAGGCAGCCAAAGTCGCCTCAACAAGACTTCCTAGAAATACAGCAGTGCAGATACTGGGGTGAGCATTTATATCTATTATTAGGCTGCAATACTTTGAATTGTGCCTCTGAGGAGATATTGAAACAAGAAGTGCAGCGTCTTCTTACAACATTCTGCTATATGGTTTCGCATACGTCATTCCACTTACACTCTTGACAAGACATGGATGGATTTCCAGGCAGAAACGCAAAACATCTGACGCAGATAACGAATCGCTTATGCAAAGTTAAACCGAAAGTTTATTCAAGTACCTGAGTCAGCAGCGTGGTACACCACCGATATCAGGATCTTGTTTCAACACGCTGCTTGTCGACGCGCACTGCTCCAAGACAACTGAGTGCCCTCATGGTGCAGCTTCCGCTCAACACTCTCACACAAAGTCAAACATTCATCGGGCGAATGGTTTAGTGGTATAATACTCCCTTAGCATAATTCAGCCTTCTGAAGAATCTGGGAGTGGTCCAGGGTTCGATTCCCTGTTCGTCCAGCTTAAGTGGTTAGAATCCACCATTATCCACACTTTTTTGGCTTTGGAGTTCCTTTTTTAACCATCCACTGAAAGGTGTTAGTCGACAGGCTGGTCGTCAAGATAACTAACTTTTCAATCGTAAAGTACCGCCATAGGCAGCAGACGAGCACAAACTTATTTTGCCCCCTTGTGTTTCTTCCTTTTGTGCTGAAGTTGCTTTCACATTTATCTTTTCCTAAGTTTATGTTGAAATTCCACTCCGACCTAAAGCAAGGCTGGCTGTTTCTCCTGAGTAAGGCAATATTTACCTCCAGAACCTTAGGCTGTTACCTTTACGGCAACAGAAACCTTCGATATGTGTTGGCAGAAACTTACATTGGGAATATATAAATACCCCCCTCATTCCCCTTCGTAAATGCGACGGACGACCAGACAACCTTGTCGCCCGAAAACGCCCTCGGGGAGTGGGCAAGACTCAAGACCTGTACTAAAAGTAAATAAAGCAATCAAAAGCTCCCCTAAGCTCATGCTTAGATTGCATAAGATTATCATAAATTTACCTAAGTAACTTCGTAATTTGATCGTGGTCTTGAGCTTTGTTAACTTCCTCCCCTAGCTTGCTGCAACTTCGTCTTCGTTGCTTGCTGACTCATCCATTTTTTTATTTTCCGGTACTTAGAATACATTACCACCGACTTCCATCTGAACCTTGCACGCAGCAGCGTCAACACAAGCTAAGATGGATGATTTGGAAAATCTCGAACTGCTGTCCCTTGTCTCGAAGGTTTCTTCGGAGTTGAAGAATCATATGAACATAGAGGACAAAACAGTTGCCGAATTCCTCATCGATAAGCGAACCAAATACAGCAACTTCGAGCCTTTTCGCGATGAACTGGCCAAAACCCTTCCCTCTTTCCCTCCTAGTCTCATCGAGAGTATCGACCGTCTAGTACTTGCTCTACACCCACAGTTCAAATCAAAGGCCAACCACGAAGAGCACCATTCGAGAACCCTACAAGAGAAGGAAAAGGTCTTCAGCGGGCTTGCGTTGCCGGACAAGGAGCCCGCGCGTGAGGATGGAGCGGATGCATTCGACGACACACTTGCGCTGTTAGAGGGTCTAGAAGGAAAGGCGAAAAAGGAAAAGTCTGCGAGAAAACGAAGTCGAAGCCCCCGGGAGGCTGATTATAAAGAGTCAAGGAGAAGGAGAAGAGACAGATCGCGCTCGGGAGAACGACGAAAACGAGATAAATACCGATCGAGGTCACGGTCGCAGGAACGAGGCGATGAAGATTGGCGTGATGGGTATCGCGATTCACGCAAAGATCGACGAGGCCGCCGACGACACGACGATGACCGATTTCGCAATGCTCCAGCTCCTGAAGTGGACGATTCGCCGCAGCTGCACAAGGTCTACGAGGGACATGTTACAGGACTCAAAGAATTTGGCGCCTTTATCAACTTGCACAACGTAAAAGGCAGAGTCGATGGCCTCGTTCACGTTTCCCGAATGTCTGCTGGACAGCGCGTCAACCACCCTTCAGATTTGGTGTCGCATGGACAAAAAGTCTGGGTCAAGGTAACAAGTCTTGATAAGGACCAAAATGGCCGCGATCGCGTGGGCTTGTCAATGAAGGATGTTGATCAGTCGACTGGGGAGGATCTAGAACCACAAGCTCGAATGACTACTGGTGCCAATATGGAAGCGTTAGGAGGAGGAGGTCTAAGAGACGGGTTCGCGGAACCCAGCGGCATGCCTCGAGATAACTTGGGACCTCCCCGACGACAAAAGAAGAGAATGACCTCTCCTGAAAGGTGGGAGATCAGACAGTTGATCGCATCGGGAGTGGCCAAGGCTTCAGATTACCCTGACCTGGAAGAAGACTACAACGCAACTCTCCGCGGAGATGGCGAGCTTGAGCTTGAGGAGGATGTCGATATTGAGGTTCGTGAGGAGGAACCGCCGTTCTTGGCCGGACAGACCAAGCAGTCCCTTGAATTATCACCTATTCGCGTTGTCAAGGCCCCAGAAGGCTCTATGAACCGAGCAGCTATGTCTGGTACTTCCTTGGCGAAGGAACGAAAAGAACTCAAGCAACAAGAAGCCGATGCAGCTGCGAAAGACGAACCCAAGGAAAACCTATCCTCTCAATGGCAAGATCCTATGGCTGATCCCGATAAGAGGAAGTTTGCTAGCGATTTGAGGAATGCCAGGAAGAACCAGCCTTCTGAAGACGTTCCCGAATGGAAGAAGGCAGTCATTCCAAAGGGACAATCCCTAGGCAAGCGCACGAGCTTGAGCATCAAGGAACAACGAGAGTCGCTTCCTGTATTTGCATTCCGAGACCAACTGATCAAGGCTGTTCACGAGAACCAGATCTTGATTGTAGTCGGAGAAACAGGATCAGGAAAGACAACTCAGTTAACGCAGTACCTTGCTGAAGCTGGTTTTGCTAATGATGGTATTATTGGCTGCACGCAACCTCGTCGTGTTGCTGCCATGTCTGTCGCTAAGCGAGTAGCGGAAGAAGTTGGCTGTAAGCTTGGTGAAGAGGTCGGATATACGATTCGATTTGAAGACTGTACTAGTCCTTCAACGAAGATCAAGTACATGACAGATGGTATGCTTCAGCGCGAGATTCTGGTCGATCCCGATATGTCGCGATACTCTTGTATCATGCTTGATGAAGCTCACGAACGTACCATCGCCACTGATGTGTTGTTTGCCTTGCTAAAGAAAGCTCTCAAGCGACGCCCCGATATGAAGGTGATTGTCACTTCAGCCACACTTGATGCAGACAAATTCTCTGCGTACTTTAACGAATGTCCCATTTTCACCATTCCCGGCCGAACGTTCCCTGTCGAAATCCTCTATTCGAAAGAACCCGAATCCGATTACTTGGATACTGCTCTTGTCACAGTCATGCAGATCCACATTACCGAACCCAAGGGCGATATTCTTCTCTTCTTAACAGGCCAAGAAGAAATTGACACGGCGTGCGAGGTTCTATACGAGAGAATGAAAGCCTTGGGGCCTAATGTGCCAGACCTCATCATTCTGCCTGTCTACGCTTCACTTCCGACGGAAATGCAAAGTCGAATTTTCGACCCTGCACCCCCTGGCAGCCGTAAGGTTGTCATCGCCACAAATATTGCAGAGACTTCCATTACCATCGACGAGATTTACTACGTCGTTGACCCTGGTTTCGTTAAGCAGAACGCTTATGATCCTAAGTTGGGTATGGATTCTCTGGTTGTCACACCAATTTCTCAGGCCCAAGCGAACCAAAGAGCAGGACGAGCCGGACGAACTGGACCCGGAAAGTGTTTCCGTCTATATACCGAGGCAGCCTACCAGTCTGAAATGTTGCCCACTACTATTCCCGAAATCCAACGACAGAACTTATCCACCACAATTCTCATGCTTAAGGCAATGGGCATCAATGACTTGCTTCACTTTGACTTCATGGACCCGCCCCCGATCAACACCATGCTTACAGCGTTGGAGGAGCTTTACGCCCTCGGTGCTCTCGACGACGAAGGTCTACTTACTCGATTGGGGCGAAAGATGGCTGATTTCCCTATGGAACCTTCCCTTGCCAAGGTGCTTATCGCTGCTGTTGATCTAGAATGTGCCGACGAAGTCCTGAGCATCGTGTCCATGCTTAACATTCCTACTGTCTTTTACCGCCCTAAAGAGAAGCAGTCCCAAGCAGATCAGAAGAAGGCAAAGTTCCACGATCCCCACGGCGACCACCTGACGTTCCTCAACGTTTACAACTCGTGGAAGCAGAGCGGCTACTCCGCACCTTGGTGTTTCGAGAACTTCATCCAAGCGCGTTCCATGCGTCGCGCAAAGGACGTCCGAGACCAAATCGTCAAGATCATGGACCGTTACAAGCACTCCATCAGATCCTGCGGCCGCGACACCGAAAAAGTCCGCCGGGCGCTCTGCGCAGGATTCTTCCGCAACGCAGCTCGCAAAGATCCCCAGGAAGGTTATAAGACCCTTATCGAGGGCACCCCCGTGTATCTGCACCCAAGCTCCGCGCTGTTCGGCAAGCAGGCCGAGTGGGTCATCTACCACGAGCTCATCCTCACGAGCAAGGAGTACATGCACTGCACGACGAGCATTGAGCCCAAGTGGCTCG